CAGGCAGTGGAGCGAGCCATTCTCAGCTTTTTTCCGGCTGCTTCCCATGGCCTTCCTTCGAGACTCAAGCTGTTGGTCGACAACCAGGTGGTCATGTACTGCATGCGCAGCATGACTACCCGTTCCAAGCAGCTCCTCACCCCCCTTCGTCAGCTGCACCGAGTCTGTACGGCGCGCCACCTCCTGCTCGACCCGAACTATATTCGGTCGGAGGACAACGTCATACCGGACAGGCTGTCCCGGGTTCGGGTGGCGGACGACTACCAACTGCACCCGGCCATTTTCAAGCGCCTGACTCAGCGCTTCGGTCGCCGGTCGTGCGACCGCTTTGCTTCCGCGGCGAATTCCCTCTGCCCACGGTACAACAGCCTGCACGCGGACGTGGGGAGCGCGGGGACGGACGCCTTTCTCCAGGACTGGACGGGGGACACCAACTGGTGCAACCCCCCTTGGTGCCTCCTTCCCCGGCTCGTCTCCTTCCTCGCCGCTCGGCCCGCCGTGGAGGCCGTCGTCATCGCGCCGGATTGGCTGAGCGCGCTTTGGTTTCAGCCACTCCGGACTCTTGCGGCGGAGGACCTTCTGATTCCCCGCCATCCGGGGATGTTTCGCCCAGGGGATCCGACTCTTCCGGCCCGCCTTCCTCCGCCGAAGTGGAACCTTCGGGCATTTCATGTCCGCCCTCGGAAGCCTCCCTAGGGGCGGGCGCGCGGTCACCCTCCAGGGAGGTCGCGCTTCCCCCCGATGATCCGCTCCCGGTGGAGGCCATGCCGACTGATCACCCCCTCTACGGGTTGGACGTCGACGGCATGCTGCAATCGGACTGCGCATGGATGCAGTCGCAGTTTTTGTCTTTCTACACGGAGTCAACGCGGCGGTCCATGTAGGCCAAGTTCGCCAAGTTCCAGGCGTTCTGCGCCTCCGTGGAGCTCCAGGCCCTCCCCGCCCGCCCGGCCACGATCTACCGTTACATCCGGTTTCTACGGGAGGAGGGTCGGGTGGGCGTCCGCAGCCTCCCGCAGTACCTGGCCGCCATTTCCATGGTGCACCAGGTCGCCGGCCATCTGCAGTTTTCCGCCTTCGACCGGGTGACCCGTTTGCTCACCCGGTCCTGGCGTCGGCAATGCCCGGAGCCTGCGGCCTCTCATGCTCCGGTGCCGGCTACCTTGATGCTCCGCATTCTGGAGCGCGGCCTCCTCACCGACGACCTCCTCCTATTGCGGGCGTCGGTTTCCGCCCTGCTGAACTTCGTTTTCTTTAATCGGGCCCAGAGCGGCCATTTCATTCTGTTGGACGACGTGCGGGTGACGGATGGCGTTGTGATCTTCCGGGAACGCAAGACCAAGCTCAAGCCCGATTCGGACCCGGCGGTCCGCCTCCGTTCCTGGCCTTCGCAGGGCGCCCCCGAGCTGGTGAATTTGCTCCTGCGTTGGGGCGCCTTTCGGGATCGCGCCTGGGCGGATGCGGGTGGGACGCCGACGCATTTCTACACGCTCCCGGGCGAACGCGACCCGTCCGCCCGCACGGTTTCCTCTTGGTTTCGGGACCTCCTGGCCTCCTCTCCCGACCTGCACCCGGGCGCTTTCGATCACCATGGTCTACGCGCGAGTGGGGCGTCGGCCTGCTTCGCCTTGGAGGTGCCCGAACAGCGCATCCGCCACTGGGGCGACTGGCGGGGCGCTGCCCTCTGGCGGTACATCGATGTGTATCGCATCCCATCAGAGTGGGACTATCGCTTTTTCGGGTGGATGACGATTACCGCCCGGGACTTGCATGACAGGTATGGCCACATCTTCTGCTCCGGAGGAGCGCAGTGTGTTTGAGGGTGACTGGGCACACTAAGTTGTGGGTACCTCGGGTTGTATTGGGACAAACAATGTCGTGTAATGTACTGGTCCAGTGTGTGTGTGGACCTGGGTGGGACAAGGAGCCCGGCCCGGCGGAAATGGGATTAACTATCTTGTTAAGTGGTTTCTTGAAGTGACGCTAACGCGGGTCAGCTGGTTTGGCGGCCAGGGTTTTGTCCCCAGCAGGTCGATGACTGGTCCGTCGCGTTCAATGAGGGCCAGTGGTTTTTGGCGCCCTTGGGAGCGGCGGGCTTTGGCGGGCGCGAGCGGGGAGGCTACTTAGGCTCACCCCTCGGTCCCCACCTTATCTTGTTTCGCTTCCCGCCCGGCCCCCCCTATTAGGGTGATGTTCGGTTGATTTGGGCAAGTGTGGGAGTTAAGGACGTGGAAATGAGGAGTGGTGGGTCTGACTCAAGGGTTGAGTCTGGTATGGGACTGGCTTAACTACTAGCGAAGCGATTGGGCACACTAAGTTGTGGGTACCTCGGGTTGTATTGGGACAAACAATGTCGTGTAATGTATTGGTCCAGTGTGTGTGTGGACCTGGGTGGGACAAGGAGCCCGGCCCGGCGGAAATCATACTTATTCATCTACCCATTTTTGCAAGTATGGTGTGACAGAATCCATCATTGATTCATCAACATTACTGCCGTAATGGTGAAAATGTTGTTTATTACTGTAATTTCTGTTACAAATAGCTTTGCGCTCCTATCGCTTTATTGTTATTGTGCTAGTATCAAGTCTGGTATCATAATTGGTACTGGTCAATTTTAATGTTGAACTCCATTTCTGTCCTGCCCTTATTCGGGTCGCCAGTAATGGCGATTAATGGCCATTTTACTACATTATTATCCATCATCAATGGCCATTTAAGCCATGGCCAGAGCAGCACAATGTACGCGCAGTTGTGGGCATGCACTACGTCAGTGCACTGAACTCAGACTTCGACTGCGACTCAAGGATATGATGCCCAGCTCGTCCATCACAAAGTGAGCTAAGATGTCGGCATGCTGCATGTTTGGTTCCTCAATGACAGCTGCGTGGAAGGCCGTCTGAATTGCCAGGGTTCTCAAAGTCTGAATGACGTAAAAAAGGTTCAAGATGGGTTGAATAGACCTGTGATGTCGTGCCCTTTCTGTTTTAACATTTGATGGTTTTAATATTTTTCTAGTGGCACTTGACAGCCAGAATGGCGATATGACCCTTTTGCTGAATGAACATCAGAGGTGATATTTGTGTGCCATGTGCTGACATGGATAGAATGGTTATGAGTTCTCAAAGTCAGAATGACGTGGAAACGATTCGAGGTGGGTTGCATAGATGTGTGATGTCGAGTCTTCTCTATTTTAACATTTGATGGTTTTTACATTTTTCTAGTGGGACCTGACATCCAGAATGGCGATATGACCCGCCTGCTGAATGAACATCAGAGGTGGCATTTGTTTTGCCATGGGCTGACATGGATAGGATGGTTATGGGTGCGCTGCTCAGTGACATGTATCACTTGAATTGCCATGATCGCAGCTATGTGAAGGGCGGCAGTTTTTTATTCGAGTCTGATGACCGAAGGGTAGAGGGCTCACGCGGCATTTTTTTCTGCAGCACAGGCTGCGTGTTGTGTGGTGTTAATGCAATCCTTGCATGAGGGTTGAGTGAGCGGCTGGTAATAGCTTGCAAATATGGGCCCCTGTTCAGGCATAGGACGGGCTGGGAAGGAATCGTATGCGAACTCCCAGGGTTGATGCGACTTTTCAAGGATCAAAATAGATTTGATGCGCTGACATCCACGAGGTGTCGAGGGGCTATTTTGGATGGCTGCCGCGACATGTGCGGTGCCATACGGTCGCGCTGCCCGTTTCTGGAGGGGATGCAGAGGAACGAACAACAGTTTGCGAAGTTGTAATTGCCTTGCTGGTGTTCTCTGAGTGTGTGGCTTTTGCGCACAGGTCGTGGCATGTAGCCCGACCAGTTTGGCCTAAAAGCCAGCGGTTTTGGGTCCCAAACGTTCGGGCTTCGGTGTGATGCACCCATGGCATGCTCACCGTTCGGGTTGGTTAGGTTTCTGGGTGAATCTGTGAGAATTGTTGCAGTTTCTGTAAGCTTTTCTAACCAAGCCCTTTGGTTTGAATTCGCCTGGACATGCATGGCCAGCGGGCAGGTTTGCCCGTGTTTCTGTGTCCGATTTGCCAGAAACATGCACGCAAAGCGACCCGATCTCACCTCCTTTTGTCGCTCTCTTCAACTGCTCCGGGGTAGTGTACGGGCAAGTCTTTTACAGACTTTCACTGAGCTACCCGGAGGTCTGGCCATGTTTTGGCCGCGATCTTCACACTGTGTATTTACCATCAGACTTTGTGTCGTTGCAACTAGATGACTTCTCCCCTGTTATTGCCTTAAGACTCGCAATACATTGTTATATGCAACAGTGCATAAGGCGTAGCCAACTGTACGCAGTTATTGTAAACTTCGTAGCACGCGCTGCCTGAAAGGTGTTCAGGGTCAATGGACCCACGTTTCTCAACAAGTCCAGCCAGCACGTGAGCGACAGGCCCACGGAAGCCACATGGACATTTTACGTCCAAGACCCCATCGGCTCCCCTTCCCCTTCCGACCGGCCATCCCTTAGCTGGCGCCGCCACGACATGCCCCTCACCCCCCACCCCAACCCCAACCCCCATCAGCGGGCTCCTTCGACGCCGCCCGCCCAGTCCAACTTGCTCGCGCTGCCCCAAACGGCATCAAGCATCTCCCCGGACGATCACAAACCGGGCTAGGTCTCCCCTTGCCTGTCAGGCCACCCCCATCAACATCCGCCACTTCGACTTGCCCATTCCAACCCCCCCTCCCCCGACCTGACGCGCGCGGGCACTAATCTACAACCCTATCCCTGGCGAAATCCCCCTCAAAAATGCCCCTTTTCAGCGCATCCCACCGCCAAAAACTACCCCTTCTCATTCGTTCCTCACCCCACCCCACCCCCTTGCTCTCCAGGGATTCTCCATCATCCCTTCACAGCATGGACAAGAGCCTCGCACACACTGCTCAGGAGGGGATGCCCTTTCACTGACCTGTTTCCTTTCCCGTTGCCCCTTCCCCGCCCCTCTACCTCCTTTCCTATCTATTCCCATAACAGGAAAGGAATGCGTGAACAACAATTCACATCCCCACGGGTTGACCCACCTCGCCCCCCCGCACGCCCCACCACGCCTCGAAACACCGCGGCAGGCACCACGGCGCCTTGGCCTCCTGCCGCCTCACCGCCCTGTACTTCGGCGCGCAGCGCTTGGTGCGCCGCAGTGTCCGGTCCGGGTGCACCACCCGGAATCCCTCCAGCGGCGCGGGGGCCCTCCGGCTCCACTCATCGCCGCCGCCCAACTGGCCGCAGTCGCCGCGGCCCCATGTGTAGAGCACACCGCGCTCGGTCACGGCGCAGGAGTGCTGCGCGCCGCACTGCACCGCCACGGGCTTGGCGTGCAGGATGGCGGTGATAGGCACGAAGCGCAGGCGGTTGTCGACGTCTCCGTGGCCCAGCTGGCCCCAGTAGTTGTCGCCTGCGGGCGCCGGCCGGGCGGCGCGTCAAGCAGTCGTTCGTTCGTTCGTTCGTTCATTCAATCAATCAATGGGCCGTTCAACCATTCAGTGAATGATTGAATAAACAAATGCATGGATGAATAAATCAATGAGTAGGTCAATCTAGCAATGGATGAATCAATCAATCAATCTGGCTATCAGTCAGTCCATCCAACCACCCATCAATCAATCCATCCATCTCCCTATCAATCAAACAATCAACGTATCAACAAAAAGGCATGCCGTACTTCTTGATTGGAAAGGACACAGCACAGCGACAGCTGAAACCGTCCACTGGGAACGAAACAATTCAATTCAAAAGAGGTTGCAATATTTCCAGAGCACACAAAACAACTTTCCTTGGGCAGGTGGTCATCAGTTCCCTTATTTTGTCCGAGGAAAGCAGCGTCCATGAGTCGTCCGCTGGAAATCCAAATGCTTGATCCAAGGCATCCAGAATCCACCAATTCCCCATCCCCAAAAGGCAGCGTCGATGATAGTATATTGGCAGCAGCCTCTTATTATCAAAAAGGAGCGGAGATAGAAGCAAATATGAACGTTTTACAACACCTACCATTTCCGGATGGGGCGGTAATGAAGGGGTCCTGAATGTCATGGAAGGTACGAAGGCTCCAAAATAGATAACCCTGGAACCCAAAATGACATTAACGACCTGCTTTAACCTCATGACCTTCGCGCCATAGCATCTTCAACCCTTCCGCATCAAGAAATTCTACCGTCACGCTTTCCCCTCTACATTTTCTCTTCAGAATGTTATTAATTCTTTTACGTTGCTTCGCAATAATTTTACTACGTTTCTACGCAAAAAGGGCGAAGCGCTGCGTTGCTACGCGGAAGGGTTGTATATTTCACGGTATCCGGAAATGAATGGTAATCGGCACTTGTCTAATGCCAGCCCGCACGCCGCTTTCAAACCGTGCCACCCACCCGTCGACAGAACCTTCAGCCGCGTGCCCTGCAGGATGAGCGCCAGCGTGTGGCACGCGCCACAAGACACCTGCACGGCCCGCACGCTGTCCCGAACGGCAGCGCCTATGGACAGGTCCACGCGCGAGGGCCGCCACCGGTTGCCAACCTCGCCCAAGCCCAGCTGCCCCCTGTGGTTCCGCCCGAAGGCCAGGAGCTCGCCGCACACCGTCAGCGCCATACTGTGGTTGCCTCCCGCGGCGATGGCGGTGATCCTGCGGGCCCGCCAAGGTGCGCCATTCTCCGTGATCGATTTGCCCTCTCAGAGAGGAGCAACACTGCATTTTTGTTGCATACTGCGCTGTTATTGCATACTGCACTGTGTTGCTGAACGATGCAGCCTGTCGTGGAATTCTGGCACAAGCAGCTGCTGCAAGGCAATGATCCTTCCACCACTTTTGCAGAAACCCAACACCACTTTTCATGAATCGGTCAATTACTCGTTGGCTATGAAAATTTTTCAGTCAGCAACTCTGTGCTTCTAGTGTTGTTTATTCGTTTCGGATTTTCCGTCGAAAGATTCTTCACTACTGCCTCTGCCACCGTTTTGGCGGACGAGCCTGCAAGCAACTGGGTTGCTTGCTAGGAATATGTGACTGTGTGGCGCGATAGTTTATACAATGGAATTGCCAGCATCGGAATATTTCTACACGAGTTTTGGTCAATTTGAGCGCTGCCGTCACACATATCATGAATCTGCCACAATTGCCGAAATGGACAAAGCATTTGCATAATGACGATTTTGCTTATCTATGTTCGGCATCCACATCAGGGGTGGCTCCGCACAATTCTGACTTGTTTGGATGCATTGTACGTGGTCGCAACTGTGCAGTTGCTGAGCTTACAAAATGCATACGGCTCTTGTTTTGGGTACCGGCTGTGTTGAAAATGATAGGAGCTTCTCAAAAAACGGTTTGCTGCGGCAGCGAGACATGATCCACACTTAGTGGAGTCGAACAAATGGTTGATTTGAGTGAGATGTATGTGGCGATAGATTGAGGGTAATTTCGAGAAGGCAAGCATTTCCGTTCGTAATCCAATAGGCGCCTGGCTGTGCTTATGGTGCTCCAAAACTGCTAATTGAAGAAGCCCTTGATGCAAAACGGGCACTGCTGATCGCGGAGGATAGCCTCCCCCCGGGCCCCCCGCCCCGTTCCACATCAGGGCTGACGTCAGGAATGCGGGGGGCGCTATCTTCCGCTGGCCCGCGTACCAGCAGCAACAAGGCGGCTTACAACAGCGCATTATAAAACCATTCACTGCAGAAGACAACCCGGCGCCACAATAGTGGGACGCCACAGGTCACTGCATTATGCAGCTCCACCCGCGTTGGCAGATTGATTGGCAAAGCGAACTGGCGTCTGGCCAATATAGCACATTACATAACATTACACTGTATTACGTAATATTGTGTAATTTACATAACACTACATAGGGCGCCAATCACAGCGCCAACCAATAACAGCTGTTGGGAAGTCGCACTGCACTGGAGACAGCATGGAGATCCCGATGACCCTGGTTTGAGTGATGGCAGTATGGAGCTGGAGAATGAGAATCTTGAGGACATGGTGTTTGATTGAAGGAGAAATGTCTGGAGAATAAATGAATGAATTAAACCTAAAGGCAACGCGAAAATCATGCTTGGCTTTTACGTTTGCGTTTACACTTTACGTGTAGAGCCGTGAATTTGCAGAAAGAGGTAATTCTGGGGCTGTATTTACGTATTTTTACGGCTCGTGGGGAAACGCAAGCCACCAGGTGACCTGTCATGATGGAGTTTCAAACAATGATGCCAGTCACGTCACATTCACCCATGCCATGATGAACTTGCAAACAGTGATCAGTTCTCCGCCCCCTCGAGCACCCGCAACACAGCGTTCACCTCGTCATTGGCACGGGAAACGACGTAGTCGAGCAAATGGCTATTTCGCTCCCACTCAAGCGCATCTAGCTGCCACTCCTCGAACTCCCTGAGTCTGCGTTTACTGTCTTCATGTACGCCGTGCCAGAATTTGCGCATTTATGCACAAATTCTCGTAAACTCTATATTTACGCGTAAATACCCGTAAATGCTCAGTGTTTACGCCCTAAAAACCAAGCATGGTGAACTACGACGCACTGGTTATGTCGCATCTTAGTGCTGAACTCCAATCGCCGGACAGCTATCGTGCTTTTAGCAGGCTGCGCATGGCCTCACAACGCCCGGCGAAAACGCCAAACCCCAAGCCATCAGAGCGGTGACCGGCGGATGAGAACCTGAAGAAGCTCCCAAAAAACTGAAGAAATAAGCGAGCAGTAAACTTAAACGCTCCCGGCCAAAAAGCGCGATGACGCTCGCACCCGCTGGCCCGGAAACCATATACTTGGTTCCAACCGTGCTTGGTAAAGGGTGCTGTAAGGCTGAGGCTAAGCACTTGGTGGTACTGGCTTGTGCCAATCATTCCTGAAAGTGTGAGATACCTGCTGAAATCCGTCAACTTTTCACTGTTTTTGAGGCTCGTGGCATTGGCATCCAGACCTTTTCGCGCCCAGGCGACGAAGCGTTTGCTTTTCAAAGAGTCTCTGAGCTCTGCGCGTCATTTGGATGGGCACTTGCTGCCCGTGCTACCGCGCAGGGATAGTTTGCCGAACTTCACAGAAAGGCACAACGAGCAAAATTTCCACCATTACCCCTAATCTTAGCACCGCTTATTTCCAGCCAACGTCCTGCAACGTAGCTACAAGTTGTCGATAGGCTCTCTGTCACTGTCGACAGAAATCAATCAGTCTGTTGTCGTGCTTTGGCTTTAGCATTCCGCCAACTTTTCGCCAATCATGCGACGCTCTACCCGTGCGCACCTTTTGGGGGGCGACAGCCCGCTGGGCTCCAACTCCCCAATTTTCTGCGGGATTGGCACCGCTAGCGCCCCCAGCGGCTGGATCATTTGAATCTGCTCGAGGGCGGCGTGCCCCAGCTGGCCGTACTGGCCGTCCCCCCAGGTGAAGAGGGAGCCGTCGGAAGCGAGGGCCATGGAGTGGGACTGCCCAGCGGCGGCAGATACGATGCGGAAGTTCCTGCGAGCAGGGCGCGACGATCCCTTGAGCAGAATTTAAGCCAAAACAATATCTTTCTGTCGCAAATTGGGTCCAAATCTTACTACATTTCCGTGCTTAATGGTGCAACTATCTTGCGGAAGGATGTTGGCCGAACGATGAGCCATTCCCACAGGCATGAGATACCCTGGACTTAAAGCTCGGGAGCGTTCATGCCATCAGTCATTTCACTAAAGCTGGGGCATTCTGAGGATGACGTCAGGATGACCAAGTTACTGGGGTCTCCATTCGGGGGCAGGCGTGCGCCATGGCGTGACTCGCACAAGTATCTTCACGTCGTGTCTCGGTGTCCATTCGCACCTTGTTGGGTGCGCCCCCACTGTATTTCCTTAGTTTGATGCCTCATTAAATCCCATGCTTGGATCATTTGGAACACGAAAAACAACGACGAGGAGGCACCGTTGGAGCGGCGTGATTGCAAGTGCATTTCGAAAGGAGCGTCGTTGCAATTGAGTTAAAGGATGGCGGGGGCCACTACCGGTTTCAAATGAAATGAGGACAAAGGAAAGACAGCCTTTCTCGGAAAGCCACCTCAAATTTGGTCCTCAGACAACATAAACTATATCTTCGGTTCAAATGCACACAGCACCAAACTGCTGAACGTCAACTACTGAACTTTCCTCAACATGACGCCGTGACAACGAGCACAATCAAATGTCAGCTTTTGGTCAATTTGTTGCGTTTGGATTATCACGTCCTCAGACAATCCTAAATGCAACTCCCAGTTAGGAAACATTATTCGCGATAGAGGTGCTACATTCGCTGCGTTTCTTGCGTTTGCTTTCCCTTTTTAAGAGTGAAATGTAAATAGATTTAGTTCGCATCATCCATGGATCACACTTTCGAAATTGCTGTGCGTGACCAATGTATCGCTCCCTTTGCACCAAAGGAAGTGCATCACAAGGGTGTACTACTATACCAACAAGAGCCAGTGTTTCACACAGCAATCACCATGCATGTTTGGTGTCATCGGCAAGAAGGCGGTGAAAATCGCGCAACAGTGGTGAGCTACGCACCCACTGAGCAATGGGCACCTCCCGCCAAAGCAGTGCTTTGAAAGCATTTGATTTTAGATTATTTGTTCGGTATTCTAGAAATGCTTGTGTCGGAAAGTCCAATGTTCCAGTGACAACAGCATGCCATCCGCTGCAGCGTTAGGTGGCCAGCAGCAATATTGGCGAAGATGGGCGATCGCTCAGGCGCCGCGGGGCTGTTCATTCGCTGTTTTACCCTATTTCCATATTCTCGCTCCGATAATGCATAATACGTACGCATCAGGATATGCGACATATACGGTGCCATGTGGTGATGCTTAATCTCAAGATTTCATGCTCTTATGCTCTGGGATACTCGATCCTGCCGAAAGGTGCTTCTCCATTCCGAGACGGAGGACTGGCGATCCTCATGCACATCGGAAGCACTCTCAATGTTCATGAGGATTTCCAAGCGGACAAGAGTATCTCCGAGAACAAAAAATCTGCCGCCTTCTGAACAACATCGACTTGAAGAAAACCTAGTATTAGCACCTGCCATATGCCGAATTCCCATACAAATCACACAGCACAATTACCATCAGTAGTCAGAGAGATACAATCAAATGTCGTAACCAAAAAGAGTGCTTCGGGTGCCATTCTCGCCACATTACCTCAGGCTGTCGATTCTTTGCAGCTGCCAGAAATCGTGGAAAGCCGCTCTTCCTAGCTGACCCCTGCGGCCTCTCCCGCATGCCCACAGCTCGCCATTTTCCGAAATGGCGAGGGTGTGGCTCTCTCCGGCCGTTACAGAAACAATGCGCCTGTGTGTCAGGATGACCTGGAAACAACGAACGATCCCTTGTTCAAACCGATCCGAACTGTGCCCTCTTGCGTGGTTTATGTTATTTTAACGCACATTGTCAGCGCAAAATGTAAAAAAAGAAACAGATTCAATCAATGAAGCCGCTAGAAAATGGTTAGGAATACGTTGCGCTTCTCGCTGAAGATTGATGCCATTTGCGTACAAAGTGAAAATATGGAAAGTGTAGAAGAATCAACGATAACCGGGCAGTGAATACACCGTAAAATTGAAGTCCAAATTCTCAACCAAAAAGCGCTTTTAAATCGCTTAAGTCCTATGAGAGATTGCGCAGATTCTGGCAGAGACTGGGGCAGCAGCGAAAGCAACGTCATCACGCAATTCATGACGTATATCGCATCAATACTGAATTGTGCAATCTCAGATCAATATTCCACCAAACCCTGCACGCTCGGTTTGCTCTTGGGCAAGTTATGTGAGCCGCGATGTTTGCGCATTTGAGGGAGGATCTAGTGCCGTTTCTGTAGCGACGCGGACACCCACCACTAGTAAACAAGAGGCCAGGTACGCGGTTTTGGAAGTCATAAAAAATTCGCGCAAAATCGTGTATTCATCGTATAAAAATCGCACCAAACCGTGCAGTAAATATTGAGTGAGTGTAAATGATTTTAACGTGTTATAATACATACGTTTTACACGAGTTTTTGCACAGTTCGAAACTGTGTATTTTGGCCGATTTTTAACTTATGCACCGTGAGTCACTCACCTGGCGTGGAAGGAACACCTCTGTTGGTGCGTGGCGCCCCAGCCCCAGCTCTCCACTGCTGTGGAGCCCCCAGGAGTAAAGGTCGCCGCGCCTGGAGATGGAGACGCTGTGGCTTCCCCCGCAACTCACCACAGCCGCCATGATCTCCTCTTCCCTGGTGGGGTTATCCTTCGGGAACCAGCCAATCAGATGCAAATAAATAGATTATTTTTTGTTCTCTCTCTCTATATATATGTATTTATTTCTTCATTTATTTCCTTATCTTTCTGTTTATATTTTAAATGGCTGTTGTTCCGGGAAACTGGTACCAGACTTAGTAGTTTCTGCTACTACAATGTTGTATCGCATTTTGCAAAATGGGACGTTATGCACAGGGGCAGTTGAGGATTCGCCTATGCACCTGGAGGATTGCTGGTTTGGAGAAAATAATACCTAGCGACAAAATGGCGAACTGCGCAATTGAATCTGCTTTTCTTGTAAGAACAAGGGCCAACACAACAGGTATTATGTTTCATGACACAAAATAATGCTAAAAGTTAAATTTTCCAGAATTCTCCACCTCTGAACTGCGCATCATTGTGTCAATAGTGATGTAATGACTGCACCATTATTTGTTTTAGCGCCGACCAAGCTGAACACGGCGACTGTGTCTTGAACTGGCCAGTTCACTGAGTCCATGGACAGAGTAACTTAGCAATATTATATAATCACGAGAAACGCGTCACACTTCCCCGGTATGAGTGATCCGATTGATTTGATTGATCCAGTCAGTCGTGCCCGAGCTCACCGGAAGAGTGGTGTGACCCAACTGCACGAGCCGGGGTGTGTCCTCGTTCCCATCGTGGTTGCACCCGAGCTGGCCATGGAAGCCTGCGCAGTGCATTGGCGCAATGCATAGCACTTTAGAAATCTTGCATGTTCAACTTCGTTTAAATTTTCGCGAGGCGAATCAACTTGATGGAATGCTGAGGCTGCGCAATGCCCGGTCCGGTCAAAGCCCGAAACAGGTTTTTCTGTTGAGAGGACTTAACGCACCAAAATATTTGAAGCAATATTTTGCACTAAGTGATATCGAACTGATGCTGACCAGCATCATGTAATGACATGCCCATACATTCCACGTCACTGGCAGTATTGGGCGGGTTTTCTCGCCAGATGGAAACAGAAGGTGCCAATTTGGAATGGGGGCTGGATCCAATCAGTCTGACACAAAGTGTAAACCTTGTGCCAGCCACGCGGAACACAGGTGCACTGCATTCAGATTCCCAGGGACAGTCTCTCCCGCCTTGGAGGCGACAAATGTGCTATGCAGAGCGCAGTCGTTTGATTGATCCTCAGTTGTCTACAAATGTGCGGTACCTGTCATTCAGGGCAGGACATTCATGAAAATCAAGAAGGTCACTTTGGGGTACTGGTTTTGGCTTTTAGGATTATGATGCCGCCGTACCCTTCATGGACTTCCTGACTCCTTCGTGACCGTATGTATGAGAAACTAGGTATCGAACATGCTTCCAGTAACCCTACTCCATGCGCTCTGTCCTTTCATACCAGGAACAGCGGCATGCCAAAGTCCCAGGCCCACACGGATGAGTTTCCGTTATGCAGCCAGAGAGCCCTACAGCTGCAATCCCAGTTGGAAAAATCCGGAACAGACGAGTGCCAGTAAGAGCTAAATCTTGTATGAAGCCCTCCAAGAATGATATTGTGCAGAGATCACACACATTTCAATGTCTGGTTTGCAAGGCTTAATTGGTACATGAGGTTACAAATCGTGCTATTGTTTGTCGCATACAGTAAGCTCCGCAACGCGATTCACCAGCGGTGGCGTGCGCCCTGTGACACTAGTTGCCCATTCACGCTGCTTCCGCCCGTTCTCAAAAGCAGCAAGGTTTTGAAAATCATGCACAACAATGCATTTAAGTACTTATGAGTAAGAACTAGTAACAATATTGTAAAGCGCCTGAACACTGGATCCACAACTGTAATGTACATAACAGCCTGGGCGCGAGTTACTACTGCCGATCGGGACTGCGTCTAGGGTGAAAGAGCACCCACCACGGCCGAAGGTGTATATGTAGTGACGGTCTTCGTCCCCTCTCGGAGCGTTTTTGGGAACAAGGAGGGCGGCTGTGTGGAAGCTGCCAGACGACAACGCTGTGCTCTGCGGAGGAGACAAGCATGGTGAAGGGATGTAATGTGTACTGAGAACCAACAACTCGTATCACGATTATCAGCATATGCAATAATGGTCGCAGCATGATGTCATGTGGTCTGACGTATATGACTATAAAGTGTACGTCACGTACATAGGTTGTTTCATACATATCATGTAAGCCATAGTTTATGTAGAATATTATAGAAGTGCATTGATGATCTACATTACGACGGGATATTCTGTCATTGTGAAAGCCTATGGCTATGGTATGCATGTGGAGTGCGGCACAAGGCGAATGACCATTGGAGCGCACGTACGTGGAGGTGATTCAACGCGGGATAAGAGGTCCAAACATTGGATGTGACCATATCGAAGCATGTGCTGCGCCTCTTCCCAACAGGCTTGTTATTGACGTTTACGTTCTTACGTTTACATTTTTACGTTTACTTTTCTACGCGTAAAGTCGTAAATTTGCAAAAGAAGCTATTTTCACGGCTTTTTTTACGTTGTTGCGGCTCGTTGTGGCACCCAGCTTACGTGATGGAAGTTGCGTACAGTGATCAGTATACTGGCCCTTTGAGCGCCCGCAACACAGCGTCCACTTCCCACTCGGCAATGGCCAGGATGGAGTGGAACGAAATTCGTTTCTATCCATTCCAGTGCATCTGGATGCCATTCGCCGGAGTCCCGAAGGCTGTATGTACTGTCCTTATGTACGCTGGGCTGTTTTTACGTTGCATTTACGTATTTTTTATGCATTTTTATGCGTAAAAACGCAAAAAATATTTTTACGCATAAAAAACGTAAATACGATCTGTGTTTACGGCGTAAACAGCAAGCCTGTGTTCGACTGTGACTTGCACTGTTTATGGTGGGTGCGTCAGCCGGTGCACTGATGTGTGGCAACGGTGATTTGACCACATATCTGCGGATGTGGCGTAAATGCGAGCACCCAGCCCCAAAATCGCCGGCGGACGTGATCGCCACGACTGTCACATCAAGCACTCAACCAGGGCGCTGCCCTGTATGGCTCTGAACACCTCGGTCGTAAACCCAGTCTCCGTCTAAAAAAATGCGCCTGGGCAACCCTCAACAGATGTCCATTTTGACATTTGGACGCCGCTGTTGGAATTGGAATTGATGCTTCTTCAGGTCGACGTCAGTCCACATTGGCGCATCGCGTCTCTGGATGACTGAGCCACCATTGGGACGAAGTGGGCAAAAAGTTTGGTAATTGACATTTTAGCTTGCACTTTGCACTGTAGCCTTGAAGTCTGCCAGCAAGGATGTTTTCAAGGCTCTGCGTCAGAATGACGTATCGGAAGCAATTTTCGCGGTTCACGATTAGCCTCCACTTATAGAACGGACACACGGCTTGAAATGAGTCGCTCTGTCTTGTCCGTTAAGATCCCTTCTTGTTTGGACAACCTAAACCCTGAAAACACTGACCCACGTTGGCCTTTGTCACCAGAAGAAGAAGGGATCTGCGCGGAAAGACAGAGGGACTAATATATTCTCACTGGCGGACAGGCGCTGGTGGCTTGAGAGGCCGGTCCGGTCTCCTGACGGCAGCTACTTAACGGCGGTTGAGCGCAACAAAGCCGCGAATGCGCGCCCGTGAGGGGAGGCCACTTGGGGGAGTTCAGCAGTTTGCGGCGCCCCCCTGCTTCGGGACCGGCTGAGGAGGTCGCCATACCTGGGCTGCGGCGCTCGACTGGCTCGTGATGAAGTGGTACAGGTGGAGCCACCTCTCTCCCTTCCTGTGCAGCCACGCCCGTCCAACGGATCAGAGCGCAGGCTCCGCGGCGACGCCGAAGTGGTGCCGGCGCCAAATCCCTGTATCGCGCTGGCATCGATGTGCACAATGATGTGTGGAGCTTGCAGGTCTCGGAACCCACTGGCGAGCTGCGGGAGGCGCGAATGGAGCGACAGCGGAGGATGAATGCACCATGCAGACAGGCGTGGCTGCAGCCATTGATCAGGCGGTGGAGGAGGTGTCAAGGCTACAGGTGCTGTGTTTCTTGCTTGTTTCGAGTGGCAGGGGGACCCACTCTGTCCTTGGCTCGAGCCCCTTGGCGCGGGCGATCTCCTGCAGCCTCGCCCTGGCCATCTTCTCCGTGACGCCCGACTTGATAAAATAGGAGCACGTGGCCTCCAGGGCGCCCAGCTCCTTGGCGTTGCAGTTCTTTAGCACCTTCTCCAGCACCTGCGCCGCACCCTCAAGGACTTGGTGGCTGGGCGCCAAACCCGGAGGGGAGGCAGCCGTGGATGCTGGTCGGCTGTGCGCGGCAAATTCAGACCATGACCCCCAAGGTGGCCATTCGCCTGGGCTGCTGCCCCAGGCATGAAGTGCGGCCAACGGCGGCCAGGTCGCGCAGCAGCTTTCTGCCAAAGGGCGCGGCGGTTGCTAGTCGTCGAGGGAAGGCCCGTGAGGAAGAACGAAGTCGGTGATCCGGTCAGTGGTGCTCGCGGGGAGGCACATGGGTTGGGACAAGTTGGGGGGTGGTGGGCGATCGTCACGGACGGAGGTGCTCTTTCGCTCCACAGGGTGTCGATTCAGCGCCCCGTCTCCAGTCAGATGGACCCACGCCAGCCGAACATCAAGCCGACAGCCTCCAAGCTTCACCGCCACAGCGAAACGCCCTGGCGCCGCTGGAAGACCACCACTCCATTTCCTCGATCGGCGACGGCCGCCAGCGTCAAGAATCGTTTCCCATCCCAACAAAACAGCGACAGGGCGCGGCAGAAACAGAAACAGCAAAAGCATGAAGCCCCCAGGTCCGGCGGTGTAGCCGGGCCAACCTCAGGTTTGCGACCTCCAGGCCACCCCAACCAGCCCCCCTCACCTCCTCGGGTATCATCCCTAGGCAGCCCGTCAGCACGTGGTCCCGCGGCGCCAGCACGTAGCCCCCGGGCGGCCCACCTCCCGGCCGCCTGGTCGCCCGGTCCGCCCGCCCCGCCGCGCCGCCCGGCCCCGGCCCCGGCGGGCACATTGCAAAGAAGGACGTCACGGCATTCCTCACTTTGGACAGTCGGCCGGGGGGGTGGCCGGACACGGGGGGGCCGGGGATTCGGAGCACTCGGCTGACCGTCCTCCTTGGCCGCCACCGCCCCCTTTCCTCTCGGCCTGCGGGGACGGGAGGGGAGGCTGGAGGGGGGTCAGGCGCGGCCAGGCGGAAACCTTGAAATCCGTTCCAGGGACGATCCCTTGCTCGCCCTTGCAGCCGGAGGCGGACAATGGCGTTTTTGGCCGCCGCAGCGCTATTTTCACCTTCCCGATCGCGCGCGAACGCCTCGAACGGGGTGCCCCTGCCCGCTTGGGCCGGCGAAACACCATTCGGGGAAGATCCCCCGCCAGTGGGAGACGGCTTTTTCTGGATGGATTATTCGTCTCTGGAAGGGGAGGGGGGGGGGAGATGGGCACGCGCCTGGATATGGAGAGCATTTTGCGAGGCCGGGATGGCCTGCGCCGCGCAAGTGGACGCGGAGGAGTCCGAGAGGAGTGGGATGATCACGCGGGCGATGCCGCCGGGTGGTCGGTGATCGGTGGGCCCGGGGCTCCGCGAGCAGGGGGGGGCCGAGCGGCGGCGGGAGCGCCGCCAACGGGCGGCGTCTGCGGGAGGATCCGCACCCTCCCCCCGAGGCGGCTGCCCACCGCGACAGCGGCGGCCACTCTGGCGGACCCGTCCCACAATCTCCGGATCCCCACCCTGGCCCCGGGCTGGGATCCCCTCCTCCCCGCGAACACCAGTCGGCCTTGATTCGACCAGGTGGGCAACAGCACCAGGAGCCAATCGCCCCCGGCTCGGTGCGCCCGGCCGCTGTTCCGCGCCGCCCCCTTCACCCGCCCTCCCGTTCCTGCTTCCCGCTGGCGGCTCACCTGTGGACGCCGACTCCTCCTCGCTGGGTCCCATCCCTGACCCTCCTCGGGCGCCTGCTCCCCAGGCGTCGATCTACAGCGCGCTGTCCACTGGGAACCGCCCGCCGTGCGCGTGCCTTTGTGTGTGTTCGCGCGCGCGTGTGCGTGCGTGGGTGTGCGGGGGGCAAGGGGCTGTCTCAGGAGGGTGACAGCTATGCGCGCGGGGTGTGGGGCCAGACCCGCCGGGCACGAGGTGCGAAGGTGCGGGGCGCACAGGCGCGGCGGGGGCAGCTGCCAGAATCGCGGGCGAAGGGGCCCCATGGAACGGCGCTTCCTTGCCCTTGGCAAAAAAATGGGGCGGAGAGAAGGGCAAGATTGGTCGCAAAGAGAGAAAGAAACAGGTCGTACAAGGGGCAGCCCCTACTAAGCAGCTGTACCATAAAACATTCAACCCTTCGGCATCAGCTTTTACCATTAAGCTTTCTGCTCCGCAATATTTTTCAGAGCCTTTTTTTTGTTCTTTTTACACTGCTCCGTAAGAAAAGATAAAACGCGGCACTGCTATTTATCAATCTTCTCTGCAGAAAAGGCCAAGCGTTACGTTACTGTGCGGAAGGGTTGAATGTTTTACTATATGGGAGATTCTTTTCCAGACTGTGATAAGAGGATATCTGTAAGATGATATGTGGTATGGGCGGAGGGGAGGGGGATGGGCGTGAGTGCCACGAACTGCACACATGTTTGCCAAATACCTAAAAGCACAACTGTATAATGCAGGGCGGTACTATGTGACGGTAATGTGGGAAAGAGATGCGAGGAACGCCTGATGAGTGTGCATCCGGCGTTGATGGCAGTAGTGTGAGAGCCGCCCTCAGGGCTGCGACTACGGCTTTGTGTGCAAGGAGCTCTGACCCCGTTCCTCGCTTCTCCCAGCGCCAACAGCGGCACAGAACCATTAGGGAGCCTAGAAGTTGGTACAATAAGTGTGGCTAGTAACTGTGTACTTGTAGGACCGCTGGGTGTATTCGAGACCAGGTAGAACCCAATGCCACTGCTATCAATTCCATGAGACACTTCTTTCCTTTCCAAACACGGCCGCACAAGCGCAGTCCCCGGAATTTTAATATATTTAGCTGGCAATGCCCTAAAATACTGTTCAATGACCCAACAAGTCACTTTCCGTCATGATTATTAAAGCTCAGTACTCGCCGTCTAACTCAGATGTTGCAAGCGCCGCCGCCAGGGGCCGAGGCAAGCAAGGCGTAGATTTTATCGCAGCCGTTGTCCATACGTGTCCATTCATGGAACGTGACATCAAGTTTCTTTGTGCGGATCTGCCCTTCGTTATCCCTTGCCCTAGTCTCCACACTCCAGAAATATGCCAACATGTTGTGTAGCGGACAGTGTCGAATATCAGAGGAGCAGCACATCCTCCCAAGGTGTTGCGTACGATTCTTGACAAATTTTTGAATCTTCAACGGTGTTTCGTAATGAAAACTAGATTCTGTTCATGCAAGACTTGAGGCTCACATGTGCAAAAACATCAAAATGTGCATGAACGTTCTGGCTGCTTCGCGCGATATTTTGCTCCGCTGTACGATTGCTTATCGCGAAAGGTGCAGCGCTGACGGTCGGTGCCTGTGGACACCATCTGGCGGGTATCCCGCCAGAGAAAACTGGCTTCGCGTGGCCACGCATGGCACGGCAACTACAATATTGCGAGGATCCCCAAAGTAACCAACGTCCGCGATGGTTGCATGAAGGGACTAAGCATGCCTTGGGTAAAGTCGCCCTTCACCAAATGCACTATGCAAGGGCTTGTTGAGGCTTCTGATGAAGAGTCTCTCGCCTCTCGAAGACAACGCGACATTTCAGGTTGCATTTGATGGCAGGAATAGTAGCAATGACGACCCTGCTGCCCTTGATGTCATATGCGGGGCACTCAGGAGTGGCAGTGAGTTCGTTGTCACAGGGGATCCGCGCACGGCTTGTAAGATTGTATTAGGAAGAAATTGAAAAGTAAAGGACTCTGTTGTGCGGTGTCGTATGTCCTTGCCATTTTTGTTGATGGGCATTTCAATGGGCAGGCGACGAGGAGATTTCGGTCCTGCCCAACGATGTCCTTCCGTGTGATATGCTGACTTACATGTCAAAATGTCATTCAGAAGGCCCTGAGGATCCAGGAACAATCTTAGGGATGTGAAACGTGCCCCCGACGCTTGCTTGAAGGGAATTACGAACGAGCTTGTGGACAGTCGATGGCCAACGTGGATCGGCGTGTGTTGGTCGGAATGGAAGTTTTTGAACCCAAGTTGGCAAAGCTGCTGAGAAAGAAGGCGGGACAGCAAGAGTTTCATCCCATCTCTGGAACCTAATATGTGTCTTGCTTCAGTATTTCGTTACTTGTCCGAATGATTGCATCAGCGCTTGCTTTTTCGATCGAGGTAAAATTCAATTGCCCACGTGCTTCGACAACCCGCCTGCCTAAGTGATTAATGCTTGGACTCTCCTTATCCAACTGTTCAGCGACATGCGCTCCGTCAAAACCAGTTGGCCACCAATCCTTGCAGGCCTCCAGGATCACTTGGAGCGGGCTCCCAGCTCCATGAGTTCGTAGCGAAATGTCTTTACGTAACTTAAACGTAACTTTTCTTAATGAGGGTTCGGGAATGACTCCAGACACCCGTAACGACAAGAACGGTTCCTGCCACGTCAAGCGCCACGCATCGCAGGCATGTAATTAATCCCTCTGTCTTTTCCGTGAAGGTCCCTACTTGTTTTGGACAGCCTAAGCCCTAAACAACTGCGCACTGACCCGCGTTGGCCTTGTGAGCGAAAGAAGGAGGGGCGCTCACGGAAAAGACAGAGGGGCCAATACGTTCTCCGCATCGCCGACAACCAACAGTCGTCGCCAACTGCCGGACGAGTGGTCCAGTCGCCTCGAAGAACTTAGAAGCGACGCCTGCGGCCGCCATGCCGTTTGGCCAGCTGGTGATAGGCCCCCCCGGCAGCGGGAAGACGACTTACTGCAACGGCGTCCAACAATATATGGAGCTGACGGGTCGCAAGGTCGCCATCGTCAACCTGGACCCCGCCAACGACGCTGTGCCGTACGCAGCCGCCGTGGACGTGTCGGAGCTCGTGGACCTGGAGAGCGTGCAGGAGCAGATGCAATTGGGCCCAAATGGAGGTGGGTTGGCGCAAATCACTTGAAAAATGGATTCCTATCTCCTGCCATTTGGCACGTCTTGCACAGCTGATCCCCTGCGAGTGCAGCTGTCCAAGGATGGACGAGTCATCGAATCCGATTTGATACCATGTTTGGAAGGATGGTCCGGATCAATGCCCGAAATGCCAGCAGGGCAGCCAAGGGCTGCAACTGCCTATACCTGTGAAATGTTGACTGCACGCAATACCCAAAGATGGTTGTTGGCGATGGAGGACAACAATTGTCTCTGCATGTTTCAAGCCCCTGACGCTTTTCGGCCCCACTTGCCAATTTGTACTGTGCCAAATGCTGGTGGAGGGGTGAGATGGTTAGTGCTATGCAATGTGCAGTTCCACCTCTATTGTATCTGCTGGCATGGGCGCAACACCCCAGACGATGCTGGGCACTTTTGGGGGTTCCGAATATTCTCCAAAAATTGTATTGCATCCAACACACAGTCGCCGTGCTGAAAACAAAATCTGCATGCTCAGGAGTTGCAGGTACTGCAACTCAGTTGCTAGGTCAGAAGTGCTGTTTTGTGCAGTTTGGTAGCATCAGATCAAGTGACAACTGAGGCCCAGCAAATTTAGAAAGCAGATGCTTTCCACAGAGCATGCGTGATTTGAAGCATCAAGTTGCTATATACCTGATATGGACTGTACCTCACACATGCTGAGGTTACCTGTTGGTGCAAGATGATTCTGGGAAAGGGCTGGAGACACTGGCTGTTGGATGGCAATAACCCAAGAAGGCTCGATTATTGGCTGAGTGTTTGCCCTACCCAGGTCTGGTGTATTGCATCGACTTTTTGCTAAAGAATATTGACTGGCTGGGGACAAAGCTGAAACCACTTGAGAAAGGTGAGCCCACATGGCATGCTTGCTGTGCTGCTGTGTTGCTTTGCGATGATTAGCATATGCATTCCTGTCAGCATGGGTGCATTTAGGGGGAAGCCTTTGCTGCATCATTGCAGAAATCTGGAGGGGATTCTTTTTGTGCTGTATATGGCTGTTTGCGCCTTTTGTGCATCATTGCTATTGTTGATAAGGTGCCACTTTATTTCAGTCTCAAACTGAAATGGGGATACACAATCAGGGTGGTGAATGTGCAGTTGAAACCCCTCTCTGGGCATCATGAAATCGTTGTCCCAGACAGGGAATACCTCAAGGGTAGACATGATACCTGGGCCTACAGCTGCAACGTTTCACCAACTTCACAACAGATTTGCGCAGTCAACAATTGCCAATTTCTGCCAGTGGGCTGCCAAAATGGCAGCCAACTATCTGGCTGTCCTAACAATGGTGTCCAGCTGTGGCACGTTTCTGACTCTTCAACTTCACAGCACATTTGTTGCTTCCTCAGAGGACTGCTACTTTTTGTTCGACTGCCCTGGACAAGTTGAGTTGTTCACGCTGCACGAGAGCTTGAGGGGCATTGTCCGGCACTTGACTGGAAAGTCGCACTACAGGCTGGCAGCTGTGCACCTGGTGGACGCACACCTATGCAGCGACCCACACAAGTGCGTGTCAGAGCAAGCATGTAACTTGGTGGAACGTTCACTGCACGCACATTCTATATCTGAAGAGTGTCGACCTTCAGGACGCAAGTCTTTTCATGGCCATCCCTGCAGAGTATGTGGGCAGCTTGCCACTTTGTGGAAGCTGTGTGCATTGTGCAGCTCATTGGGAGTGTGGCACGTCTGTGCATCATGCGGGGAGATTTAGATGGGCTTGTCAATGCCTTGGGAATGGTGTTTGTGCCGAAGCCAGTCTCGATTGCTTGTAGGGTTGAGTGCATGGGTACTGTCATCACTCACTGTGATTGTTGCAACAGCTGTAGCTAGCTGCCCAAGCACTGCCACTCTCTGAAGGGCACTCTGGAAAATGATTCACACTTGACAAGTGTGTCCAGGCCCCAGATTGACGATTGTATTGATGTCTCTTTGAAACAGCATCGTCATGATCTGTGTCAACAGGTACATTAGTGCAGTGTTGTTGTCTCTCAGCGCGATGCTGCACCTTGAATTGCCGCATGTCAATGTCCTATCAAAAATGGACCTCATCAAACAATATGGCGACCTAGGTGAGCCATGTGCAGGCATCTTTGACGATGATAGCTCCTGCCCACTGCATGTTTGTGATGAAATGTGTGTTTTGCATGCCTTTCAAAGATTTCCTGCTACCACCTCTGCCAGTACTCCGATGAACGTTCTCTGACTGATTCATGCAAACTGTGGCTAAGTTTCATCATGGGAAGTCTGTCGTGATGCTCTGCGCATAACACTTGTGATTCATGAGAGATTGGAATTTTAGTAGTCGGTGTTAGATTCTGGTGGTCCTGGATGAGGAAAAATAATTTGCTGTTGCTGCTCGGAGCTCAGTTGGGTGAAACATTGACATTGTAAGTATCATCCCCTTCAGGCTCCAAGAAAACGCTGCATATTCCACTGCATCATTTCTATTCTGGGCTGCTGCAGTTCATGCCCTTGAGTGTGCTACCCAACAACCTTTGGCGGAAAGTTGATTCATGCTCAATTATGTCTTGTGCAGCTTTCCAGCTCGACTACTATTTAGAAGCGCAGGACTTATCGATGGTTCTCCAGACGATGACTGGCAATGCGGCATTCTCTGAACGTTTTAAGTGAGTACGGCGGGGGTATTGCTCTGAAAGGTGGAAGTTGGCTGAGAACGTGGGGAGTTGTGCTCTGTCTCTGCACCTGCCTTCCACTGTATTGCTATTTTGTATTTCAGCAAACTCATTCGGTATTGTGTCCAGCTAAGGGGTTGTTGCAATGCCAGAGACCTCAAAGAGACAGCGCTAGAAATGTAGGCTGGGGCCCGTTGTGATGAACCCGCCTTCCAATGCAGTGGTCTTCATACGTTAAAAGGCGTTTCTGACGATCACACTAACCCCTAACCTGGCAATCTCTCCGTTGGCCTTCAAGAAATTAGTTTCCGATGTGCTGCAGTTCAAAGGCAGCAGCTGCTGCTGTTGTTGTTGCATGCGATTGTAAGTGGTGGCAACGACAGGAGATCAGCCTTGCTCGAATGTGTGGTTCAAAGCAATGATATGTCAGGATTGGAATGGCTGTACGTGCTGTCTCATCATGGCGCTTTTGCAGCTGTGCGTCTCTGTAGCCCCTGCCATTGGAGTTTCAACATCGCCAGCGAGCGCTGGCACGATTGTTGCCAGGTGCCAATGCCGTACTGGTAGAATCAATCTGTGAGTTTGGGGTGCTGAATGGTGTGCTCAGATCGCTGAGTTCGGCCATTAGTGAGGTGGTGGACGAATTCGGCCTTGTGGGCTTCACCCCGTTGGCCATTGAGGTGTGTCATGCCTATCACAAACTGGCAGCAAATTGGAAGCGACGGCCCCACGCCGCTGCGCGGCATCTTGATCACAACTCGAGTGCATGCAAGCAGCTTGTTGCGCCCCATTTTTCCATTGCCCATGTCATCTGCATGATGCAAACTCCAGCGCTCTTCTTTCGCCTCTGTGAATGCATGCATTGCGATAGAATATCAACTTGTTTTTTTTTCTTGCCGCAGTTTGTTGCTTTAATGTCTTCACAGCGGCAGTGGCCCGATATGTGACAGACCTTCAGCTCGACGCGATGCTTCGATCTTGGGCCGTTTCGGCGTCTGTTGTATTTTGAGTTGCTGGCAACCATGGACTTCACATCCACGCAATCAACAAGGCTTTGTCAGGCATTGTAATTTGTTATCTTGGCTGCCACAACGCTTTGACCATGGGCCAGAGTGGAGCCACCAGGCCTGCGCATGTTCATGTGTTAATGCTGGCGAAAATTCGCTTGTTGTCCCCATTAATCTGGTGGTGACTTGGCGCCATGCACTATCAAATGGCGTATGCAGTTCTCGGTCGGTGCTGATTCGCATTTTTTTGCCATTCAAGGACAAGGAGAGCGTCTCAAATCTGATCAACATTGTGGACAAGGCCAATGGTTTCCTGTACTCTGGGACGATGGGTCGATCACCTTACCCCGCCGAATTGAAGCTAGGCGCCCAGACTTTGGCAAGCGGCCAGGACTTGCGGCGTGCGCACCAAGAAAAATACGTTGAGGGGGATGTGGAGGAGAGACACACACGGGAAGACGAGATTTGAATTGACCACGTACTTGCACCATTTGTTTTGTAAACTAGTAGAGTTATTCGGGCAGAGGATCCACAAGCATGGTCATGGTGCGTTCTTCAGATGCTTTTAAACCACCTGATTCATGCTTGCAGAATGCTAATGGCAGTCTACAGATGTACTGACGCGATACCCTGAACGATTGTGTCGAGTCCTTTGTTGTTTCTGTAATACTCGGCTGCTGTGCTGTGAACTTACAATGCTTGCAACATGACTATATTTGTACAGACGGGACTCACAAATGGCTACCGATGCACGAACGTTGCATTAGTGTTAGTTCAATCCTGAAGTGTGAGGTATTTTGTGCCCGCATCTGGATGTAAACATTATTGCCGGGATTGGAAACGCGAATTTTGTGTGAGCATTTCATTAATTGCAATACGCCAATACTATAGGATATTCAATCCTTCTGCATCGGTCCATCTCAACGGTTACGTTTTTGCTCCGCGTTTTCGTCCCAGACCGTTACATTTTTTTGCTCCGCGTCGTGTTGGGCGGGTTCCGAGGGGGCTCTAGAGGCTGTATCCCAAGTTTCAGGTGGAACGGACCAGTCCCAAGCCTCATATGTCCGTCCACCATGCGACACAAAAAACCCAGCTCTGGGGACGGTTCCCAAGAGTCCTAGTGACGTGCGAGGAGAGGCGCCGCTGGATAGTGGGCTGCCCAGCGACTTAACGGACGAGAAAATGGAGGTGGGTATGAAAACATGTGGTCGCCCAGCATTGTTGTTGGTTCTTTGTGTGATACACTTGTAGAGGCCGCTCACGGGGTCGAGCCCATGAAGTGTAAGGATATAATGGAACACATAACCCCGGGGGGGAGGGGTGGGGTGGGGTGGGGTGGGGGGGCTCGAGTGCCTGGATGACGTCCGCTTGGATGGAGCGTCCCAGCGTGGCAGCGCGTCGTCAATGGCATTGGGTGGGATCCACTTGTGGAGGTTGCTCGCTGGGTCGAACCGGGGAGCGCAAGCGTTGTGGTTCACATTCTGTCGGGGTGGGGGGTCGGGGGTGGGGAGGAGAAAGCATGGTTCCGCTGGCCCCATGGAGTGCCATGGAAGACATACTCTTGGGTGGAGCAACCCACCACGGTTGCGCAGCGTAAATGGTGCGTTGTGTGGGATCCACTTGAGGAGGCCGCTCGCAGGGTCGATCCTGGGGAGCACAAGTGTTGTGGCTCACATTTTGTCCCGGGGGGGAGAAAACGCGGTTCCGCCAACCCCGTGGAGTGCCATGGAAGACGTCCACTTGGGCGCAGTGACCCAGCATAGCCACTTGCGGCTTCGGACCCCACAGGTGCAAGAAGCATGGTTCCACCAGGTCCCTCAATTACCATCAATTGTTTGCAACCTTTAACTTCCTTTTTGTTGTGTGTTTCCAGTTTGTTGAATGCCATGCTGTTGGATCAACATGACAACACGGGACGCACGGGACGCACAGGACGCACGGGGCGCATGGGGTGCACGGGATACACGGGATGCACAAGATGCACATAACGCATAGGACACAAGACACAAGTATGTTGGGTTGAGCTGGGCTGGTCTGGGCTGCCTTGGGTTGAAACACTAAGAATATGGACGTTGATACACTAGGTTCAGGGTGGGGCTATGTCTAAGGTAGTTACGGCCACGGGCTTGGGGATACTGCTGAGGGTACAAAGTTACAAATAGGTCGTGGACAGGCATGTCCCTTTATAGTCATACAACCATCTGCCAAAGATGGACCAGTCACTGCCATGTCATTCACCCCCAACACACATAGAGCATCGCCCTTGATGTGTAATTGCATCAACCGAGCAAACCAAGGGAACCAAGAAATTGGTAGAAACCATCATCAAGGAAACATTCAAATCTTCAAACACTTGGCCAGCCATCATATATAAGGCCTTGAACGTGAACACGCAAACCAACCTCAAAGGAACACATCAAGAGCCAGAGCATCAGCTCAAGAATCCATCAAAAGAAACTAGATTTGGAAAGGAAACCATCAACTCAAGAGCAACACGTCTTGGCAAACCTCGCCACCTCCATGGAGCATCTTAGTAACTCAAACCTAAGCTGGCCCATCGGCGCTCAGTGCGCGCCCCCAGCAACAAAGACAATGCCATGCCCATTGCATTGGAATTGCCACGTGGGCCTCACTCATGCTCTGCCACGTACTCGCTTGACACGGTAGTAACGCTCAACCCTGCATCAGTGTGACGGGTCTCTATGTAGGACCACACTGTCAGCTAGCATGAGCTGACATGAGCTGCCGTTGTGCTGGCTCTTTGTCACATAATCCTTGCTATGGGGACGTGTGTGCTGTGTAGCAAGCACGCGATCCCTTTAGCACAACCATCCACTCAAGCTACCACTTCCAACCAAAGGCGTGGCTCACACTCGCCCACCACAACTCAACAATGGCATGTTGGCTTCCATCACAACTCTGTCATCGTAACTCCAGCGAATGCACAGCCACGGTATTGACGAAACTGTCCTACGCATCGTCCACCGCCCTCAATCACATTTTCGTCGCGCTCATCTCGGCTCTCACATGACTGCTCCTTGGCCATCGCTAGGCACCACTCATCACGTCATGAGTCCAGCAGACTACAAAGTGGGGCGGCACAATGCTCGCGTGTGCCTTGGCATCACACGATGCCACGTGGCCGTATAGTCCCGCAATCCCACCCTTACCTCAGGTGCCACATGCTACGCTAGGTAGCAAGGTGGGGCTATGCCAAAGGCAAGTACCACCACGGGCTTGTGGACACTGCTGAGGTTGCACAGTTACAGATAGGTCACGGACAGGCATGTCCCTTTATAGTCATACAACCATCTGCCAATGATGCACCAGTCACTACCATATCAACATGTCTTTAAATTTGTTGAAATGATTGTATGTCAATTGATGTTGCCTCTGTTGAATTGAAATCATGCCAGGCTTGGCAGACATAATCAGTGATATGTGCATACCACAATCAAGGATTGGCTGAGGATTGGCTGACAATTATTGAAATTCCAATTACATCCTGGACCTAGTGTGCATTGTTCTTGTGCAAGTCCAGTTCTATGCTCATTCACAAGACATGGCAATGTGCCATTCTTCATGCATGTTCAAGAAGGACACATACTTGTGGCTACAGGCACAAACCACTCGATTATAATCCCCACATTGAAGGCATAGGTAGTACACGTGGTCTAGCTTGCTCATATCAATAGCTGCCAAGGAACATATGAAGATGCTTGCACAATTGCATCGACCATTCACATAGACAAATACTTTGTGCATAGGGATGTGTCTTTCCAAGAATGGATGACAATATCATATCCTCAATTTGAGATTGTATGAGTTCCGGCGGGATGCACTAGGGAAATACAATGGACAAAATTGGCATTGAACAAACCATTCAACACAATTGATGAAAGATATCATTGAAAAACTAGGGTCTAGCGCAAGTGTTGGTTGTGATGTGATATTCTCAAAGAGTATCATAAGAATTGCGCCAAAATGGTTGGGATGGCTTTTGAATGTCTACGAGGATTTGAAGCGCATTGATCATGCCCCTGCATTCGAGAAGGCAGGGTACAACTTGGTTTTCGACAAGGCCTTTGCGAAAGAGACTTTGTCTCGTTCCCGAGAGTTGTTCCCAAATATTTCAAGAGAAAGAGGAGATATTCAATGGGATGGTGGAGCAGACACTAGTGAAGAGGGTTCTAAGCCGATGGAGGAAGTTGTTGTGCCTAAGGAGGAGGAAATTGCAACTCATGAGAGATTTGAGAATGTCCGGAAATTCAATGATATAATGCAAGGACAATTTTACATGCATGAAGGTCCCTCCCCCCATGTGCATTTGGAGCCAAGTCATATAAACACAAATCGGGGTTGGAGTCAGAGTTGGAGGTGGAGGCAGAGGCCGAGTCGGGATTGGAATTAGAGTTGGAGTTAGAGTTAGAGTCAGAAGTGGAGTCAGAGCCAGAGTTAGAGTCAGAGCTGGAGATGGAGTCAGAGCTGGGGGATGATGCAATAGAAATTGATAGGCCAGATATAATGGAGTCTAATTAGTATATCAATTGTGCAATTTAGTGAAATAGTGAGAGGGTTGGTGAGGACAACACTATCCTAAGACTTGTTTTTTATTCTTAAGGGACAGAACTATCTTGTGTGGGGATGGACTGGGAGGGATTGATTGTATGTGGAGAGGGACAATTTGTTTGTTTTGTTTGTTTCTTTGTTGGGTTTTTTGTTTCTTTGTTTGTGCATTCGTTTGTTTCTTTTCCAACTCTGAACACATCGAATCCTGTTCCTGGCTCTACCCCCCCCACCCCCCCACCCTTTCCCTTACCCCGTTCCTGTAATGGGGGATGCAGCGGGCGCGATTGATCTGGTCTGCTAAGCATGGTTCCTTGCCATGAACCTGTGCCCCCTGAGTAAGGGCCCCCCACCCACCCACCCACCCTTTGCCTCATCCGCCCAGCTCACCCCGCTCCCCGTGCTCCTAGCCTTGGGTGGCTTTCAAAGCGCCGCGCCTCCCTTCCTCCCCCTTTCCCCGCTGGCCCCCTGCGGTGACGTGGCTGCTTGGGGTTAGGCTAAAATTGACATTTCTGAAGCGGCGGTTGGTCAAAAAAGTGCAAATACGGCAAAATCAGCTTATTCAGGAGCTCCTGATGCCAATAGCGACTTGAAACGTCCAATTCCATGTAGAAACGGCGAAGTTATGGCCAGTTGAAGTTGCAGTACTTTAGCATGGGATTCGGACCGGTAGATGGAAGCATCGGGGATTATGTGGAGCTGATTTAGGTGAACGGTGGACGGTGACGATGCGCCTGGACACGCACTTGTCTTGTCTTGCCATGATGTGACCGCGATGGACCCGCGATCGGGCATCGCGCATGCGATATGTGCGCGCGCATGCTGTGAATCTATGTAATCGTTCTTGGCCCACTGCCTGGTCTCTCCATGACCAGCGAGCCACCGACCAGCTGCGCCACCACCCGCCGCATACAGCAGGCCCCGGGGGACGATCCCCATCGCTCTGGGCCCACCGCGCATCCGAGGGAACGAGCGCCCCGCTTCCGCCCACCGAAATCGGTGGAGAGGGCTGGCTGACCTCCAACAGCCAAGCCGCAGGGCGTGGCGACCCCACGAGCTTCGGAAACCAGCGGCGCCCTTCAAGGCCGCAACACCCCGGGCCGGCCGTTGGTCAATGCACGCGCGCCCACTGATGGCCCCCACTCCCCACCTGAGCCATTCTGTACCATTCCGTTAGCACGTTCGTCTTCAGCGCCCACTCTCCCCGCTGCCTGGATGGCAAGCAGCGGGCACTTGCCTGCCTGCTGATCAGTCGCCCATGAGCCTGCTGGGTGGCCGGAAGCACCAAGAGGATGGTGCAAGGCAGTGCGGACCTTCGCGTTTCCATTCGGCAGCAGGCCGGGCGACGCAATCGGCTGCCTGGGTCGAGTTTGCGATCGCTTCCCAAGGTTTGAGGCCCGAGCCGCCCGAATTGCTAGTGGCGGGCGCCTGCCTGCCTGCCAAACGATCGCCCAGTGGCCAAGCTTGTCCCAAAGCTGCGCGCCCTATTCATTACTGAGTTCGGATGCTCTGCAGTTTGTTGCAACATCATTATTGTTTTGTGGGAAAATGACAAAAGGGCTCCTCTATGAGATATCTTGACAAAAGGGGGTTATTTGCGGGGGTGAATTTGTCAAAAGGATGTCTTCTAAACGCCCCCCATACATTAGCCATGTTGCAAGACCGGCGCAAGACCGACGCCGCACTGGCACCAGTCTAGCACCAGGTCGGACCACGGTGCTACTAGGAGCGGCACCTCTAGGAGGGCGCAGGGAGCACGCAGAGATCAGAGCCGTGGGAGGGAGTTGTAGCTATCATAGCTGCGAGGGAGACCAAGCGGCGATCGGGGCTGCAGGGAGAGCAAGCAGCGACCGGAGCTACGGTGAGAGCAATGGGTGATCGGAGCTACTTGGGCGATCTAGTGGCGATTGGAGCTCTAGGAGGGAGTCGCAAAGATCAGAACTGTGAGTGCAAACCAACTTGTGGATAACGGCTATGGGGATTTGGGGATGGCTTTTGACAATCTGTCAAAATGTTTGTTGCATATGTTTTCTTGCTCTTTGGCATTGCCTTCATTTTACATGCTCCTGGTTTGGCAGTAGTCCACAATCCACAGGTCACTTCCAGTGGCCAAAAGAACTTTGGTGAACCATGTGGTTGTGAGTGTGAACTGAGTTTTGTGGGATAGTTATGGTGGATCCGGGCATGGATATCCATCAACATCGATGCTGACGGTTTGTGAGAAAATTTGTGGCGTTCCTATTGATGTTGGCTGACAATGCTTTCACTATGAGAAAAATATGAACACTAAGTTGTGTTGTACAACTTTGTGGGATCTCTGAGTAAGGGTTACTAATATGCTCAAGGCCCTGTGGTGAATGTTGTGTGTTTTTGCTGGGATCTTAAACAGCTGATTGAAATTCAACCACCACTACTGAGGGCCGGTGTCAGGTGTCAGGAGGTATATGCGGTGTAAGATTCAGAAACCAAGGCAACCCCTACAACAACCCCAAGAGGAAAATTGACAAAAGTGTCTTCTGCAGGGGTGCATTTGACAAAAGGGGGTTCTCTGCGGGGTCGCCCCTAGTAGGACCGGCTTGCCGACCGGCGCCGGTCTGGCGCCGGTCTTGCAACCTGGCTAATGTGTGGGGGGCGGTCAGAGGAACCTTTTGTCAAATGCACCCCCGCAGAGGACCCCCTTTTGTCAGAGGAACCCCTTTTGTCAAGATATCTCACAGACACCCCCCTTTTGTCATTTTCCCTTTTTATTCATCGACTCCATGAAAAAGGGCCCAGCGTTACGTTACTATCCAGAAGGGTCTAAAATACTACGTTACCCAGTTGGCATTATACTCTCTTGCCTTGGTGTTTCTTCCATCAATGTCCTAAAACAATTTGCAGAGATCAGGAACGACTATTCGCAATTTATGCAGTGCCGAATGCGGTGGCCAGGATGGTGTGCCTGCTTGTATCCAGTTGGTAGTTGCGTTGGCAGTTGACAATGATCTCTCTTCGCCAAAAGCCGCACGAACAGCAAAGGAGCGATTTCACAGTCGGCGCGCCAGCCAGCCCCCCACAACAGCAGGAGGGGCAGACGGCCGATAGATACCTTCCTTCTAATCTGACACACTGTTTTGACAGCGCCCTGCCAGCGTAAGTGTACAGTTGCCGATACCAATAACATGACACAGAGTTGGTGTGCCAATATTGCGCAGCACAATTCATGCTGTGAATAGCACAACGCTGCGACCTGAATCGCCTTGCGGGCGAATGGGCAAGGCTGAACTCCAAACGTTTGTCAAATTTCGGCAAATGCAATTGAAACGCACGTTCGGGAATCCCTGGGGTCCCGATCTCACGAGGCACATGGCCAGCACCTTGCCCGCACAGGCAGGAAACTTGCATAGGTTAAAATGGAGCTGAGCAGCCAGAAACCGCTTTGGAGGGGCTGCTGACAGCAATTCTTGAATATCGAAACCATGTGCGTCATTGTCGACTGAAGAACTGGGCCCCTTCAGTCACCTACCAAATCGTGATGCTCATGAGTGGTCCCGTTTCCCCAACTGCGATAAATGCATGTAATTGCCGTTATCCCTGCTCCGGACATCAAACACAATTGCAGTCATGCCCACACTGCACATGGTGCAGTGCACAAGCACCACACTCAGGGCTCGTCTCTAATCATCCTGGCTACTTTAAATCATTTACACAACCGGTAATGTGACCCCATTGCTGCGTGTGGGCGGCAGACATGGTAAGTCAGTGCAAGCCGGCATCCCGACACTGCAACTCCACAAATCTATCCAGAGCCGAAATCAACACATCCTTCATTGGGCTCTTCAGCCTCGACACCATCGAGACAAGCCACTGGACCAACAGTCGCAGTGGCACTCCGCAGGCACTCCGGGCGACAATTTCGTCCCTGGTGCCAGCTCTTGAATTGTGTGGCTGGTCACCTTCCGCTGGGCAAGGTGACAATGAGGGGGCTGCAGCTGCTCGGCTTGCACCGCACATGGTTTGCATCAGGTTCAACAAGAGGGCCTGCATTGCATGCACGCATGGGCGTCAGTACTTCATTCAAGCATGCCAGACCAGCAGGTGCGAGGCTCTATGCCTGAGAAGCGCACAGCAATGCATATTTACATGAATACGAACATCTGTACGCAGGGAGGGCATGTGTGCAGATGGAAGTTCCGATGTTAACAACATTTGGTTCACAACTCACAGATCTCCAACATCATGACCGCCGTGCTTCATCACCAGCAATAGCTGCGGTGGGCCTCGACAGGCAATGAAAGGCAATAACCGGTTAAACGGATATCCTATGTCAATTTTCACAACCCCACGGTTGATCCAACAATGGGAGCCGGGTGAAAAATCAACAATGGCAAGTGGCAACCACGGCGTCAGGCCATTATCACTCCTCACCTGCAAGCCAACACAATCAAAGCCCTCCTGCAGGACTGCAGCAAGGCCACAAACTTCACGAAAACATCTCCCACACAGCATCTCCTTTCCCACAGGGTCCCTGAGGCCACCCACCGCGTCTCTGTCTCTGACCACCAAGACCCAGCACGTCTGTGCTAAATGGGAGATGCACTGGTCAACGGCTCTCAAGTGGCCCACGACTGAAACTTCCTCACGGCGAGCAGCCAGAACGTGCACCACACGGCACATGGTCTCGACAACGAGACAGCTCCGGCTTATCTCAGCCATAGTGCTGGTTTTCAGGTTGCTGGCTGGGGGCGGGAAAGGCTGCGTCTGGGGAACAAGGATTGTGAAGAGTGCGGGGAGGCAGCGCAGTGTAATGCGCTGGGCTTCGGAATGTGTCCAAATGGGGAGCAGGTGAGCAAGAGCGACCACCAAAGTCCAGGGAAACAGAGTGCTGGGGCATGCACGCATGGTCGTGACCAGCCGGGTCGCAACCATGCACAAGTCCCGTTGGACCACTCCATCAAATGACGCAGGCTCAGTCCCTGCCTGATCACAGGTGGTGCGGTCATGGCGGCATTCCTCATCTCTATTAACGTGACTACATGCTGCTTGCAGCGCGCTGGCATGCATCTCTGATCCCGATCCAAACGACAGCAGATCGCTCATCAACTGTACCCATGCATACGAGATTTGCACATATGCAGTCTGGGAGGTTTCCCCATCGACGCCTCCATGTTGTGTCGAATCTGGCTCAAAATTCCCAAGAGCAGAGGCTGGTACGATGTCTCCCATGTTATACGTTGCGCTCTGATCGATGTGCAAGCACACTGCCCAAAGTCTGATACGTATTGGCCAGCTGAACACTTGCAATCCCTCCAGCAACTTGTTGACCTGCATTGGTTCCTGGCCACAGGAAAACCCATGCGACTTGCTGATCGTGATGCAACATTGTTCCAGCAAATGTGTGACAAGCTGCAACGCAGCGAGTGAGAATGAGTCGCCTTTGACTGCCCCGGTTGTGAGCATTGCCAGCTGAGCTTCCCCAAGGTAGCAGAGTACAAGCAAAAAGTCTGTGGCTGTTTCGCTGCCAAGAGCATTCCATGCAGTGGCCATTGCCAGGGTTGGTGATTCAGACGGGCTCGATTCCCAGCCCATGTCCATCATGCCCATCGCCACTAAAAGGAGAGCCTCCAGCCCTGCTGGAGAACGCATGCGATTTGCTGTCCTGATCACTAGGTCACGCATCATCAGTTTCCTGGAGAGCAGTGGGTCTGCACCACCTACGAATTTGAACATGAGAAGCATCAGAGTCCTCCAGCAGCGGCCGTGTACATTCCTTGGTGAGCACGACAGTACATGCAACAAAGTATTTGCACATTTGCCACACCAAGGCAATACAGGTGACTTCACTTTTTCACCAGATGTACTTCTGCACTGCAGAAGTTCGTCTTCTGAAATCAACTGCTTTGAAGCATTCGATCTTGAACAGATGCCAAAGGGAACACAGGCTGGAGGACCCTGATCAAGTGATTCGCATCTGTAGTGGACGTTGCAGCCAGAAACCAGGTGATGTTGCAGTTGTCTCAAACACTTTCTTCTGCAAACAATGTCGAGAGCTATGGTGCAGCTAAAGCATTGGCACACAATACACAACACCCATGGTACATTATCTCTTGAAGGCTGCTGCCTATTCAGGCAGCAGAGTTTGGGGTGAGTGCTTGGAGTGCGCAAATCAACGAGCCAGGTTGTTGCATGTCAGCTTGTAGCAGAGACTACAGCAAAAACTGGATGCCTCCACAAACCTGTTATGTGCTTTGCCAATGCAGCAAGGGCCTCCCTCCGTGGAGCTGTTTCGAGCACATTCCCAGGACTTTCCATCAGCTCTTGCAGGACATGAAGCAAAAGAGGCTGCTTCCCACACCGGAAGAGTGCAACGGTGCGCAGCCTGCGTAAAATCCCGACACTGACTGGGAGCTAACAGAAGCAAACAGCCAGTCAGTACATTGACACACCAAGTGCGTACTTGACTGTTAGTCAGACACCACTCTTCGCACAAGCACAGCAACATCAACACAGCCGTTGAAAAGCATCAAATCCTTGTGAGTAAATCCCTAGAAGTTGACAGGCCCCAAGCAACAAACAAAGAATTATTGATAAACTGATACTTGTGCGATTCGCACAGAACATTGCTGAAGAATCAGTTCTCTGTGACACAAAACCCAATCCACAGGAAATGGGCTGCACGAAGGACTCTAGACAACTTCATTCTAATGCACAACGATCGTGCTTTCCACATGCGATGACAGGGCTGAGGCAAGTTGCAATCAGTGCTGACAGATTGTTTTATTTCCTCCCCAAGCTCCACTCATGCACAGCAGCAACTTCTATGGTGCCAAAATGTGCAACGACTGGCAGCTTGCACAGCCGCTTAGTGCATTTTCATCTGGCCCCAGTCGGCACCAAACTGCATTTCAGTTTCCAGAAGGGGCACTCATACCTGCCCTGGGTTGGCTATTGTGTCCAACAGAAGGCGCTTGATGGTTTCCTTCGGAGCCAGCAAAGCAAAAGGGAGGAAATCCCTCAACAGCTGAGCCTGGCAAGCTGCACGCTCTTCTGCATCGACCACCACGCCGCCTCTCACAGCACCACTGCCCTTCAGCCGATTGCTTCCTGCCACGAGGGATTGTATTGACATTTCATGGAACTGTTGGTCCTCCCTCAGCCAGTCCCACACCCTGCATGTCGCAATCACTACGATGCATGATCGATAGTTGCAATGTCTTACTAACAAAGCAATTGTCAGATTTCCTTGGTATAATGAATCGACGAACACGATGAGGGCATCCACAACCACAGAAAGGCATGTCATGAATATGCTTGCGTTCTTTGTGTCATGGGTTTGACTGGACGCACCAAGTCGAGTTCAGAAATGGAGGCATGTGCATATGAGCCCACAGTGGAAGAATAGCAGGCTGGTTTCAGCTGTTGGAGAAGGTATTCAACACTCCAGAGCTCTCCCTGCTCAGTACAAGGGGTGGGATTGGACCAGACGTGCCACCCACACGTTTACTGTCATCCGCCTTCAAGGAAATTTGTCAAAGTGACACAATACTGATATGTACACAATCGCCCAATGCTATCCGATTTGTTGGACATCAGTGGACATCCTGCAAATTGGACATCTGTGCCTATACCTCACAGTCCTCTCATCAGCAATGGTTGCACGCATGAGTGTGTCCTGTTCATCCCGGTGCTCCACGCCCCTTAGCACCAGCACTGAAATTCTGGCCAGTGCGCTTGCCAAGCCACCTGCTACTGCATGCACTGCATTGTAGAGCATGTCCAAGAGAGCTGCACCAAGAAGGAAAGGGTTGTAGGTGCCCAGCCTGATTTTGGATGCAATGGCCCAGTGCTGCATGAACGGACCCCAACATGGACAGCCCGGGGTTATGAACACTGATGCCCAAGCGAGCAACTGGGAATCAGCAAATTCCAGCTGCCCAACCCTCCTGCAGTACGAACTCTCAGATGATAGACTACCCCTGTTGCCATTGTCGACATCTCCAGCTGTACTGTTCCAAGCTTCCAATTTCATGATTGTCTCCACAAAATTGCTCTCTTTGGGCACACTGAGCAGCTGCAATCGCCCCTTTCCGCTGTTCTGTGGCCGTCTCTCAGACCTAGCAGTGCTTTTAATTGGCACAGAACTCTTGCCTTCGGCTTCCTCTCCCATCATGCAGGGTTGACGTTCTGAGAACTGGACCCCTACTCCATCCATCTTATCGATTCTGGTCATGTCAGGTGTGTGGCCTTGGCAGTCACCATGGATGTCACCGTTGGCTTCCCAGCACATCAGCAGTAGATCGAGCCTTGCGCGCAGGTGGCAACAGCTCTGAAACCACTGTGCACCAACAGCCGGGTGACCTGTGCCCAGGTGCCCCCTTGCCATCAGCGCCTTCAGTGCTTCGCAAGCCTCCTCAAGTCCTCTGTGGACCAGCAAACGCCAACGTCCCAGCTCTGGAATGGGGGGAGTCGCATTTAGTGCACTTCTGTTGAGGAGCCTTCCAGCCTGCCATGATTCCAGCATGGTCTGAAGTAGGGACACTATGCAGAAGGTGAAAGTGCCCAACTCCCATGACGCCTGACAATCTGATAATTCAGAAATCGATGGACCAGTATGTGCAATATTGTTATTGTCCAAGGTGCCCACCTGCACGGCCTTTTCAAACTCATTTCGAGCTAGTTCTGCCAAAATCAAGAGGCATTTTGCCTGGTCGCAAGCAGACACCGTGCAATCAGCAGACGCCCCTAAAGCAGGTGCCAATTCAGGCAAGAGGATGCCAAAATCAGGCAGTGTCCATTCTTGTTTGCTGTCCCTTTGAACCCACAAACCTGTGCTGCATGTTTGAAACCTGCTGCCACTTCCATCACCTACAAGTTGATCTGTGGACTCTTTAGAACACTTCTCTTCTTCCATGCCTTTGGGGGTCGATGGGGACACTGTCCTTGGTTGACGAAAGCTGACATTCTTTGTCTGCACAGAAGCTGTGCACTCCTCTTTGCACAACATATGGCAAAGGGCCGAATCACTGCTGGATGTCATTCCCTCTGCTGGGCCACCACTCTCACCTCCATTGTTGTCTAGCATATGCAATGAAGTGCGCGAATCTGCGCCAGTTGACATGGCCAGCCTGCAGTGTTGCAGGGCCTGCACCAGTTTGTGTTTGAACAGAGCGTTGAACAATGGGACTGCTAACGATGATTCTGAAGCCATCAGTGCCTTGAGGAGGGATAGTGCACTATTTGGGAAGTCAGGTAGCCAAAATAGGGACTCAGCCAGATGATCCTCAAAGTGGTGCGTTTTCAACAAGGTTGCATACCAATCTGCAAAGTACAGGGCACAACGGGCGTTGGTAGCATTGTCAATGGCATCTGAAGGCAAAGATGTAGCAAAGATGACAGCTTTAGTAGACGTGGGTTTGCACACAGTGGAAACCTCAGCCATAATTTGGGTGTGGTGGACCAGGCAATGAACAACATTCCAATATGTACAAGTTATTTGTACGTCAGAGGCAGAAATCCAAACAGTGCATATGCAACTGTGAGAAGGAGCTGGTTCTCTAGGCATTACAGCACGTGGTCAGGTGATGTACAGTGGTCTGGTATTTAGGTATGTGATTACTAACAACTGGCAACCACACTTTTTCGCAGAGCAACATCAGCACGTATCGAATACATAGATGCCATGGCAGAAAATCGCAAAATCTGGAGGAATTTGCATGCCCAATGCACACTTTTGCCACACACCAAGAGACAGAATTCTGCCCAATTTTGTAAGAAGCGTGTGGGGCTACTTAGTGATCATGTTGGTTTGGTGGACAGCGATTCTGAGTTCCATCATCCAAATACCTGTTGACAGGCTGTATCGCGACACAATGGCATAATCATCTGTGCAATGCTTGAACAGCGTCTTGACCTCAATCCATGTCACGAACAAGAATGCATGCACCAGCGACCTGCAGTTAATAAGGCACACCCACACATTGATCAGCATTCACGCTTGAACACGCAGTATGTCGTGTCAACCACATGATCGTGATGCCTTCAGATCTGCCCATTCCAGCATTTCCCTACCTGACTGGCCCAAACCACATTCAACCTGTTGGACCAAATCATTATGCACATGCAATATCCAGACAGAGTAGAACAAATGATCTGACTTTGCATTCGATGCACCTAACAGCAGCAGGCAGCAGCAGCTTGTCACTGGGCAAAAATGTCTCCTATTTGAGGCAACTACTTTCAAGCAAGACCTGAGCACAGCAAGTGGATCATGTTTTAATATTATTATCGATGCACTAATAACAACAGTGAAAATGGTCTTACACAACTGTAACATCAACAATTTCAGATTCCAAGGAAAATGGCTTGATATCTGCACTCCATTGACTTGTTGAATTTGCAGCACTTTGTCAATGAATTGGGGACGGAAGATGTGAGACAATTGCTATGCAACGTTTTTGGAATCAAAAACAAAATCGAGACTACCGTAAAGAATGAAGAATATCACCAGTTCACCTGTTGAGCTCTACATTGGGATCCAGCCTCTCCAGGTGAGACAGGCGGTCAACCACGTCCCGGACGGCATCTTCCGGCAGACCCACTCCCGGTGGCAGCCCCCTTATCAGCGTGAACACTGGGCCCAAGGCCGTGGCAATCACGAATGGTCTGCTCATCCCAGAGCTTCTGCGCACCATGGTAGATGCCTCCGCGGCGTCCAGAGTGCGAGGTGGGCCCGCTCCCCGGCAATAGATGCGGGCGAGTCCGCACCAAGCCCCCAATATGGGACTGGAAGGTTGTGCTCTGAATGGTCGAAAAGCTGCGCCGCCTTGGAAAGATCAAGCGCAATGTCGCGGAGCCCGTGCCACAGCCAGCGACTTCACAGAGGCCTGCTTGCCCTCACTGGATCCCGACAAGTGGCTGGCTGGGCAGCTTCGATCCCAGAACGCCCCCTCCAACGCCCCGAGCCAGTCAATCTTTCTTGCCTTTAGCCAAGCGCCATTCCCGCCAGATCCGCAGCAGCCTATTGGGCAAGACCCACAGCAGCACAAACAGCAACAAGACAAGCAGCACGAAGTCGGCAGCTGACAGGGTCGCGACCCGCGGACTTCCCCTTTCGGGGACGGCGCTATCGGCCACCATACGGGGGGGGGTCGTGCTCGATCGTTCCCCGACTTCAGGTCAGTTGCTGTTTGCGCTGCTGTGAAGAACAGGCGGGACACCATTCTCATTGTTCTGATGCGAAATAGCATCGGAGCCAGCATCGAATGATCTCAGCGGCCTTGATGGCCACTGCATGCCCCGCTTACTTGGATGATAGTCTGATATTTTCCGGGGTTGATTCACAGTTGCGTCGATGAAGACTCTCATTGGCCCGCGTATTCTCTGTTTTGGATTTCTTTTCTATAACTCCATGGGACTGATAACAAAACCCCGGAAGCAGCAGGGCAAAAGCAGCTTGCGACCTCTGGCTGAGTGTAGCTTCCGCCCAAATTCATTGTCCACGAACAGCAACACAACTGTACTCCGAAGTATGGTGCATGAATCGGCGCGCGCTGGAGCGCAGGCTCCGGGAGAGCCCCCAGATTCCCAATCCTGTGGAAGAGCATACTCTCAAACCAACAGGCTACTAGTGCAGTCTGTTGCCAAACAGCAACGCATTTTCCCTCCGTTTGCCCACATGCCATCAAGGGCTGTTGTTGCGTCTCGCAATCCGCTTGCTAGTTGCATACCGCAAGACTTTACCGTGGAGTACTCCATATCACGGTACTTTACCATATCACGCAGTGAAGTATCCGTCCCGCCGTTTGGGAGGGGCATCGCACGGCACAGCGGCGGCAGGTACACCCATTTTCCTTGAGCATCCGCATTTGTTCTGATAACATTTGTCGAGATTAGCAAAGCATGGTCTTTGCACTTATCATGCGATCTTGAATGCTCCGGAGTAGGAACAACTTCGAATAAAAGATTGATCTTTTATACTTGTTGATCAACAAGTGAATTTTGTACAAACAGCGAACACTGCAACGCATGTAGAATGGCTCAGCCACAGTGCCGCCAACGCAATCGCCAGGCGTTGTGCAGCACCATAACCAGGCAAAGCCTCTCCTGGACAAGAACAGCAGTTCGCATGAGCGGATTGCCAACCACACAATGTCCAACCTTATCCAACGCACACGGCGATCAGATCTACCCATCCTGCATCCCAGCTGCAGCGCCTGTGGGAAATTTCCAAACAGAAGCAACTAAAGGTGGGCACACGACCGGGGTTAAGTTTCTTCGCTGCGCTCAATTGATGATCTGTGCGCATATTTCTCACATAGCGCTTCATGCACCATTTCCGCTTGCTCCGTGGCCTCACAGCCATCCAGTTCCATGAGCACGCCCATGGCCCTCTGTACTTCGCCGGTCACCTTGGTGGGCTTCCCCTCAGTCTCCCCACTGCCATGCTTGAATTCGCGCTCCAATTGGCTCAGGGCTCTCTTGGTCTTCGGGCCGATCCAGTAGACTTTGTTGCAGTCACCACAGCGCCAGAACTCCTCCACCATCTGAGAAAGGGGAGAGCATTCACGTCAACGACCGCGATGTGATATGCACATAGTAAGGCCACCTCATGAGCACCATCAAATCGCAGCAACCTTCGGGACCTTATTAACGTTCCCAAGATTGCTCCAATTTGGCGACGCTCGGGCTTGTGAAAGGGTGTGTGGAAGGGCGGAGCACGCGTTGAGCGTAGCGCAAAGGTATGGTGAACCATTGAAATATTGTGCTGATACCAAAGCCGTCCTCATGGGACTTCATTACAGGCAAGGCGCGTTTGGCAACCAAACAATGGACGCGCAGGAATCCAAGGACGCTTCACGCGTGTCGAGCACACGGGCCGTCACCTTGTATATCCTCTGGGAAACTTGAGGCGGCCGCTTGGTATCGCTTGGCCGGAAGAATATGAAATTTGCGGCGTTGCACTTTGTGCAACGGGAAAACATGGTCGATGGGTCATACCTGGTGCACACACAGAAGCCATCGGGCGTCAGGAAAACAACCCGGAGACCGGCCCGCCAATTCCCCTCCACAAGCCAGAAATTCCCAGACAGAAAGTCGCGAGTATGTAGTCCAGGTCCAACGCCGCTGGCGGAAACATTCCACCACCGTGCGCGCGCCATCAGGAAGGCAAGCATATCGTCCGCTAATTGGATAGGCTCGCGATTGCACAATCTCGACAATTTCCAGGAGGACGTTGTCGGCGGACCCCTTTGCAGACGGGGAGAAGGGGCGCCGTCAGGTCACCATGTGCCTAGCGACACAAGGGTGATGCTTTCGCTCGCCAAGGCATTGCTGGCATCCCAAAGGCCTGTTGCTCAGCAGCGCGGTGAAAAGTCTGGCGACAGGACGCAGTGAGGGCCACAGGACACCGCCGAAAATGGACTGCGATCAAGGAGTGGCATCAATATGTTTGTTTATAATCTAATTTGCAAAATCAACGAACATATACACAGATGGCGGCGTCCATACGCCGGGCGGTGGTATTGCGATGATTACACCGCAGAATGAAGGTCTGCACTGGCAGTGTGCTCTTTCCAGTCTGTAGTAAAGCAACGCGCAGCCGCCCAATATTTCGCCGCCTACCACCAACAGCTAAAAGTCGTTGAACACAAAAGCAGAGGGGGGGGGGGTTGGTGGCCGCCGCTGCAGGCAGTGGGGTTCCCATTCGCTCAGCATAAGGCCACCATAATGTGTTTCATTCCGTCAACATGGTCTATGTGTGACAAATGTACGGACGCAATGGACATGTGAACATGGGTTCGCTGAATTTCCAGCAGTTCAGGCGCAAAGGAATGGTGTCAGCATCAGCGCTACCCACAGCAGGGTAATTCGCAAGCAAGAGAAACCCAAGGATGCTGGGCTAGCAGCATCATTAATTCCGGGGCACCGTTGGAGCCCAAAATTTTCGTGATACTGACGTCACAGACAGCACTGTACACTCATGAAACCCGGTTGCCAGCTGTGCCCTTCTAGGTTTCCTGTGCACAATAGTGGGCAGAGTCAGCCAGCAGGCCATCTGAGGAGGTGATACACATTACATAAAGAATACAGGGTTACCATGGCCCCCGACACAGATAGCCCGATGAAGTCATACCACAGCTGTGGGCCAGCCCAACGCACTGCGTGCCCACAAAACTGTTGCGCGAAAGTCGTGGCAGGACCCATAATGGAACATGAGTCGACCAATGCCCATATGCTTATTTAGCGACTTCAATCCCCCCGACGACCACCCTGTCAAAACTGCTTACCCACAATCCAAGGCTACCCTATCCCAGACCACACTGGCGAAGAATTGAAAATCGGAGACAAAGAACAAAAGTTCAGCACGTTGTCCTACCGCCGACGCTCCCTCGTCGGCCCTCACCAACCCACGCGCCACCAAGGGCGCCAGCATTACTAAACAACGACTCGCATCCAGGGACACAACACCAGTCCCATCCAGCTCGACTTGCGTCGTCATGCACACATTCAACGGCCGGGCCCCGTCTTGTAGACCCCCTTGGCTGTTCCCGGCACTGCTCGCACGCTTGCAGCACCATACACGCTCCTCAAGTGCTTCAACGCCGCCTCCTCCACTTGGATCGCGCCGATGGACTGCACGTGGACTTCCTCAGGAACGTACCACTTGCTCTCGGGGGGCGGCTTTCCCAGGCAGGGCCTGGCTGCGCCCCCACCAGGGGATGCTCCCACCCCGGGAGGCGCACCCGCCGAACCCGACAACGGCGTGCCCCAGCTGCGCGACAGCCCTTTCCTTAGGCTCTCCTGCTGGGCTTGGATGTGCGACAAGCTGGGAGCTACCAGAGTGGACGGGCTCCCCCATGGTGCAGCCAGCTTTGCAATCTCAGGGCGAGCCGGCTTTTTCATGAAATCCCCGAGAGAGATCCCAGTGCCCACCGCCTGTTCTGGGCTGTTCCCCTTCATCTGCCTGGGTGCGTCTCTGTCTGCAGGAGAATGCAGCTTCGACGCCTGCCGACCCGATTCGGGAGTTGGCAGCGGAGTGCCCGAGTGCTCTTGGTGTTCTTGCTCGCGTATGATGTCGATCAGAGACTTCTGGCTGTGTATAGCTGGAGCAGAAGCCCAGGCCACTTCTGGCTTGGCAGGTTTGGGGGCATCCAGTTCCCCTTGCAGGAAACTTGACAGCGCCCCCCGCCTCACTCGCCTGGACCCTTTCCCTGAGGCCTTGGTCCGATTTGGGGCGCGGCTTGGCAGCTCCTTGGCCTCAACATGAAAGCCTGTTTTCCTCATCGGCTCAACCGCCGCCTCTTCACCTCCTGGTCCACCTGTGCCCTGGTACGGTGTATCTCCAGCTGCTGGCGTCTCGTGCAAACAGCCAACCGCTGGAATTCCGTCACCTGCCTTGGGTGGCACATCATTCGCATCAGCCGCAGCCTCTCGCAGTGACTCAGCCCCTTTTGCTGATGGCTTCTTCTTCTTCCTCCTCTTCTGCTTCGGATTGTCTGTGCTGCCAATGTATGGACTCATCCCTGTCACAGCAGGAGAGCTGGGAAACTGAGGCACAGCGTCTGCAGCACTACCCGCCAGCAGAGCCTGCACGTCGGACTCTTGGGAGCCTGACTCAAGGGCAGCGAGAGCCCTTTCAAGCACTGCTCTCTTTGCAGTCTTCGCTCTCTGCTGACTGTCGAGGTGCCCGCCATGCACAGCCTGCACAGTCAGGTGGTCGATCTGCTGCAGCTTCTTCTTGATCTTCCTCATCAGCCTCTCCGCTGCATCTGCCATGGATGGGTTTCTGTTTGGCAGGAATCGCTCGCCCTGCGCCTCCACAGACCCTGGATGCAAGACGTCCAGCATGCCAAGGCTGGGGGATGCTCCCATAGTGAAGATGTCGCCCTCTTGCTCCTCTTGGGTGAGCGGAAAAAGGGTGGGGCGCCTCCCGGCAGAGGCGTCAATGATTGTGGAAGCAGTCTGCCACCAAAGTTGCTGTGCCCTGGACTGCATCTTCAGCACATCCATTTGGTATTTGCGCTCCAGGGACAGAAGCAGGTGTGGCGCCAACTGTTCAAGCATGCCGTCGGCCTCTAAGAGGACCATGTCCAGATTCCATGCAGCCACTTTGAGGCAATGCGCCACAAGGCAAGTCGCATTGACAGAATCTGCGTACTGCATGATCTGCAAGCAGTTCCTTGGCTCCACCACACTGTCCGCAACGGCCTGTTGGCACAACTCTTGAAGGTTCGGGACGCCCATCTCCCCAGCAGCCCCCAAACCTCGGCCTTCAGGGTTTGCCACCGCCTCCAGCCTGCCCTCCTGACCCACGGCACTTTCCAGCAGGCCTTCACCCTTGCCAGAGTGGTTCTCGTCCTGAGAATCCGCATCACTGTCCCCCCGGCTACCTTCCCCACTCGGCGTGCCCGGCCCCAGCGACCTCTTCGACAGGCAGGGCGCGGACCACGCCTGCAGCGCCAGTGTGTGCTTCTCGCCCACCGCCGCGCATGTCACGTGCTTCAGACCCTCCACCCTCTCTGGCAAGATCGCCTCCACCTCCCCCACCGAACCCGGCTTCCCCTCCCACACATACACATCCCCCCCGTCCGTGACCGCCAGGGTGCGCGTGGGCCCGGCCGTTATGTGCACGACCCTTTTGCCCGCCAGCGCACCGCCCACCTCCCATGCCCTCTGCCCGGGGCCGTCGCTGTTCCAGGCCAGGACGATCCCACCCCTCGTCAGGCAGCACGAGTGCACGTACCCCGCGCACGCCATCACCGCCTCCGGCCTGTGCACCTCCACGTTCCCGCTGTGAAAGCGCACGGCCGGCCCATCCGCGACGTCCCATCTGCCGACGTCCCTGGCCCCGGACAGCCCCACCCTCCTGGGCGCCACACGCTTGTTGCCCCACGCGAACACCTCCCCGCGGTCGCTCACCGCCACCGCGTGCCGCTTGGACAGTGCCACTTGCACCACCGCCCTCCCCTGCAGGGCATCCACCCTCCTGGGCGCGGGATTGGACCCGGAGTCAGACGTCCCGTACCCCAGCTGACCGTACGAATTGGCACCCCATGTATAAACCTCCCCAGCCGCCGTGAGCACCGCGGTATTTCGGTTAGCCGCGGCCGCAGAGGCGGCAGTGACGCCCCTGAGGGCCGTCACCCGCCGCGGCACCACCTGGGTGTCAACGGCCGGGTAGCCCAGCTTGCCGTCCCTGTTAGACCCCCACGTGAAGACCTCCCCGCCGGACGCGACCGCCACGGTGTGGTGCTTGGCGGTGGCCACGGCCACCACCGCGCGGTCGCGCAGGCCCGCCACCGCCCGCGGGAAGATCTGCGCGCCGTTGCCGCTATGGATGTGCGAGTCCGCGTGGCCCAGCCGGCCCCCCCGCCCCCATCCCCATGTGAACAGTCGCCCCGACTTCGTCACCGCGGCGCCATGGAAGCGACTGGTGGCCAGATCGACAACACCAGCGTTGGCCAGGGCCTCGACGCGGTGAGGGATGAGCGCCAGGTCGGTTGAGCCCGTCCCGAGCTGGAAGTTGGACCCGCTGCCCCAGCTGCTCACCTCCGTCTTCCATTCCGCATCCTTCCCGGGCCGCCCCAAATCGCCCCCCAGAAGGTCCACCGGCGTCCTGCCCGCCGCGTCCGGCGCCCCCAGGGAGGCGCCCCCGGCCAGGAGCAGCCCGGCAGCGCGAATCCGCCCAAAGTACAGCGCCCGGTGCAGGCCGGTCCAGCCGGACTCGGCGTCACGGGCGTCGGGGTCGGCGCCGGATGCAATCAGCGCCTCGACGGCCCTCAGGTCGTTGCTCCACACGGCGGAGTGGATGGGCGCCACGCCGGTGGGAAAATTGGCGCCGCTGGGCCCCTCGCCCCTCCCCGCCAGGGAGGGGGATGTGGCGGCCCTGGGGAGGCAGGTAGACGGGGAGGACATGGCGGGCGTTAACTGCGGCGCGCTGGGTGCTATCGATCCATGTTCGGCTTCCAAGCCGCCCGATCGAGCCCATTCCCGGACTCACGGCATCGCCCCCCGATCGGAGCAGCCGAGCGGGCGCGTTGCCATCCAGTTGCCCTCGCAGCCGCGGTCTGGAATCAGCGCGAGCGCGGCCCTGGCCGATGGCCTGTCCCGACCGCGGGGGCTGGTGTCCTGGAGGGCCGGAGGCTTGGGCAGTGCTGCGGGTGTGTGGCGCGGGTGTGGGGAGGACGGGGACGTTTTTTGATCTTTGTGCGGAGAGGCCAAGGTACACGCGGGGTGGAAGGGGGCATCCCGGGCGCCGATGCCCCCAGTACTTTGGGCGAATCGCGGCGAGGACTATTCCGTGCACAGCAGAGAATCGTCACCCACAACCGATCTCATTCCCAACCGACGGGGAGCGCGAGGGGTTGGGCTGTTGGACGTCTCCTGACAGCGTGCACGAAGAGGGAAAAAGGAGCAGGTTCATTTCCACTTTTAGGAAAAAGGGCGTTCCCCATGGCAACAAAATTCTGAGGGGCCTGGATAAGCGCATTATGTGGGCGTTACCCAAAGCGGATTCGAACGTTGTGGCGGGGAGTGATTCCTTTTGGCTGCAGCTCGGGATCGGGGAGTGTGGCGCTCAGGACCAGGTATCCACGGACGTTGGCGCTGGGGGATACTGGCGGTGCCAACGCGGGTGCACATGTTCCCTGCAAAGCGTGGGCATCAAGACTTGGTGTCGCCATGCTGTGGGTGAATCCTAGCATCCTCGGACGCTCTTCTGTGCAATGTGGACGTGTCCACTTGCAAGTACAACATCCCCATTGCTACGATTCTGATAAGACACAACCTACTACGCCCTCGCGCACAATTGCATGAGGGGATCTGGTAACGACTGTCGCATTCCGGTAGTGCAGGCACAACTGTTGTATGAGGTACCCGTGACCAAGCCGAAGTTTCAAACTTGGCACAATCTACTGTCGTTTCCTCGCAAAAGGCGGGCACAGCAACGTTTCTCAAGTTTCTGGCCTTGTGCCCACTCTGCCCGACAGCGCACTCACGGCATTCATCGGTTCAACTACAAAGAGCGGTGGAGTGCCACGGAGCCTTAATGAGCCCATTATCTAATGAATTAATTACATACTTGTCAGTCATACCACTCATTTACTACTCATATTACTCACTTACTCAACCTACTTACTATTAAATATTTGCACTCACCTCCAGACTGCCACACCACAGCAACACATTGCATGATGCTCTCCACGTGCTGCCACGCGACGTCAGCAATTTCGGGGGAGCACACCCATTTCAGATCAACCGAGTTCCATGCACCCACAGCCTCGTGGTGTCGCATCCCCGCAGGCGCACACCCACCCCGAATCTTCCTGCGTTCAGAATTTCAATCCGCGCCTGACGCCATTTTTGGCGTCCGATACATATGCCGGGCGACCCGGTACACTTCTGTAGTATATCGGAGCATATCGACAAGAAGTACATCGGACAAAGCATATCGGATCGCTCGGTCGCCCCGGGCCAGGGCCCCACCTGATGCCGAAGTGCGACGCCACCTCCCGTATCTGCTCCCCTGCGTCGTCGCTGGACAGCAAGAAGACGCCCCCGAGGTCGCGATGCACCGCTAGCCTGTGGTTCCTCGTCAGGAACACGCGCCCCCGGGCGGTGGCCTCCTGGGTGAGAGCGGCCAGGCCCAGGCGGTCCACAAGCGCCGGCACGGCCTCCGTGTCGACGCCCAGGCACCGCAGCCGCCAGCACAGGCTGCCGAGCATGGAGTCCACCAGGAACTTGGCCTGAGGGGGCAGTGATGAGCGCTCAGAGCCCATGAAGCCGCACCAATGGCACCAAATGAAGGGCAAATCTGAATTAAATTAGCTGTGCGAATTGAGTCAGAACGCATCGAATCGTGCTTGTCACGATTTGACACGATGCACGCAGCCAACGCGCGGTTAGCGGCAATTCAGCACAGCTCAAACACGGAATTGAATAAACTGCATATGTCGAATACACCAAACTGAATGTTAATTAAACTTGAAAATCTCAATTCCCGGCCAGTGTCATCAACAGAGTGCTCGCCAGGACAAGAGAGATAGTCCGTTGCTAAGCCCTTGCCAGGACATGGGGCGTTTCCAAATTGAATATCCAACTATCGCAAAGGCGTTTCTGCCCCTATTACCCCGTGATGCTCGCGCACGTCCACTCTTGTTTTACCTCCAGGTACCATGTTGAGCGGCAAACAAAATGCACCGCGCTGCTCTAGCAAGACCCCAGAGTACAAGCCGTTGGAAAGGCGTCCAAGAATTCACAGTACCATGTTGCGTTTACTGCACGCGGCATTGCAAATGGACAGCCAGGTGACCGCCATCACGACCATCTACCATCGATCGGCTTGAGAGCGAGGGGATGGCATCCTGTCCCGCAGCGTCGCGGGGCTATGCCGCCACATCAATGTGCCCTGGTGTGGTCGCGGCTGCCAAACCAGCCCTCGCAGGCGGCGTCGTTGGGCGATACTCGAACCTGCGATAGCTACTGCACGAGGCGGTCGCTCGCCATAGGTGCCACATCCAGCCTCACAAGTCGCAATCGCAGGCCACAGTTATGCCTGAACGGGACCCTCATTGCGCAGCTGGTCCCAGCGTCATGCGACCTTGTGTCCATGACGCTGGCTCCGTCGTCTCCAAGCAGGCAAAACCTTTACGCCAGCTAACGGACGGCGGCGCCATTCTTTATCAGGGTATTCGCACCCTCTTTCCTGGGACCCATGGCCACGAATGCCCACTGCCTTTCCGAATTCGGCATTGCATTTCTTTTGTGATGTCCAATCAGACCCGCCCCCCCCCCACCCCCCCCACCCCCCCCCCTTTCCCCCCTTCTCACGTGGCGGTCTGCATCGTGCATCCTGCACCATTATCCGGAAATGGAACAGTGATGTTCACCGAGCGCCCATTGCCACCTCGCGGGTGAACGAGCACCGCATCGCATTTTGACACATGCAACCAATGAGGCATCCATCACAGCGTCTCTGATGCTGGTGGCCATGGGGATACAAGCCCAGTGGCCAAGCACGCACCACGGCCGGCATCAAAGTCCGTCATTTTACAAACTCGAATGCTGCACGTAATTGCCACGCTCAACTAGAACAAGCGCACCACAAAAATGCCCTTCAAGTTCGCGGCTCCCAGCCGGAATAAGCAGTGCACGCTCCGAACCTGCTCGATCTGCGTCTCCCCTCCAACAGCGGCCTCCTGCAAGCGCGCCCCTATCTTGGCAACCTGCATCCCAGCGATGGAGGGCGTGCCAGGAACGCTCGCCGCCGCCTCCCCCGCCACCTCTTCTGTCCTCTTGGCTGCTACCAGGGCTTGGCTGACCGACACAGGCTTCGTGGCCCCGTTCCAGTTGGTTATGTCAACGATGCGACATTCGGTGGCGAGGCAGAGCTGCTCGAATGTGAGTTCGACCACCACGTCATGGGTGCCCGAGCCGCAAGAGAGCCTCGATGCTTCTCCCAGGAGGGCCTCTTCCGCCAAAGAGGGGTCAACCAGGACGGTGACCGTGCAGGGGTGGCCGAAAGGGGGCACCACGCCTGGGGACGGACAACGCACCCAAGTGCCTTTGGCAGATGTGCGGTACCCGTGGACGCTGAAAGCATTTTCCGCATGTATGTACTTCGTTGGGCAATCTACTGACAATGATTTCAGCAGACGGACTCGCGAGCGGACGGCCGCCTCTTTTCCCAGATATGCCATGCTTCGCAGTCGATTGAGAGTGATGCGACAACGCGTTCTATGACAGTAGTTGCACAAGCGCAATTGCTGTGTTCGTGACGATGGGGCAGTCGCATTCATTTGGATCTGAGCTGCGGCACATTAGTTCACAAGATGCTTCCAGCAATGTTTGGACTGATCATAAATCAAGCGCGTTCGGCTGTACAGATGCGCATAACTTCACGTGCAAGTCACACACAAGAGCGCCAACAACGGACTTTGCACAACTCGTATCGGAATCACTAAAATGACCAAGCGGCGCATCTGCACTTGCATCGCAATGGCGGGCTAAGCCTATTGACACCTGTTACTGCAAATTGTTTGCTCATCTTCCATGGATTCTGAAGATCGCGCCTGGGGAGTTGCGAGGAGGAGTCTCAAATCTTCAGATCTGGATCATCTCGCCTGCCCTGTGCCGGCGCTAATGCAACCCCCAGTGCTCGTATTTGGGCCTACTGCAGCATTCGCGGACTCCCGAGAATTTAACACTCACTTAACGAGTAACCATTTTAATCACATTGCACATAAGTACAGAACTCGCATGAACTTTAGAGAATTCAACGATGATATCGCGATCGTGGCGATCATTTGGGTCTTGCGTCACGAAAAGCCCATGAGTGCGCCTACGATCACAATGGTCGCCTGTCGCTTGGAATGGTTGGGATGATTTCCACCACAATGCACCGAAGGTAAGCTTTCCATCATTCGATGAACGGGTGGAAAAGTGATATATTCCTTTCATGCAGCGAACTCATTCCCCCGTTCAGAATGATGCGCGTAACATATTGAACACGACTCCTTCTCCCCATGGGCCACAGTGAAAGGACCAATTCAGCTTGAACATGCAGCTCTGTGCACAACAAGGTGCCCGTGTCAGCGCCATCGTTGGCGTGGCACTCACCAGGAGGGAAGCCAAACAGGTTTAAGCACTCCTCCGTCGTGGCCATTCTGACAAGGCGCCTGCTGACTCCAACATCGTTTGCTACCTGCCCAACACAATCGTGAAATCATCTTCAGATTCGAGACGGTGTGGGCACCAGGCGCCCGACAAATGGAGTTCATGGATGGTCGTCAGCGCATGTTGGTCAACATGAACGTCTGTGCGAAAGATCGAAAAAAAACGGAAAACAACACGATCAGATCTTGGTCCATGGTGCGTCCGTGATCAGTGGTGGAATGCAGCAGAAGAACACAATCGCCAACCAAGGCTCATTTAATGTCGTTGACATACCATGCATTAATCCTGCGCGATAACAAGCCCACTTGCACCTTCAATGCAGTGACGAAGGCATGATACAATGAGCATTTGCCTATCATGCCGTGCATTTGCTTCTCATTCATTCGCAGCGAAGGAAGCGCTGCGCAAATGGGCTTCGCTAAGTACTGGCCAGCGCGCTGTTGTCTGCATTGCTTCAGCACTAGGCAAGCGAAGTAACTGCAGAAAGAGTGGTGAAGCCACAATCCATCTGATGAATTCGCGCCAATCGTCTGAGCAACAGAACGACAAGAATTCATTGTATCGGAATCATGCACCTTTTGTTACCAGTTTTCCCGTGACGATTTTGCATTGCATACATGAGTTCAGTAGGAAACGAGCGACTTGACCTGAGGGAAACAGCGTCGGACATCGTGGCTCGGCCAATCTAGCCAACAAGTCCGCTCGAATCTTCAGGCTGGGAGACAACTGCTTTCCGTGGAGTGCGCTGTGCACCAACACTACTGGCGGCCAGAGGCAATAAATTGCACAGTGGGTACTATGCCTGGCTGAGCCATGACAATGATCAATTTAGAGCCAAAGCTATGCAGCCGCCAGTGTGCCCACCATGAATTGCAGGCAATATGCATGGCGGCTGACGAGCAAGCGTACCTTACGAAGATCCACCTTTTTGTCGCCCCTCAGCACCGCCAAGTAGCAAGTCGACCTGACGATCATGGCGATGCTTTTGGCGACATGCCGGATTGGGATGCCCAAGGATGCCGCAGAATCGTGGGCTGACGTCCTGTCGACCCCTGAAGGCGGTCACAAAAAGGCAACCCGTCAGAGGACATATTACTGTCTTGCTACAGTTTGTGCGAATATCATTGTGGATTCTGCTTCGGTTGTGTATGAATGCCGCTGCATAACGCACAGCACGTGTGGGACTAGACTACTGGCGACATGCACTTCGTAACTACTTGCCGCGAAGGTAGGACCATTAGGACCAAATGGTGCCTCAAGTACAGCTTGTTTCCCAGACTGGTGCTCGATTCTCTAGACAATGGTTTTGGGCATGTGTAAGGCTCCACAAGTCTACCGCGAAGTTGCGGAACCCACACACCCAAACCAGCACAGCAAAGGCACCATGCCGTGAAATGGCACGACGCATGGTGAGATAGTATGACGAGAAATGGTGCACAAAGCCCAGCATTGAAAATAACACCATTTTTTGGTGGGCTCAACGACTGCAACAAAAAAGTTCACGGTAACTTGAAAAGGTTATCTCACAAAACCGCAACATGCCAGACAATTTCTGAGGATTCGCTGGGCATGGCAGGTGCCTTGGCTTTTGACTTCTGCTTGAACATCCACCTCCAAAAGTGATATACGCCTCAGGGCACGAAATGGCAAGCAAAACAAGGAGCTCCGGTTGCGACGGAGAAGTGTTTTTCTCTTGATTATGTGGGCACCCCTCTCTGTAACATGAATGCATAATGACGCAGCAGTGGCGCAGCCATCACGATATACAGTCAAATCCATCCCATGGATGCACTCTAGCACTCGGTTAGAGTTGGAGGCGATCCGCCTGGGCGCTGAGTTGGGTGGCATTCTGATCAGGAGCTGGAGATTGGCAGTGGAGGTTCGTTTTGTCACAGACTCACAGGCAGCCATTTTGGCGTTGGTTGGTGGGAGGAACTGCACAACGACGGTGGTGGAGGCACAGCGCCTCCTCCTAGAGATCATCACAGCTGGGTGCCGTGTCTATTTACAGTGGGGGCCCAGCCATGCCGATGCGGTGGAAAACGAAGCAGCGGATGGCCTTGCGACTGCAGCCAGTGATGGGGTGGGAGATTCAGGCGCTCAAGCTCCGAGGATAACCCATTACGCCCAAGCTATCAAGTGGCGTGTGACCAAATACTACAATGCACGGGCTAATCATGATTGGCAACGGACGGCAGCGCTGCATTGCGCCTTGGCTGTGAATTGGACTTTCACACCTTCCCTTGATTGGGCAAAGCCCTTTTCACGTGGAGAAATCGCCTTTCTATGTCAATTTTTGGCTGATGCATTTCCATGTCGCTTTTTTCTTTTTCGCAGCCAGTTCTTTGATTCACCAGCTTGCCGTATGTGTGGGTTTTGGCGGGAGGATCGTGCACATATTTTCTTGGATTGTCCAGCTTTTTCAAATGTCCGTTTCACATGCCATGAATCTGCGAGGCGTTTGGTAGATGCAACAATTCCGTGGGACATTTCTGCACTAGTGCCACAAGGCCTTGGAATCTTGGTGCGCTTTCTAACATATGTACGTTGTGCTTGGGCTCGCGTAGGACATGGGGCATGAGGTTTGGGATTGATTCTCTTCGCTACATACACCGAACATAATACATGGGGATTTCATTACTCATGCCAACTCACTGCATTTCATGGGACACTAGGGAGTGGCGATATGGGACCATGAATAATCGATTCCGAACACACTATCTGCTTGGTTTCCACGCCCATCATCGCCTACCAGGTGCACAGGCTGTGTTTTGTCATTTTGTGATAGATGTAATCCATGGATTTTGATGATGATGATCCATCCCATGCAGATACTGAATTTCATGTTGTTCCCAGCCGAACAGTGTCTCGCCCTCAGTATGAGCCATGGGTATCTGGGACAGCTATTCTTGTGGTTCCAAATAGGACATCGTCATGTGCCGGCCCCACCCAGTCTTGTCGTAGATGAAGGTAGTTAAAATGCATAACTTCGGTACATGCGTTTACATGCGCTTAATACATATGTTTACGTTTACTGTGTTGCGGTGGCGAAGCGCTTGTTGCGCGCTGGGAGCCATATGATAACTCAAGACTAGCAGGCAGCGGTGGATCCCAATGCCGGCTCGAGAATGACGCATTGGTTTGACATTTGTCATTTGCCAATCCAATCAATAATCTGTCATTGTAGTTTGCCATTCCAATCATTATTTAGTCACTTGTCATCTGTCCTCCATTGGACAATAGATGTCAGATTACGGTAAAGTGTAACATTATCACCGAGTGCTTCGCAAACGCTGGACAGTTGCTCTTTCGTTGCAGTGCTCACCCAAGGTGTCCAGCTGCCGAAGCGCGCTCTCTAGCCCATGCCGCCGCAGCCTATCCACCACCGCTTCTGGCACCTCGCTCTTCTGCGCCGCAGTACTCCAGGGTTGATGGGAAATGGCGGCCACATCCATGCAAGCCGCTGCCAACGAGTTACCCTCGGCCGTGTCGTTACCCAGGTGGCGGGATGGCGTTTCTCGACAGGGCATTCTCATGTGGTCCTCCTGAGCGCCCACTGAAGGCCCCCTCTCTGGTGACGTTCCAACATCTCCTTTCCGTTCCTTGCATGCCTGTCGCCCATGTGAACAATCAGATCTTGGCTGCGCATCTCCATGTTGCACACACTGCCGGCCATCACCCGCCAGATGAAAGAGCTGCGTCATCATCATCATTTTTTGCAGAACAAGGCAACAAGCCGTCAGCTTCTTATTTTGCCGGAGCAAAGCAGTGCCCATGATCAGTTCACTGAAATCTAAAGGTAGACATAAACAAAGTCTATGAATCTATTAATTCCTAATGCCAAGAAACCATGGTCGACAACAGCACATCGAAAGAAGTGTCCTCGGCAGTTGGCGAGCGGGTGCTGAAGCAAAAATGGTTTTAGAGCGGCTTCACGACAGGGCAGCCTCAGGATACTCACTTGTCGCCCATGGGAGCTCTGGCAACGAGCCCCGTCACCAGAGTTGGCGGCTGCCTTGAGGGCATCGCAGACCTCCGATCCATTTTCGGCAACCAAAGGAGCACAAGGGTCGCCCAGTTCTGTCCAACGCAGCTGGCCAGCACCAAGGTCGTCGTCAGCGCCAGCGCCTCTGCTGGCGTTTGTTTTGACGCTTTCTGCAGAGAGAGTTTTCCCGGCCTGTGTGCGGCTGTGGCCAGTCGGCTTTTTCGCGGCCTTCACCTTTGAGGTGTCCTGTGATTGGCCGTCCCAGGCGGTGAAGTCGAATATCAATTTTTCTATCCGGTGGGAGGACACGCCTGGTTCACAGGCACGCGCGCTGAATCAGATTTTTTTGTTTCCGAATTCCGAAGAGCGTCGAACAGTGCAAGGGTACCCCTTTTGTCCAGAAGTACGAAATGCACAGATCCAGTCGTGACAGCACTGCGTCAAGTTTGGTATTCAGGAGCATGATGTTTCAACATTTGCGCACATATATCTGCAAATACGGAGTTTCCATTCTTACACGTCAGATCAACCACCAGTGCATGGCGCTCAGGTTCAAGCAAATCAAAATGCCAGGGGATAGCGAACGCACGTGGGTGGAGGACGACCCTCTCCTCAAGATGTCTTCGCGCTTACTAGGGTGAGGTAGAAGCAATGCAGGGGCACCCAAGGGCGCGGTCATCCAAGAGGTCATCAGTGACAATGAGTAACATGACTAAGTCGGTCCAGCACAAAATCCGTAACCTGTGCGTGAACACATGTACACGTATATTTGCATGTGCGCCCGCCTAAAACAAAAATGTAAATGACAGGCTGTGCTGTGCGATTCCGCAAATGTATCAAATTCAGAATCGCCTATCCATGTCGACAATTGCAACGGCTCAACATGCATGATGGCATATTTTGCATGAACTTGCGTTGCTCTCGTCGATTCGTACCGTGGGCAGGCCCTATGGCCATCGATTGGTCGAGCAATTGAATGGTCTGCCAGGCATCCCATTGCAGTTTGACTCGTTGTTTTACGGCCAACTGCAGGTGCAGCACTTGGTTGCGTGCATTACGCTGTTATCAAGGAGTAATCGTTCCATCATCCATGATCATCACATCTAGTCACAGCACTGTGCATCACACTGCACTATGCATCTCGGCAAATTGTATCAATCACAAAATTCGAGTGATCACCTTTTTCATTCGCGACCAGTGCTTTGTACAGCAGCAGGAGCACGTGCGCGTCTTGCGCAGCATATTTCAACTGCCAGGGACAGAGTGGCCTGGCCTCCCAATCCGACACCTGCATGGACTTGTCCAATGGCTTCCCTAAAATTATACGAGCAACAGTCGAGAGCCCAGCCAGGTTGCCGCCATTGCCGACCTACATAGACGCAGACAGCATGCAAGAGGTTTTGAATGAATGCTTCATAGCCACATTTCACTCATGATATCGCAAGCACATACGAGCGGAGAATGGAGATACTCCCTCGCTGTTGACGGTTGAAACCTCTGCCGTTTGCTCGTTCATGGGTGTCGTCAGCAATGTCAATGGAGAGGATGACCCACTGAACGACAACAGCAGCTGATTGCTGAGTTTCGACATTAGAAGATATTATCTTTTGAAGAAAATTGAGACCTAGAATCGGGTCCCAAACATGCGTGGGTGCTTCTTGGCAAAAGCTTCCGACAGCTCAAAACAGGAGTAGGATTCAGAGCAGTATTCCTTCTTCACACCAGGACGCAAAATTAAGACTGGGACATAACATTCAGCAACGCAAGCATCAAAACATGTGGCTAGTGCATCGTTGGTACCTGGATGGAATTGGCATTGAAATGCAGCCGCGCCAGCGCCTGCACGTCCAAAATGCTCTTCACGCCTTGGAAGGCCTGTACCCAGGGGTACGAGCTTGACAGCTTTGCCAGGTCGCCTGAAACGGAGAAGCCTAGAACCATGGTGGACTCCCTCCAGAATGCTAACTTCAGTACTTCATCAAACCGCGGGTTCCTGTTCAAGGTGAGCAGGTCGAATATAAACACTCTGTCCTCAGTGGCGACCTACAACCAAATGCCAGCACGTATTTTCTGAGCTTGTCATTGACTGCACTTGTCAAGGGCATGTGGAATGATCGCCTTTTCGGCTGCTGGACGCAAGAAATGTAGGGCTGCCAGCCAGCCATGGACCAGCACCGTCTTGCCAATCCAGCATCAACTTCAGACGTCTCACACGGGCCAGTTTGGGGTGCCGCCAGTCCATGCGTGCTTCCAATGCGACAGTACACATCCATCACACTTCAGAACGAAACAACAGTCTCGTTCGATTGATCTACACATCAATCCATTCGCTTGTCAAAACAGGTCCTTCACAGCAGCGGTGGCAGCCAAAGGGCTCTGAACTGCGACTGTTGGGAGGCACGGCAAACACAGCCACTGTTCAGAACACCTTCAGGCATCATCCAACAGATGATGGGACCTTGCCCTGCTTCAACAAGTGTAATTCCTGACTCAGTTCAGGTCCAACACCAGTAATAAATGATTTACACAGAGCATCCAAGTTTCCCACATAACTGCCCACTCGTAGTGCTCACTTCAGTGCAAAACATCTCATCATGTTTATCCAATCAGATAAGCCCATCGCAGTACCTGCAGTATGCTTGCCCTGGAGGTCTCCCCCTTGCCCATGCACGGTTTCCACTCCACGTCAACGCCCACAATATGAGCACCTTCCAGCGCTGCTTCTGCCTCATCAAGGCCTTCCCCATTGTCGACAAAATGCACAGCACTATTGGGCACTGCAAGTTGCAGATACTTGGAGGCATGGGCCGCCTCGTCCGCAGCCAGTTCCTTGGGGTCCATGCGGGCTGCAGATTCGGGTATGTTGAACATGATGCAGTGCTGCTTGGCCATCGTGGCCTCACCGGCCTCAGCCATTGCACGGACCACCGTCTCCTGAGTCAGGCACCATGCACATGACATTCACGCTGGCCAAGATGAAAGTTTCTGTTCATATTGCATTCCCTTTCCTTCCTTCTTGAGCGAAGTATGTTATTTGACTGCGAAGATCACCATACAACGCAGCACAAGCTACTCTGGTAGTGACTGCAATAAAATAAGTGTAATCATGTACAGAGAATTCACGTGCAACACAAGCAATTTCTAGTTCATTGCAAGTCGCATTGCCTCCCCCACAAAGCACCATTTCCCACCTGCAACTGCCCGTCTTTGCCAGCAAACACAGCCGCAAGGCCCCACAGCGATTTCTTCAACAGGTGCCGGATGGTTTTCTCCATGTACGTCCGCTCCACAGACGGAAATCTAGCAGCGAGGCCGAACCTGTTCACAGCCTGGAAAGCAGCCTTGGTTCGATCCTTTGCAATGCACTCCTCCACCAGGGTGCACTGGTAATCGACGCCCAAGTTCGTTGCCCACCGCATTGCCAGACCCTCGCTGCCATCTGAGACGAGCACAGACAGCAGCTTGGCGATTGGGAAATGCTGTTCAATGCCCTGTGACAATGCAGCGGGGTTCATGTGAGCTGACCGAATATGCCGCTGCACATGCAAATTGGACAATGAAGCTACACCGAGGGTCTGGCCATAGCCACACAAAACTCGGCATGCTTGATGTGAGGGGAAAATTAACTAGTTAAGCAATTAAGGAGGGTGAATATGACATACGGTGTGATTTAAGAATGCATGTGTATGGTGAACTTGGTGAAACCAATATGGAGAATTGGGGAATGCGATTGGGTGTGTTGGCAGGGGGTTGTTAGACGAGCACTCTCATCCTGTAGTGCATCTGGTTAGAGCTCGACTTCCTGTGCCTGGGAGCGACCCTGTGTGAACGTTCTTGGTTTTCGTCACACGTGACATGTTGGTGAATCACTGATGCAACACAAGACAAGACTTCACAGTGCTCCACCCAAAATGCAATTAATATCAGCTTTGCTCAGCCCTTGTGCACTGCGGCAGCGTGTGTTGTGATACTTGCTACTGCGCATTAATGGCAAACTGCTCGCTTCGAGGTGGGAATTGTTGTGGAAGGCTCTTTCAGCAAGGTAGAACTCGATGCAGAGGTCCCTCGGTGCAGTCGCCGCAGCGGGTGTTGTGAGCCTAAAGGAACGAAGCAGCTTTGGGCAGAAAACTAGGCAACATGTGTTCTGCCTCAATCGGTACTTGGAGGGTTGCGGCGCAGTGAAAGGAGCAAGCCCAAGAATGGAAGCAGACAAAACAAAACACAAGTCTACTGCACGTGAATACTGCAGTCGCTGGAAAAGAAGTGCCTCCACTAGAATAATGAGGTGCGAGAACTCGGGGGCCAACTTGCATGAATACCTTTGTTGCCAAGAATGTGCTGCGGTCAAATGTGTCCACATTGGCACCACTTTCATTTGTTGCAAATCCACGATGACAGAGCGACAGGGAGGGGGAAGCGTTCTCTGGATTCCGCACCCCAGTGATGCTTGAGCTGGCACAGCCTGAATCACTCGCATCAAGTGCATTGCCAGAAAGCAATTCAATCACCTTGAAATGCATAATGAGACCCACACCAGTCACTCTTGTGCTCTTGTCTTCCAAGAGGCGTTCAATGTACTGGATGAACGAAGGTCTCGACACATCTCCTGACTGAATATCAAAGGTTTGTGCAACCTGCACTCCACAAAGTACCAATGCCATCATCTGCCGCTCCAACATATCAACAACGCTCATTTGCACTCAGAACTGAAAAAATATCCCCAGTCTGCAGCACAGGTACATTGCACAACAAGGTACATAATTTCTACAACATGTCAACTGCTGAACGTAGCGCACTGTGCCGTACACCTGACATTGATTGTCAATTCCCCATGAAGTGAAGCACTCCATCAGTGCTGCAAGGCATAAGAGTACCACATGGAGCTGTGATTCTGTACAAACGTTGTTTGACATCTGCACCTCCCATCGCCTGCAATGCGTGAGTGAAACACAGATATGTCAGAGAATGCCACAACATGGGGCCATCGCCTTGCTTCATTCAGCAAGAATGTGTCCTTTGGCAGTCGAGCAGATCTTTTCTTGTCAATTTTTCTGGTCGGCAAATTCTGCCCTGCCATTGTCTTGGGCAAGATACTGATGTGAAATCCCACCTTCAGTGCCTGACGGGCATTTTGTGGACTGCAGCAGAGGCAGAACAGCCGTGCAGCATCCTTCTTCACCAATGCAATCACCTGCCATGCAGCTTCCACAAATGCATCACTGGCTCCCAAAATGCACACTCTGGAATATGTGGACTAGCGAAATGGAACAGATGCACTCAGGTGTACCGTGTACCCACCCTTTGTGCAAGGTGGGCACAAGACCAATTTCTTCTTGTGCATGTTGTCTAAATGGATGCTATCCCACCAATCGTCACACATAAATAGTATGTACTCCACGTTTACCTGATGTTGTGTCCAGTGTCGGAAGCCAGGAACAGGGACAGGGCCACATGGTGCTGCAAATGATAATGCTTGATGGCTGGCTGGAGCTTGATGACAAGCATCATAACTATTCACCTACTCTGATTGGTGTGGAAGGGTCAGAAGTGCATGAGAGGCAGGCAGAAACATGGTTAACGTTTCCCCTACCAGGTAATCATGACATGCTGGTGTACTACTGTACATATATTAGCAAGTACATACACAATACTACAGTAAATCTTTTAAATCGTGTTCAACCATATACATTTTCATCTTCTTGAACTAATAATCATATTACTTGGAACTCACATCTCAAGTGCCAATCCGAATAATCCACCCTGGAATGTGTGCTCATGGCTGGCCTGCATTGAACTCACTTCACCCAGAGAGAACTCATACAAGTCACAACAAAGCAGCAGACACATGAGGCACTATCAGTCTCGTGGGTGAGGTGTGAGTGTGGGGCTGCACTTTCCTGCAAGGGTGAACAAGACTTAGCACCATACTTAATACTTCAAGATGTGCAAGTAGAGCACTCAGCAGTGCACACTGCGGCACATTTACCAGTATGTTGTTTGTGTTTCATGCAGCACGTATTTCTACTCTGTGCATCACATCACCATTTGCATGTGACGTTGCGGTTTGCCCTGCTGCTCACCTCGGGATCCATGTTGCACGCCACTAGCTCGATTAGCAGGTGGCAGAGCACTGTTACCCAAGTAGCTGGTGGCAGCATGAGGAGCTTGAGCAGGCAGGGAAGAAGGAATCTCACGGCTTCTTGCATTCCCAGCTGCAAGAATACCAACAATGGAAATGTCAGCCTTTCATTAACCCCAATGCACAAGAAACAGGGCATTGTGCAGCTGCAGGAGCTGATGCGGCCTTACACTGGAATTGCACTGGCACCAAGATGTTGCAATCTGCAACAAGACCAAGCAAGCATCTGAACATACCAAGCAGCCAAATCACCTGAAGGCAGCACCTGCACTGATAAGGTGTTTTTGAGGGGAAAGTGAAGTGTGATGAGGGTTATGGCATTGATTATGCAGGGGGGGGTGTCATGCAGGGGGGGCACATATCATTCCTAGCAAGATGTTGAAATTAGTAATGCAGCGATTGGCATGCTGATCTCATCAATGTGCCTTCTGCACTTTGACTGCCATGATGGCATATTGTGCGCTGCTTTGCAACGAACAGCCTGAATTCAAAGCATTGGCTTGTTGTTCATCGGAACAGAAAGGGGTTGGACATCGAATAGCTTCGTCACTCCATCCCATGACTATGGATTTCCATATTCAGGTACATCAACCAACATCTACACGGGGCAAGCATTGTCCATGTAAAGGGGCCCACACATGCAGACAAATTTGTGCTTTTTGCCTTGCTGCTGTGGTTTCATCGGGAATTGGCAGGGGCAATTTGGATCTGCATCTTCCTTATCTACAACTTATCTGATACTGGAACATGTAGCGCAGTACAGGCTATTGGTGGCACCATGCACACTCACAAAAACATACAGATTGAAATATGTCAGTTAAATTGTGGACTTTGGTTGTTGCATGTTTGTCTACTGCATTTGAAGAATGGTCTATCCCCCTTTGTGGATCAATGTCCAGAGGGGAATACTGCTTAAGTGACCCATTATGCTTTTGGTCAGCACCCAACTTGCTGCAGGACCACTACATACTCATGATCAATGAATGAAAGGGAATAGCAGGACATGGTAAACAACACTGGGGCTGGTACAATGGATATCAAACCCATCTGTGCAGCTTCCCCCTCTTTCGCTCCCATTGTGCAAATGCTGTTCACTATGTAGAGGCAAAGTTGCACATGGCATAGCCAAACATGCATAAGGAGGGAGAGTTTCATCATGCAGGGGCAAATGGGATCTCCAAGGATGCATGCAGTGGCTCGCTGCTGGAAGATAATGTGGTGCCTTCGCGCTTTGCAAGCGATGATGGCCATGTACACATCCAAGAAATGTTCTCTGTCCTACATGTGTTCATTTTTATCTGTTCGCCACTCGTGCAGTCGCCCATAGCTACGTGATTGATATGCCCAGAGCCTGGCGAACTGGATCATCTAAAACTACCCCGGGTGGAAAAGCCCACGCGAATTCAAGGAAGGGCACTGCGCAATGCCGTCAAATGGTTTGATCAACCTGAAGGTGTGAAACAGGATGGAACAGATTGTAGCCGAACAAAGCAGTGGCGCGTGGCCTTGGGGCCCCTGGCCTGTCATTCAATCAACACACAACACGATGCCCTGCAACACGAGTCCTGGAACACGCGCGGTGATCTCGCCACCCCTCCCGCGTTCCCCAATGCCTTATTCGGATCTGTCTATTTCAACGCCGGGAAGCCCCCAACAACAGGGCGATTCACCACCGACGCTCGACAGTCCGCTGCCCGGCAAGCGCTGTGCGCACCATCCGCCCGCGCTCGGCACAGGCGCCCGGCGTCGCCCCGGGGGCGGGCACCCCACCTTCTCCAGGCAGTTGTTCTGCAGCCCCTTCTCCATCGCCTTGAAGTGCACGCACTTGTTCAGCATGTGCCCCCGCAGCGCCTGCAGGAAGCCCTCCGCGTCCCCTTCCCCGATCATCCGCCCGAGCTCATCCCAGTCGACAGCCGCCATGGCCGCTCGTCAGCCCGTCGATCCTCGCGCTCGCGCCGAATCCCCTTTCGTGCCTCAGCCCCTCTCCCAAGCACCGCCAACAGAATCAGAAGCTTAGAATTCTGGAACGCTCCCTGGGCGTGTCTTGGACGCGTCTCGGGAATGGATGGAGTTTCTTTCTTGGATTCTCACGCCGCCGGTACTCGGCCCGGCGGCCGCAGACGCCGCCGATTGTTGGAGCCAAGGCCTGCACCCGGACGAGAGAGGCCGGCGGGGATCCGGGACGTTCGGCGCTTGGCAATGCGCGAGGCTCGCCACCGGGTGGATGCGATGGCACGGACCCGCGGGCGCGTCTGTGGGCAGCGACGCGGGGCCCCCGTGTGCGGTGGGCTCGGTGGGCAGTTTGGAGAGGGGGCCTCGTGTCTGCGTTCCCCACAGGTGCGGAGGCCTGCTGGGGAGCTGCCGGGAAGGCCGCGGTCCGCTTGGGGTAAAGTACGTGCAGCTTCGGCAATATTCGTCCGTTGTGCACAAAATTTTTAGCAGCATTTGGACAACTCGTGCGCAACGGTTTGATTTGGTTTTCAAGGGAAGAACTTAATACTTGACACAAATGTAGCACCAAACAATTGCCTTCATTGCATTCTGGGCTGAGGAAGCACTTGTTTGCACAGAATGAATTGTTTATATCTACTGGTCCCGACCAGAAGTTCCGCTTCAGCCAGGATGGGAACGCGTTTGAAACTTTGAATGGCATAGGCTGCCCGTCGCGATGCCTCGTGATGAATTGGCGCACCAGTTGCACTGTGCCGCACCGTGCCCGGGTAAGTTGATACAGAGCTGGGACAGAGAGCTACATTCTTTTCTTTAAGCATACCTTAGAAAGACAGGGTGGGCAACTCATCCATGTCCACCAACGCACCCAGCCTCAGCTGCAACGTCGTTTTTTCTTTGGCATTCTGCACATTGGGTACGCCCAACCCAGAGTTGGCTGCTCGTCAGCCAGTATCGCCGCAAATGTTCTCCCTCCATAACGCATTAAATGAAATTAAATGGCACTCTCAAAAAAGACCTTCCTGACCAAAAGTCATGGCGATGCCATCCCATTACTCGGAGGTCCCCGCAACGGCGTCAGGCTTGTACGACCACATGCGTATGAGCCCATCATCCCCGCATGACGCCAGAATTGTGGGATCCTGAGGATTCCATTTGACGCAATTCACGTCCAGGGAATGGGCCCCCTCCACAGATGTCAGCATTCGGTAGGACGCACAACCCGAGGCACACCCGTCGCTGCTCACGCCTTTGTCTCCAGAGAACAACCGAATGGCGTTGTCTCCACAGCCTGCACGAAAACGCGGATATCAAGGTCCGTGCACTGCACACAACTGCTGCCACAACGCATGTATGAGACCTTGCCCACCATGGGGAAGCAGATGGCGGATTTCGAAAACTTCAACCATCAAGGGCAAAGTCGAGAGTCTTGACTCGATAACTGGCTTCCATTTTACCATGGCTTCAGTCCAGCAGTGTTTGACAAAGGCACAAGATACTTAACTTAGACATCCATTACAAGCTAAAGTCAACACACGATTTCAGCATCTCAACACAAGCCAAACATGGTCGGGCATTGTGCAGAACAGGCACTGTTTTCGCCAGTGACGAAGGCAAAATAGAACCTGAAAGATTGCATCCCACCTGATGCGATGACACCCAACTTGGACCAGTCGACGCTATAGATCGTCCTGGTGTGGTATCCAGACATTGTGCTTGCCAGCTTCCATTCAGGCTGGCGGCCGTCCATCTCGCACTGCCAGATTTTCAGTGTAAGGTCCCCGCTGCACGACACCATGTGAGCGCCCCCCTCTTCGAAGGCCAGTCCCCACACGGTGGAAGTGTGGCCCCCTCCAGGGCCTGCAAACACACAAACACCCCATACAGGACTCCTTGGGTATTATTGGACTTTCCAAGGTGACAATACAAAACATTTTTCAGCAAACACTCCGAATGGAGGGCTGCCTGCTCAAGCCTGACAGGCACATGGGAAGCCAGGGCATTGACACCGTTCATCAGCTTGCGATGAACCGATGAGTCACGTTGCTGCTTCTCGCACAATAACAGCATACAGACAATGGGGACAAGAGACACCGTCCCTCCCATGGGTGCCCTTGCCTCCCGCTTCCCCAGCGAGGAAAAATGAACAGTGTTAGGCTAAACAAAATGAAAGGAACTATGATGGCTATTGTGCTTGTCATATTTTTTTTAGTGCGATTCAAGTGACCCACCTCCCAGTGTTTGCGCACAGTTCCATTCGTCCCCCTCCACATCTTCTGTCCACAGTTTGATCGAGTCGTCATAACTGGCAGAGGCCAAAACTTGGCCCCCAGGGTGCCATTGCACCATCTTGACATCTTGAGAATGGCCATGCTTGACATCCACACACTCGTAGTCGCAAGCATCTACAGGTTCCCACAGCCACACAGTGCGATCGCGGCTGCAGGTCGCGATCAGATTTCCATCTGGGTGCCATGCAACACTCTTGACTTCGTTTTCATGGCCTTCAAGTGTACCTACCTGACTGCCAAATTGGCAAAGGCAGTGAGAAATGCATTGATAAAGGCGTCATGTGTCAAAGCTCTTTGTTTGTGAACCGAATTCGATGGAAATCGTGGGCACATGTTCTGTCGTGGGGGCCAAAACCTCACATCGCATGATAGATGCAAGGGCCAGGTGTTGTCACGCGTTTGCAAAAGTGTCACAATTCACAGTTACAATGAAATCAATGCCCCAGACTGCCTTGATTGTTTTCACTTGTGCCCACATCACCTCGTTCCTTTCTTATGTTTAGGCTGCCACTCCTGGTCCAATTCAGGTGATGAGCTACATAGTGGCATGTTGCAGACACACTTGGGAATGTGGTGGAACACAACCAAGACAAACATTGTGCGGTTGATCCATCTCTGCCATCGGATGAACGACAGCGGTGACATCGTCCACCCAACAGACAACAACAACAGCACTCAAGGCGGCTAGGCCGGCATTTGCCAGCGTCAGAGCGATGTGGTATACTTGGGAAATTGGAACACTTGCTATGAACATCGACAGCAGCGTGTCTTGCTGACAACAATCTTGTCATCTGAACATCAACAGCAAAGAGTGCAGGCACAATCAAATGCATGTGCTAGGGATCAATGCCCAACGGCACCAATTCTGGTAATAGAGCTTGTGTTGTCTTGTAACCAAACAAATAGACTGAGGATTAAGACAAAAATAACAACAGCCACCTGCTCCCACTCTCCACCCTGCTCCTCCCACACTGCAGTGGTGGCGTCAAAGCTGGCAGTCGCCAGGTACTGGCCACATGGGGACCAGCAACAAGATCGCACAGCCCTTGTGTGGCAATCTTCCAGTATTGCAGAGCAGAGCCACCGGCCGGAAGAGTCCCTTGACCAGATGCGAACAGTCTTGTCGCTCCCACAACTAGCAAGTTTCTGTCCTGCATAAATAATTGGGGATGTGACTGTTTGGGGCAAAGCACCAGCTGCCTTGGGAGCCTGCATACTGATATTGACACGTCATCATGAGAAGGAGCAGTCACCATGACAAGTACGAATCTGGATTGCAACAAGTTTGGCGGCTTAAAGCACTGCCGAAGCACACGAGTAACTAGCAAGTGTCGCGAGTTTGAAGGTGTAAGGGCAGAGCACTTTGCCATTTTTGTGCTGTTGCGCCATTTTGGTGCTGAAGACGATATTATGGCCTCCAAAGTGCTGGATGCACAAGTTTCTGACAATGACAAGAGATTCTACCTAAAATGCTGTAGCATTTATTGTGCAGGAAACATCCCCATTTCGCCCATGTGCCTCTAGAACTCGGTTCTGCAACAGCACTGAGAAAGAAGATTTGGACGCATGCAGAGGTCCAACTCACAAACATGTTCTAACCTTGACATCCACAGAATGTTCATGTTCGGCCATCCAGACACCCATCACCAGTGCTTCATGGAAAGGAAACAAAATACGAGAGCCCATCACACCAAACCTCACTACAAACCTCGGATTTTTGCAGTGAAATTCTTGTTAGATACATTTGCATTCACATTGCGATGCTGTGCATTTTGCCTGCTGGAATTTTTCTATTTGATGCTCTGCAAAGTCAATGCTGGGTCTCAAATCCTGACTTTAGGCTGCTCCACGCGCAATGCACGGACGATGAGCTCAGTTCAGCGCGAAGTAGGGCTGTGTCAGTGGAACGGAGGATCGAGAGGCCTGTTGGCTACAAAAAGAGCAGCAGATAGCGCATGATCTGTGGAGCTCGCCTCCCATACTTTGTTCCCAGCACTCCACAATCCCAGGACCACTCTGATTACTTCACAATCTACCCCGGACACTTCAAACTGCCGGGATGAGTTCACAATCACTGGGCTCACCGCAATGGCCAACTGATTACCCTCCAGAGCATTCACATTTCTGACTGCAACGACAAGGCGCTCAGCAATTGCATTCTCTCACCCTTTGGGGACCACGCCACCGCCCACACAACGTCCGAGTGCCCTTCCAGGACCTGAGTCTGCACGAGCAGCGCCATGTCGCCCCGCCACAGCGGCGACGCCGTTCGTCCTGCGCTTCCACGGGCGAGGCCCCCGCGTAAAATTGTAGCCTCGGAGTGTTTTTTCGCCCCACCGGGAAAAAACAGTGGTTCCCTGCCCGTTGGGTGGTTGGACGGGTGCAGAAGCGGTTGGACTACCCTCTTCCTGGCCCTGGTCCAAGTGGTTTGGTAGGGTAGCGGATACCCCACCGAGTGGTACCTTAGTTTTTAAATCCCTTCCGCATAGTGCAACGGAACGATTAGACTTTTCTTGCGGAGAAAACAGTACACAATTGATGCTCTTTTTTGCAGAATTCTTGCGGAGCAGCATAAAAACAATGAAAACAACGCTATGAAAAAAAAACACGGAGCAAAAGGCCCAACAGTAAAACTTTCCGATGGCAAGGGTTTGCTTAAAAGACTACTGTACCCGGTTCAGATCCCCAGTCAGACATCCTCTACATTAGCACTAAAACGCCGCCTGCACCACCTGTCACGTTGACATAGGCGCGCTTCATCGCGCGTACTTCAGCCAAGGACACGAGTGCGGTGTCCCGGCTGCTTGGGGCCATGGAGGCCACCGTGAGGAGCCTTGTGGTGCTGGCCACGGATGCGAGCCAGCAGAGCCCCGCGCATGGGACCCTGAGTCAGATGAAGAGGCTCGTGCGGACGTGCGACGCCCTGCTGAGAGTGGCCTTCGAGGCCCTGCAGGACCGCCTGCAGGCGCCGAACTCCCGGGTAGGTGACTTGATCGCCAAAGTTTGGGAGGCATGGGACTGGGAGAGGGGTGGGCTTTGGTGGCGCTCCGTGTGCCAAAGTGTGTCAGTTATGAAGTGGTGGACGCCAACTGGATGGTTGGGGGAGCGATGTTCGGGAGCCTGTGATGTGAATGTAAGTGAATCCTAAACAGAAAGACACCTGACACGTAATATGCCTTTCCTGGTCTGGGACCACGTGTAGGGTAATTGCATGCGTCGCTAGTGTTTGGGGAAGCTGGCCACCTGTTTGCAAGCACGAGAGCTTGGGGGGAGCACGTTAGTGTCTTTGCACCGCGCTCAAATTCCTCTCTTTTCTGGCTTTTTGGATTGTCTGACTGGATTACTTTGGGCTGCTGCCGCACCAGGTGCGGCTCCTGGCTGTGCAGATTTGTGATGAGCTGTTTCAGCGATCTAAAGCCTTCAGGGGGATGGTCGCTCCCTTTTTCCAGCAATTCCTGGAGCTCAGCACAGGGCACGTGCGGGATAATCCCCTGCCAGGTCCAACGAATGAGGCGGATGAGCTCAGGACACATGCCTTGGCAGTCGTTGAGAAGTGGAACAACTCATTTGGGAACTCTTACAGGCAGGTGAGGTTGTGTGTGCCACACAACAAAAGCTGTTTCAGTGCCACGCAGCCTGCCTCAATTTGGGCATCTGTTCTGGGAGTAACAGCGTGTCGACTTCCCAACTTTACAGCCTGATGCCTATAACGACCTTGCTGCTGTGGGGTAATGCTGTTGATTATGATGGTTTGGTCTTGATGCGTGGACACACTGTTTGGACCCTGATTACTCTTCATCCATTGTCTCTTGTGTTGCCTTCTCTGCACACTGTTTGCTAGGCTTGTTGTGGTGTCGAGTGGCTTTTAGAGTGTTAGCTTCAATATGCCATCAATAATCCTGTTCCTGCAGAGCTTCTGGCAAGTTCTGTTGTGTAGACCCAAGTTGCCACTTGAGCCTAGTGAAATTTGACACTTTATCTCCTGCTGTACTCGTGGAAAGAGGAACCAGGTACGGGAGACCTGAGTGCCTCAGAGAATCAATACAGCAGTGAAGAGCATGATGACCGTATTCTTTGAACAGTGATTGGTGTTTCTGTATGTTGCTGATGGTCTCTCTGAATGCAGTTCTGCTTGGATTTAGAATTCTTCTTTTAACTAAACAGAGTTCTTGCAGGTACCATTGTCGTGCCACACAATGCTCTGGCCCTTGCGCAAGGTCACAAACGGCAAATGCAGAATGCGCACACATTGCCTGTTCTCTGCTGCCAGTCCTCCCCACTTTCTATTGTGAGTCCCTGCGCTAGTGCTCAAGACAGTCTTGTTGAATGGGTTGGTGAAAAGCTGCACTTGTGTGCAGATTCGACTTGGCTACTGTTTCTTGAAAGACGTGGTGAAGCTGCAGTTTCCCAGCATGGGTGAGGAGCAGACCCAGCCGGAGCAGCGCATGCGGAGTGCTGTCCTCAGAAAGTATGAAGACTTGCTGGCGAAGCATGAAGAGGTCTTTGAGGAATGCAGAACATCATGTTCTCAGCTGGTGGGTTGCAGCAGCCCTGAGTCAGATCCTTCTTTCCAACTGGTGACTGCTCCCTCTGATCAGTAATTAGTTCATCAGTATTGCACAATATGACTATTCACAAGTGCATAACTATGCACTCCAGCAATCATTCACAAGTTGTCTTTAGTTGATGAGCTAAGTGGGAATATGCTTGTACCATACCACGAGGCAGAGTGCCTGGACCTCTTGGAGGAGGGGAGGGCTCCAGCAGCTGTCAGCAACAAAGTGCAGTCAGGTTCTGAGAGCGATGGGGACTTTGCATGGGAGGATTGCACCGACCATGCAGAGTGGCGCTCACAGCCAGAAATGCACCCTGATGCTACAAGGGTTGAATCCAGTGGAACAGAAGAGGAGCAGATGGGTCTCAGCACATACGCGGTGGATGACAACCCTGAGGAGGTTATGACCAGTACGACCCCAATGTGAGCAGGACACCCTCTGACTCAGCACGCAGAGCAGCGTCTTTGTATGGTCCATGTCAGGAGCGAGCTGTTTTGTTCGTGGGGTGTTCTGCCTGTCTGTGGTGGAGAGTGTGAAGAATACACTTGTGACACTGTTTTCTAGGCTCCCCAGGCTTTGAATGTCACAGATGAGTGGAAACATGAAACCATTTCTTTGAGAATTTGCTTCAGTGCTGCTTGCTGTTAGGTGTGCGTTGTGGCCAAGTCTTTCAAGGAATGAATATTGGTAATGTTAATTTTGGTGTTTTGCAGTCCTCGCTCCCATTGAATTGGGGAGGCACAAAACCCTTTGCAAGTGTTGTGTTGTGAAGAAATGGAACATCAGAGCCAAAGTTGCAATTTGGTGTGCAGGGATTATGAATGGGACGATGATGACCCGATCCTTGAGCACCTCCGGGGGCTGTACAAGTCCGCCACTCAGAGGCTGCTGCCCACGCTGCAAGGGTGGCTCAGCACGCTGGTGCGTGTGGACGCTGGAGAGCCTGCCTCCTCGCAAAATTTGCAGCGGCAGGCGGTCCTGAGAACCGCGATCTCACTTCGAAATGCACTCACCAGCAATATCACGAGGGTTTCGGCATTGAACATCCCCAAGGACATTCTGCTGTCAAGTTCAAAGGCACAGCAGGTGTGTGGGCACAATATCAGGATCATGTATTGAAGCATGACAGTCACAGGCCTTCAGTGATGTTTGACTAGCAGATATAAATGCTGTGGGTTTTGAGTTTTGCAGCATTTCGACTTGGGACAGTGGAGCACTTCACGTTGATGGTTCTGCTCCTTGCAGGAAGGGAAAGATGGTACCTGATGACGTGACCTTACGATTCTGTTGCTGTGCAGCACATGGACTGAGGTTTGCAATATCTAGTGGACTCATAGTTGCAGGCATTGCTCCTCGGGCTGGAAGTGATCCTTTTTGTCCATCGCAGAATGACTTGGGTCAAGATCGCAGTGCATCCACATCCAATGGGCGCAGTGGCTTGCTTGGGAAGAGATCTGCCCACCATCGACAGCACAGATACAAAGGAGGACCAAAACATGCAAAATCCAAGCGAAGAAGGAAGTACGTCACAGATACGTGTCATGCTGCCGCTTGGCACATACCATCTCTGTTGCAAGTCTTCTTTGCTGTGCTCAGTATCGTCTGTGTCGTATCCCACATCATAGAAGTTGTCCCATAGGAAGTCTATGTCAAGGGGTTGGATGCCCAGTGTGCTGCATGTCTCAGCTTCTTTTAAAAGGGTGAACTTCATTGTGCAGAAGCAGATGTTCATGTGAATGTGATGGACCTATTTTATGGCTATTCGCAGCCTTGTGCTGTTCGGCTTGGTGCATTCATTTCCACTGGCATTCCAGGCAGTTATGTTCAGTTTTGGCTAGCAAGACAGCTTTGTGTTTGTTCCACTGGCACAGGCAAGCAGCCAGAGTAATGAAAAAGTGTGTTTCTGCTGGAGGGACCCAGCTGCATGAGCAATATGTGTGTCACTTGGTTCACAGTTCGCACTGTTGGAGTCCACCACCAAATGCAAGCTACTTGGGTTGCTGGTGACCTAAAGCAAAGATCGTTCAAAATCAGTTTTGGACCTGCATCAGCTGCTTGTTAACCTAATCAGTAAGCAAGTGCTGAAGACTTTCTTACCCTGATGAGAAAGGTGCACAAGCGTGCTGCAAGGGAATTTGAACAGGTTGCAGTAGTGAAGATTTTGTGACATGAGCAGCTGTGCTGGGGGTGATGCCACTACTGCCATACGTATTGTTCTACAGTCATGGATGAGTCACTGGGAGAATGCTGTCGCAGTGAGTTCAGAATTATCAGGGGATGAAACTCCTCACCTGGACGCTTTTCGCTGGCTGCAGGCCTCCTTTGGACCCCACATTGCCCAAAGAGGGTCCCTACATCATCAAAAATTTTGTGGATGCCGAATGGTTGGATGCACACCTTCCTGAAGGAAACGAGAAAGAAGACCATGTTGAAAACCTGGCAGGCTCCAGTGGCAGTATTGCTGCGACCCCAAGCTGCACCACAGCACCAAACTGCACGCCGGGCGCTGTGAAAGACTCACAGGCATCACGAAGCAGGCTGTCAGCCCAACTTCGTGCAAAGCTGCTGGACCGTGCTCCCGTCGTCGATGACCCGAACTCTGTGTGGGGCAAGGAGTCCATGCCACGGCCGATGCTGCGAACAGGGTTGGACATTCAGAACCACTGGGGCCCTGTCGATGACACTGCCATGGTGGCACCTGAAAGGGTGCAGGAGCTGACGAGATACCAGGCCAGTTATTACAAACCACGGATGGCGAGCCAAGGTAGCAAACTGGGGTTGATTGGCAGGGCACAGAATTTCTGAACGGCGGATGTGTGGCGGATGCTGATGCCAGCCAGAACTGGCGTGTGCGTGTGTCCTCCAGGCGAAGTGGGGGTTTGCGATTTGAGGTTGCATCTGCGGCAGTTGCTGCAATCGCTGTCATATGGCCTGTGCCAGGCGTATTGCCCATGACCTGAGCCGGTTGCAACCCTGATGAGTAAATTGGCAAAGCAACACGCACTTTGCTAATGTAGCAACCTTCATGGAATCCTATTTCAGTCTGGTGAAGTGTACTAATTGCTGCTGGGCTTGTGCTGTGTCAATATGGCCTCTGCCTACAGTAGTGAAACTTTCTGATCTGTCTCTGTAGGGGCTGGGCCTACCAAGTCTAAATCTTTAATCAATATTGGCTGCCGTCTGAAAACAAGCTCATGGGGAGACAGCTCAATGCCGTTCTGTTGAGTCGTACGCAAACTTCTGGCCACTTGTTGGCTCACTTGATCCCATATTTAGCGGTGTTCACAGTGTGTCATGCGGCATTAGTGTTAGATATGCTGCGATTGAACACATTGTTTGTGCACAGCGCATTTGTTACTTCTCTTTGGTAGGCAACCACTGGCATACGGGCACCACCATGCACTGCAGCTTCACTGTGTTCGGTTTTCGTGGGTGAGAATCGGAACCATGTTGTCCTCCAGTGTGCAAGGCTTCCAACCAGTTGGCAAGTGGATCATCAAGAACTTTTGGCAGCTCTGAAGCCCATCTGAAATAGTTGTGCAGTTCTCATCAGTCCAAGTTTGTTCGTTTGAACAGGCTGCATCTCACCCTCATATCCGTGCGTGCTAGGTATGGCAGCCAGCAATCCTGTGGCGACACCCAACGTGGACGAGTGCCCAGGAAGCCCGCCAGCAGCGGCTGTGACCCCAGCCACCATCACCAGTCATGATGTGCAAAACAGAACCTCCAGTTCCGATATCTCAAAGCGACCTGCACCAAATGGGGCTTCCACCTCTGAGGGCCTTCTGCCTTTGGCACCAACCAATTCCAGCAGCGCATCTCGTCGTGGCAGGGGCTGCCAAAACAGAAGGGCCGTAAGGGCTGAGGAGAGGGCCTACACGCAGGCTCTCCTAGCGGCCTGTGCAGCCAACGAATTTCCTGAGCTGGCTGAACAGGAGGCGCCAGTAAGAGGAAGCTCTAGGCGCCAGAGGAAACAAGTGACCAAAGCCAATAAGTTGCGATCAATGCTGCTGAAGAAGTGAGATGGTGGTGGGGGGCGAGTTGACATAGTTTGGGTTATTTGGTCCAGAGTGCGGGCAGAGTGCAATCCTTACAAGGCGTCGGAAACAAATCACGCTCCATTTTATGCCTCTGTGTAATACCACAGTTACATTCTGTCAGCATTGCAGAAACATGCTGGTTGTCCACAAGGCAATGAGGGGCGGTGTATGTGTGTCTGCATTGTATTGCCATCAGCTGCGCAGGCACCATCTTGCATACACTGTTAATCCCTCGAAAATTTTGACAATGAGTGGCCTGCAATTCAAGAGAATTATGAGTATTGTTCTGGCAGTGGTTCAGAACAAGAACAGTTGGGTAGTGGTGCAGATGCTACACATGAATGTCTGTACCTTTCGCATTGTGCATTGCTTCTGCCATCCAGGGCAGCCTGCAACAGGCAGTATGCCATCGATTTATCGTTGGTGTGGCTATAAGGGTGAACATATGGCTGCACTGTTGATGTATTTGCCTTGGCAAACCTCCGCCATACTGGCAGAAAGCACTGACCCAATTGAACAGATTCTGCCCTTCAGGGCTGGCATGGGACGAGCAGCCACTTCGCGTTCGATGACGGTGACAAGTCGCTCACACGGGCCAACACAAGCTCGCCATTTCCCCAACGAATCTCAAAATTCAACCCACAGCCAATAAGGTTCGTTGTCAACGCACAGTCTAGTCACAGTCCTGACAAATTTGGCCTGCAGGCGGGCCTCGCAGAGGCGCTGAAAATCCTCCGCAAACTTAACCAACGACCCGCCGACAACACAGCACATAATGGAACAAACACAAGCACACACCGCGGCAAAATCCGCCCGCCTCCCCAGCCTCGACTGCCCCATTCGCCCCCCTCATTCGCCCCCCTCATTCTCCCCCCCTCATTCGCCCCTCTCCAGGTTCGAGGAACTGCCCTTGATGGGGACGTAGCCCGCGGCCTCCAGGTCGCCGCAGCGGGGCCCCTTCCCCCGGCCGACGCCCGCAACCAGCACAATCCACGCCACCTGCACGGCCATGACGCCCACCAGGCCCGCCATGACCACCCGCATGTCCTGCGCCACACCGCCGAAGACGTCGTCCACGTCCGCGAACAGTTCCTTGAGGCCATCCTTGCCGTCGTAGAACATCTCGGCCACGGGCTGCGCCAGCGCCACAGCGTCGCGCAGGCCCGCCGTGCGCAGCTGAAAGACGTGCGCCGCCGCGCAGCCCAGCACGGACGCCGACGCGGACGCCGCCAGCAGGGCGAGCAGGCTGGATCGATCCACCCCCCTGCCCATTCTCCCCGCGACCATGAGCCAGGCGACGGCGATCAACACGATTGCCATGAAGCCCAGCGCCCACCAGACGGGGACGAAGGACGACATCTCGATGTCCCTGAAGTAGCCACAGACCTCGGAGAGGGAGTGGGAATGGTGCGAGGGGGTGCCCGTGTGGGAGCCCGAGGAGGGGAAGACGGCGGAGGCCTGCTTCTCGGCAGCCTCGACGTTGGAGGAGGTGTGGGCGATCAGGCGCAGGCCGCCCGCCAGGACGACGGCCCAAGAGGCGAAGGCCAGGCCCAAGAGGGTCCAGTGCGAGGAGGCGGGCAGCGCCCGGGGTTCCATGCTTGGGCACTATCGGGCACCGGGCAGAAGCAATCAGGGGGCGGTGAAAGCGTTCGGGGGAGGGCGGCGGAGCGGGGAAGGGGGCAGGGGCGAGGTGGGAATGTGGGCGGCGTGCGATAGCGCGGAAGGGAAGAGATAAGGGAGGGGTGGCGCGACGAGCGGACGGAGGTGTTTGAGACGCGTGTCCACGCTGCCCAGCGATGCTGCGGCGTCGAGATGCTGCGGGAGTGTTTGGCAAGGGCCCGAGCTCAGGAGGGGCGCGCCGAGGAGGGTGCGTGCAAAACCGTTCCCGCCGTCGGCCAGGAGGGAGCGCTGGGCGCCCAATCGGGCCCCAATGCCCACCGAACGGCCGCCGACGTGCGTTCCAACGCGTTCCAAGGCGTTGCAAGGCGTTCCAAGGCGGGCGGCGCGCGGCCCACCTTCCTCGCCTCGGGCTGCGGGCCTTGAGTCGGGGGCGGACCGGGGCTTTGCGCGGGCGGCTGGCTTGCCGTGCGGCCGCAGTCAAAGTGCGGTCAATCCCTGTCTCCGAAAGGGGCTCATCCAGGGCGGTGCCTGGCTGTGGGGCGTCGACGGTCTGTCAGATTCCCGTGGGGATTCCAGCCCGTGCGGCTTTTATGCCGTGCCGTCGCTGGATATGTTGTTCCCCCAGCAGAATGTGCCGCATGCCCCGCGCGGTGATGGGCCGCCACAGCGACCTTTGGGCGGCGAAAGGCAGCCCGTGACGACATGTTTCTTGCTTCTTCAGGGGGTCGCCGCTCGGTTGCTTGCCCGCATGACTGTCGGCAGCCATCGGTGCTGTTTGAAATTCTGCCGAGGTGAAATTCTGGTGAGGGAGCTGGCGCCCGAGTCCAGCCCGCACGATGGACACCTACAATTGGAGGTAGTGGTGCCTCTTTGCCGCCTCGTGCCATGCATTGTGCAGCAGCTTCGCCCTACCAACCGATGCGAAAAGGGAGCATTTCCATCCGGCCTTGACACCGAGTGTCCAGACACCTGTTGTGGACGGAAATCAGACAATTGATGACACTGTGCACAACATCATTTACCCTTTCCAAGAAAGCCATTTCTGCCTATCGGCACGCTATCCCCGCCCAACACGCCCGCTGGACAACTTACTAAAGTCGGGCTCTAAAGGTTCCTTTCCTGCAAACGCGCAATACTGCGAATTCAGTATGCCACTAGCCTCGAGATAAGAACCAAAGTACTACCCCCCTGCAGATTACACTGCACTTGATCCTTGAAGCCGAATTCACGCATCCAACCCAACCCAGCTCCACACGACCCAAGTCCTCGGCAGTGGAGGGGATTGGTTGAATTGGTCGGACTTTTATTGAGTGCAATTGAAATGATTTGATATTCAGGGCATGGAGGACCGTCCATCAGTCCCTGGCTCCTTCGATGCTAGATGTCGAGGCAAGAAGGTTCCCTTCAGCTCCCGACCTTCGCCTCACTCCGTTCTCTTTTCGGTGCATACTCTTGTGCTGTGAGACCTCGGACACTTGTTTCCTTTCATTCCACTTGTTACTCCACATTGTTGGGAGTTCAAAGGCAAACCCGCCGCAGTGGAGATGTGGATCTTGACGGGAATGTAGACCTTAAGCCGAGCGTTTTGCGTTTGCCCAAGAACTATTACACATCAAGGCAAGGAGATGCCTGCGCTTCGCAACTATGGGACCGCCGCACACGTCCCTGCGCATGCTCGAGAAACGCACGGCCCACCCCGGCCCTGCGAGCGGCACCGCACTACGCAGGATGGCATACGCATGGCCATTTGAGACACGTGGGACAGCCACCGCTGACTCCCAGCCCAGACTCATGGGCCGAGTTTTCGGCATCTGGTCGTTTGGACCCGATGTCTGAGGGCTCGCAGGCGAGTCTCCCATTAGGGCGTGAGGGCCGAAACTGGCTCTGGCTGAATTTGAAGCACAGTAGCAGGAGGAAAAGGTCGCCACAAAGGTGTCCCTGGTGGAGATTCATACGGGGGTCACTGCATAAGTCTCAGCTGGAGAAAGGAAAAGTCAAGTAACGTGGGAACAAGAACCGAAGCAGGCGATTTTTGAGTGCACATGCCCCCGCTATGTGTGCAGCCCTACTTAAGAGCAATTCGATCATGCTCGACGCTAGTCAATTTCCATCGTCCATGCGCACGGCATGCAATGAGAGTCAGTCCATTTTTAAGGATCCGCTCCGCTATGATCCCAGTGCGAACCCCAAATGCGAGCATCGCATTTGCTGACACGAACAACAGCCATTCAGCAACTCAGCATATCCATGCACGGAGCTGCCGGTTGCTGGCTGATACTGGCATCAGCATATTGGGAAGCGATATTGCTTCCTTTGTTAGTGCCGTCCTCCACGCATTCACGATGAGTCGCCACCCCATGCAATTCGCAAGAAGGCGTGAAACCCACTGGGAAGCATACAATCGATGCAACCCAGCAGCTAAGGTCTGGCAATCCCAATATGGTGCCCCCTGAGCTTCACCAAATGTTCATTTTAGTGATTTCGATCAATTTTATATCACCAACCCTGCCTGCGTCGCACTTCACAAATTGTTGTCTCATCAATGTTATATCAGTTGCTGTCCACCTCTTTGCAGGCAATCTCCATGGGCAACATCGCCACTAATCTGGCCGCACCACTGTTCATCTAAAGAATTCGCCTTCACCACATTTGGCCACCCCGTGTGCACTCTCGCCTTGGTTGCTTTCCCAGCTGTTGCAAGCAGAGCTGGTTGATTGCATCTGATTCTTTCTCCTTTGCGCCCCGACATGCCCAAGCAGATTCGATCAATGTCTCCCTGCCTTGTTGGGCACTTTATGGTGACTCTTGCTGGTGCCGTCTGAGTTCAACGAGTCTTCGGAAGAATAAACTAAAATGCGACAGCACAATTCACCAAATTCTTGCAGTGGCATTAGCTGGAGTTGACAGAATTATAAATGTTTCTTGAACTGAAATTGAATTTATGGACATCGCTTCACTCAATTTGCAGAGTTCAGGACATCACCAAGGTACAGACCCTTTTGACAGGATCCCTCACCCAATCCCACCATCTTGCACCCAGTGAGCATAAACAAGCGAATCAAAAGCGTGCCTCCCCTAAAGATGTCTCCATTCATTGCCATATTTTGGAATGGACGCAGTATGTTACAGAGCTGCTGAAGGGACGAAAACAATGTTTTGGCAAAATTGTCCCTGTTGCACTTGGCATGACGAGTGTGGTGGGTTTGACGCCATACATGATCGTGTTGGATAACACCCGACACCCTCCTCAGCGATTGCTCGCAGTCACCTCAACTCTTCTTGCACAAAACAGGTGCTACCGCCATAGAAGAACGCCTGGGGAGAATGTAATAGTCGCTCTGCGTGAGGGGGGTGGAAGTATATGGAGTCCGGGAAGGGGGGCTGGTCACCCGTATGCCCGATGCATCATGCATCGTATCCGCCACTGCCCCCGCGCCAGAAACCCACCACATTCAAAACTGCGATTGCCCCCAGTCGTGTGACTGCAGTCGTGGGCAGCCATCAGGGAAATAATATTACTGCCTGCACCAAATCGGTGACTGCTTCCATCTGATCACGTGCACACTATGTCCCAACCTCAGTTTTAGGGGTAGGTTTAGTTTTAGGGTGAGTTTTAGGGTGGCTTTTAGGGTTAGGGTTAGGGTTAGGGTTAGGGTTAGGGCAGGTTTAGGTTTAGCGTTTAGGTTCGGTCAGTTTTTGAGGGAGTTGGTGCAAGCAATCACCGATTTAGTGCAGAAAGTCATCGATTTGGTGCAGCCAGTAACTGTATGCCGCCGCCCCCCCCCCCCCCGTGCAGTGGCAACCCCAGAGGGATGGCGGCAAGGGCTGGCGCCCGGAGGTCAGGAGATCCCGCGCGCCCCTGGCGCACGCCACCAGCAAGCAACACAAACTGCACCGTCGACATCATCAGCAGCGGCAATGCTTGTGACGGGTAGGCATCGGGCCCCTCCCCACCGAGTCTTGGGCCGAGAATCAAAACAACACACCAATGCGGTTCTAGCAATCCGCCTGTATTTGGGCTGCGAGGATGGAACACGGCTTGTTGGGGCCCTTGAGGCACCGGAGAAAGGAAAATGGGAGAGAAATTACTTCGCAAAGGGTGGAGAGAGCCAAAATATTTGGGTGTCCCGTCAAGCACCAGAGCCGCTTGCACCCTCAACGAACCATCATATCACGCAAAGGCATGGGTTCGGCCTTCTACTTTTGAAGGCCTCGCCAAAGCGCTCTTGAAACTGCACCAGATGATTGAAACGTTCTGGCGTTGTGATTCAAACGTTTTAGCGGGGATTGCCATACCTGCAGGCTAACGGAGCCCCCCCAGACCTTGCTGCTAGAGGGGGGACATCAATAGCCATGAATCTAGGGGGGCTGGGCTGGGGGGGCATTAGGCAGAATTGCCAGATTGCCAAACATGGGGGGGTCAATGCAGCGTGCACCATCGCAGGGGGCGACCTTGCAAGTCGTTCGGCGTTGCAATGGTGCTGTGGGGTTATATCTGGTGAGGAAGCGGGTAGAGTCGTGAGCGATTCTGCGACAAAGTCAGGCGGAAAACGCAACGAATCGTTGTCTGATGCCATCGATGGCAATCCACAGCGAACGGCGCGTTGTGCAAGCTTCAGTAGGCCGCAGGTCAAGTATCAGCGCCACGGCTGCCGATCTTGCATGGTTCTTGCTGCCTGGCAACAGCATGGGCCAGGATAGGCTGGGATCTCTTGATGTCCGGGTGCCAGCCCTTGCTGCCTTTGCTTTTGTGTTGGCACGGGGGTCACAGGGCGGCACGGCGGCCCCACAGCAGCCCACGACCTGGGCGCAGAGGCGGGGTGCTCGCGATTTTGAAAGCCGGAGGGTCGCAGGGTTGGACACGATGCATGGATCAGGCAAATGGGCGACCTGCCCCCTTCGCGGATTGCATATAGTTCCACCCGCGTGAGTGGGTCAGTGTGTCGAAACAAGACGGGGTCTTCACGGAAGAGACAGAGCGACTGATTTCATGCCACGCCACGGCCTGGCGTTGGGCAAGGGTCGTCGTCAGGTGACCTCATTGCGCGACCGTCGCACTCACGACCTGGCCTGGCCTCTCTGACTGCCCACCAAGCAGCGGGTGGAGGCCAGCGTCACCCTGCGCCCCCCCCCCACGTGGGGCCCTACACCCCAACTGCACCCCAAGTCCCCAAACTACGTGTTCTCGAAGGCGGCCACAAAGTCCAGCGCTGGACCCCGTACGGGGTCAATTCCCGCCGCCTCCCATGTCCCGAGAGGCTCAATCATCCTCGCCCAATACTCGGCGCAGGTACATTGGCCGCCGTGGCCTGTTGGAACACACAAGGGGGGGGCCCACGTGCGCGCCTTGGAGGTTGGGCTCGACCGTGGGCTCCCACTATATTCAGCCCCGCCCCAGGACCATCCGTCAAGCTAACCGGTGGGCTTCCCTTCCCCCTCCCCCACAGCCCGCCTCGCTCGGCGCCACAGGGCCGGGGCCCCATCCCGGCCGAGAGGTCGACGCGCCGATCCCGGGTGGCATGGCCGGGGCCGGCGCGGCGCCGTCCGGCAGGATATACGACTGCCCGGCGGGCGGGCCCGACAGCGATGGCGGCGCGACGGTCGAGGCGCACTCCGTCTGCCAGAAGATCGCCAAGGGACAGGTGGGCGCCGTGACCCACGACCCCACGCGACCCTCCCCCGTTCCGATCCGGGGCCGAATCCTCCCCACTGCCCCAGCGACCGTGATCTGGAGGCCCAGCTGCGGCCAGGGTTTTCCCGGCCCCCTTTTCGTCCCCATTTTCGGAATCAATTCGCCAACATGAGCTCCGCGCATCTTCGCTTGCCGGCTGACGAATCCCCCCCCCTCCCCGGTTCGCGCAGGACGTTGTGCTCGCCCTCCCTCGGCGCAGGAGCGGCATGGAAGGGCCGGCGTGGTCCCTCTACTGCGTGTGCGACGGCCACTCGGGCACGGAGGCCGCCAACTACGTGAAGGACAACCTGTGGAGCGCGCTGGCGCCGCTGCTGCCGCGGAAGCGGCTGCCCGACTGCGACAGCGAGGGTGGGTGGGCGCACACCGGTGCAGCGCGCCGATGGACCCTTTGGCCCCACCCTGCGGAATGCGTGCGACCAGGGAGTGGCTCGCAGTGGTGATGTGTCCGCGCGGCCGAATTTGGTCCGCACAAGCGCACCGGGATTCGTATCACGGTGTCGCGGACGTCGTGCGTCATGTATGCCGCATGTCGGCGATCCCCATGATGCTGTTGACGGCTTCCAACAGGCCAAAATGTGGTCAGTGATGCGGCTCTCGTAGCGCCGGTTCGCGTGAGTTGACGGCTCGCGTGCGGCCGCCCACCGTTGCGCGTATTATGAGAACACAGTATGACGGTCTTTTTTGCTCGTCGCAGTACAGCGGCGACATTGAACCGTGTCCGAAACGCGCACAGAAGTCCAGTGTCCTGGCATCCCTCAGCTGCAACGTCGTCGTGGGCCCAATGGCCCACCCCCAAGACATATCAAATCTCCCACAATAGCAGCTTTGTATCTCAAGCGGGGCGCGATAGGGAAAACAACGAAGTGCATTGTACTCTGAACGCCTCCCCAAAGGCGCTCTCCGCACTTGCTACGGGGACTGGTCAGTTGTGGGCCATGAACCATCCTCGGATCACCTGACGCCTCCTGTGGCGCGCTGTGGTGCCCAGGTCAGGGCGCAGTGCCCATAATCACAGGCGAATTCTCCCGCCCTATATCCAGACGTGCCATAGCCGACCCGATCCTGTGTACGCACCTTTATTCTCTCCATACAGTGTGGGAGGCCTGGCATATGTCCTATGTGTCCCAAGTTCATGTCGGGTTGTTGGACTCCAACACAGTCAGTCTGGTGCCGAGAGAGAGGAATTATTCACTTGAATGCATGGATGCCAACAGTGTGTGATGAGTGTTTGGTTGGTGCTCCAGGCTTTTGCAATTTCGCGCTGCAAGTGAGGGTAGCTGTGGTGAAGGCTTTCCTGAAGATCAGTGAACGTTTTAGCGCCGCCTTTCCAGACACTACTTCAGGTGAGCAACAGGGAGAACAAAGGCCCGGGGCCTGCAAGGCAGTTCTCATGAAGAGTGGCAGACTAGTTGTTGGGGCAGCAACACACTCTTATGCACATGGTAGTCCTCTTGAACACGACCTTGGAGTGACAGTACCATCGGTCAAGCTACGCAAAGTCACAGTATCACTTTCAACTCGCACTGTGCACAGTGTAACCAATTTTTCATCGAATATCTGCCATTCCACAAAGGTATCTGGCGCTTACAAAGACAGAAACTGAATGAACTTGCATTGGGTCTGTCTATCTCGGAACACAGTTGCACTTGTTGCAAGGTTGTGCTGCGCAGCCTGCCCTTATACTTGAAATGATGGAGAGCAAAACAGTTCTTTGCTCAGATGAATACTGCTCCAGCCTCATGCGATTAACCCTAATACTGTATCTATGGCGTTCATGGCATTCTGCACCAACATCTGGGCTACACAAATACAAGGCCTACTTCTACTCGTGTGTTGAAACAACAAGAGATGCGGCACTCTAACCGGTGTCAAGTGAGCATTCAAAGGGCAGGTCCAATAGTACTGAGAGCATATCTGGTCCAAACAGAGCACTGCAAGGCAGCTCCAATGTCCACAAGCAAAACTGAGCTTTAAGAAGCTAGATCCATCCAGCAGCGTGTGCATGTTTCGTGTTTAATCTCTGAGTTGCTCATTGCTTGCCTGACAAAGACACGAGTCTGTGCCAGTTTCAAAACGTTCATCTGTAAAGCGCTGCAGTTTTGGAGCCATTGCTTCCCCAAAATACCGTGCACATGTGCTTTAATTTTAAGACCACGTGAGGTGAACTTAAGTCCACCTGCTTCGCCTCGTGCTCAAAGCTGCTGCTGCTTCCCAAAGACCCAGGGAAGCAGGCTTGCGTGGCATACCCAGTATAGAACAAGTGGCCATGCGCATCTGTTGTGATCAAGAACTCTTTCACCAGCGTAATTGATGAGAACCAGGCCCCTATTCCAGCTGCTGAGCTCCCTCTCAATTCCTGTCAGCGTCCCCTATGCTCCAGCAATGCGGATCCTTTGTAAGCACGTTGGCAAATGCCATGAAAGCACGCGTGCGCCATCAATTGCACTGTCGCTGCGCCACATCTGTGTTATCGCCGAACAGCGACCTTTACCTGCGCCGAGCTGCGCTTTTCTGCATCCCATTGTTAGTTCGTCAGACAGGCTTTTGAAACAGGCTCTCGTGGTCCGGTGACCGGAACCTCACTGACGGGCGCTTCATTGTGGAACACAGATACTCGCGTGCGTGTACGCGTGTGTGCGTGGCTATGTATCTGCAAGCACATATACGCAGCGCAAAGGCGTCTTGGGACGTCGCGGTCGGTCGCCGAGCAAGAGCGTGTCTTGGACGTCGCTGTCGCTGTGCCGGTTGTCAAAGGCGCTGAATATGCACAACTCGCGCAACGCCCCCGCGAGCGCCAGGGCGACCAGACGCCGCCGCAGTGGCCGTTGCAGCGCGCCCAACACTCGTCGAACACAGCGCCAGCCCCACAACACCGCTTCCGCGTGTGCCGACGGCTGCTGTTGCAACACCACTTCGGCGGATTTGCTGTTTGTTTGCCTGTTCCTTGAATGGGTGCATCGACGCAACATCACAGCGTCTATCAGTGTTGCGTTCGAGTCCAGAGCGCGAGGGGCCCACCAATGCCTCCGAGAACCGCTTCGGGGGGCACCGACGACCGCGCTGTTTGCGACCCCGCAGGGAGTACGGTCACGGCGGCCCTGTTGTGCGGCCGGCTGCTGACGGTGGCCAACGTGGGGGACTCCGAGGCGGTGCTGGACACCGGGGCGGAGCCCTTCCTGGCGACCGTGAACCACAGGATCGAGGACAACGAGTCGGAGCGAGAGCGCCTGCGCAGGGCGGGGATGGTGATCGCGCCGCTGGCGCCGTCCCTGACCAAGGCCGCCCGGCCGGGCACGCGGGGCGTGGGGCCGCTGCGGGCGTGGCCCGGCGGCGTGGCGGTGGCGAGGTCCGTGGGGGACACCGAGGCTGGGGAGCACGTCCTGGCTTGCCCCCACGTCTTCCAGGTGAGGACGCCGGACGCAGGCATGAAATTAGTCCCTTTGCCTTTCCCGTGAAAATCCCCCCTTGTTTCGACACCCTGAACCCCAAACCACTAACCCATGGTGGCCTTGTCACCGGAAGAGGAAGGGATCCTCACGGACAAGACAGAGACTAACGTATTCTCCCGCACGCACGTTTGGTGAAGAGCCGCCGCGGGAGACTGCATCGCTGTTGTTTGGATCATGAGCCTGGGCTGCATCGTTGTTGTGACCAGCTCCTTGCCGGCGTGCGGGGGCTGTGGGGAGCTGGGAAACGAGCGATGGGCGCGAATGCATGACACCGCCAGGAACGAAGTGGCGGGGTCTGAGCGCATATGAACATTCTTTGATTGCTGTGGGGGCCTCATGTTGCCTGTCCCGTCAATGTGCGCGCCCCCCAGGTGCATGGAACGGGCACACAACGCGAACTTGCAGCAAAGAAGCCGCAGACGTGTCCACAGCGTGAGCCACAACCAATCACTTGTGAAACAGACCGGCACCAATCCGCACATCTCACATTTTTCCACCGAAAGCTGGTGGCTGTTGTTCTGTGCCGTTGCGATTGCATTTGTTGTATATGTAGACACTTGGAATCCCTCGCATTTCCTGTGTGTTGGTTGGTCGTGGTCAACCCGTGAATGTCAAGTTGCTGATGCAACTAGTTTCCTTTTTTTAGGCTTGCCTTTGAAAGTCAAAGCGGGGCCCTAAATTGTCTTTACAGCAGAAAGGGAACAGGCATACAAAAAGCATCCACCCCAAAAAATGACAACTTTTGCAACACTTTTGCTTGCTGCAGAAGTTTTTCCACCAGTCTCTATGGGCGACAAGAGAGCACACTACACAGAGTACTGCATGCATGTATCATGTATTGAGAACCGCTTGCAGCTGACCTCCTGCTTTTTCGAGTGCCGCCTTTTGTGAATAGAAACGAAGCGTGTTGTTGAATGGCCATCTCCAAATGAGCGAAATTTCCAGCGGTGGCCAAGACAACAGCTTCTGCTGGGAAGCGGTCTTTTGCGATGTCCTACTTGGCATGTAACATGTGAGAGAGAGAAGCAGTTTTCATGGCGATGTCTCAGTCAATCCCTAATTATCACAAAATATGTCCAGCACCGGGAGCGGAAACAATGTGCCGCGATCGGAGGAAAATAGTGTCAGTTCGTCGTTGAGTGAATTCCCGCTGTTTTACCACACTGTGGCACTACAATAGCAACTTGTCTGCTTTGCAGATAGCTTTGCCCAGGAGTGGGGCACGGCTGGTTATGGGCTCCAGCGGCCTCTGGGACCTGATAAACTGGGAGGAGGCGGCGCTGGTGTCCCGTCGCGTCTCCAACAAAGATGCTGCGGCAAGGATCGTCACCTTGGCGATGATCCAGAACAATTGGACCATTCGCCTGGACACCAGCGTCCTGGTGGTCGACGTGCTCCCCCCAAACGAGGGGGACTTCCCCAAGCTCGTCAAGCAAAAGCTGAAAAGGAGGCGTGCCAGGGAGCACAGGGGCGCGCGTTTGTTGCGCTTGTTCAGGAGGACAAGCCTGGGGTCGCGTTCTTCCAGGGCGGACCTGCACTGTGACGACCCTCAGATCGTCGCCAACATCGACGGTTGGATGTTGCTGAAGGCAGCATTGGAGGCGACACTGAACGACAGCTGCTCAAGCCTTATGGAGCTGACATGTTTCCTCTTGGCTGATGAGTGTGGCAATGCTGTGGACTGTGAGGAGACGCAGCTTGAACCTTGGGATGCCAGCCGGGACACATGTTCAGGGAGGAGGGGGAATGCGGGCAAGGGCAGGGGAGTGCAAATGCCACGTTTCTCTGAAGACTCTAGGCGTCCACCTACCAGTGCCACCTCTTCCGAAGACAGGCCATCCTCTCGCGCCACCTTCGACAGTGCAAGGAGTGGGCCTTGCATCCTTGAATACAGGCAGACAGCTGAGCCAGGCTCCCCTGCGGGCAGCTGCAGCAGCCGACAGAGCTTTGGGGAGGGCAGCATGAAGGGGATTGGTCAGACACCTGACACAGAGTCTCGTCACAGCTTTTCTTCCGGCTGTCCTCTGGGGAATCGTGGCCCAGACTATTCTACAGAGTTGGCGTGTCGGGCCATTGCTTGCGATGAGGGCATCGATGGTGATGGACTCACACAGTTGCCCTCCTTCAGGCATGGATCTCGCTGCCCCTTGCAGCTGACGACCGGCATGGAAGTGCCTACACGGAAGGGACAGTCTTTGGTTCGGAAGGTGCCCTTCACTATGCATCCTGCCCAGGATCACATCACATACAGCTGGACCAGCGCAAAGCACACCATTGATGAGACCACTGTTGGGGACCCGCCCCTGTGTCCTTGGCAGCTAGGGCAGGTGGCAGAGACACACCCAGGAAGTGGTGGACATGCTGCAAGGCTGGTGCCGCCACAGGTTATGAGCCCTGCTGGTGAGTCCTTGGTGGAAAAATCTCCACAAGAGATTTACCCTGCCCAGACAGACTTACTGGGGGGCACACAGGCGCAAGCAGCTCCAAGGGTGCCTTTCACTATGATTCCTGCGCGTGATCTGGAGAAAACAAAGTCAAAGGTTGACGGCATGCTTGGTGAGGACTCCTGGGAGTTCTATCCGAAAGCTCAGTCACTAGAAATGATGACGCCAAGGCCAATTGGCAGCCTGGATGGGAAGTTCATGTGGTCGGACATGAGGACATTGATCAGCAGGGCTCCTTGGTCTTGATAAACAACAAACCGAACCCTGCTTGTGTTGACATTTCCGAAGTTTGGCGCAGTGCCATTGTCTGGAGGCAAATGGTTGGGATGATGACACTGTGCTGGGTGCCAACTCAGTACGCATGTAGGATGATGGCAGCACATCAAATCTAGAGGCCAGTTGCAGGAAGTTGCATTGAGTGCTTCTGGCTGTTCCAAACGACGGGGAAATTGATGTGGAACGATGGGTAATTGTGCCATTGCGGAATTATCCAAGAGGGGAACTGAACGGCATTGGATTGCAATGCTGGTATAATTGGGTACCTGACGGCTGTGAACAGCGACGTGCCAAAACATTGCGGCACGAGTGTATGTCTAGAACGACTGCTGTCGCTTGTTGTGTACAAAATTCAACCTAGAATATAGTGTATCGCCGGGCCGGATGCGAAGGCGTAGTGGGATGTGTACAATTTCTTCGTCCGGGACGGTGATCAGCACTGTGCTTCTGCTGGCGCCCGTGGGGTTAGAGGCTGATGCATAATACGCGTTTATGTGGTTAGGCGTGTGTCCTTTCCAACGTTGATTCTGTAGGAAGGCGCACCATTCATAGCATTTTTTCGATCCGTCCACATCTGAGGAAAGATGGTGGACTTGCGGCTTGGGGGCGTGCTTTATGGCCTGCCTGCGATGCCTGAGTTGGAAAGTTGTGGGTTTCTTTGGGGCATTTGTGACTTCATTGCTTCGGAATTCCTTTCCCCTCCTTCCTTTGCCGTCTGTTTAGCATTCTTCACTACACACTATGTGTCTGCTCGACTAACGCAGGAGAGCCAGCGGCTTGGAGTCTTGGCGGCACGTATTGCCCTGTCTTGCATGCGGGCGTGTGGGGTGTAGCATGGTGGTGCTGAGAAAGTCCCTTGGGTGCATCATGCCGTCGATGTCCTAGTTGGCCAATAGGTCCATTCTCAGACGGGTTCCCTCGACGAAACAGTGTGTGCATTGGCTCCGATCGACTCGTGTAGGTCTAGAATCGGCCGCGCCTTGACGAGTTGCAAACTATGATTTAATTGGATGTGGCTCGTCCTGCCATAGTAAGACGAGCGACGGACCGCCCTAAATTTCTGATGTGAAATTCTCTTGTCCTAGGAAAGTTGAACACGCCGAAGTCGAGGGGGTGTTTGACTCGCGGATGGCTGCCCCTGCTGTAGATTGCAAGGACGCTTGCGAGCATATAAACGCAAGAAGCTGAACTTAGATTTGAATCCTCAGGAACTGCCTACTTGGTGCTTTCTTCTGACCAGGTCTGCCAATCCAATTGTGGTTGGATGTGCGAGGCGAGCGCACCTTGCATGCCGGTCGTGGCTTCCATGTAAAGTGGCGGTGGGTTCGAATATGGCTGTGCCAAAGGCGGCGCTTTTGGCGTGCTGCGTTGGCTACTTGCGATGCAGCAGGCACGAGGATGACGATCTCCATCTGTGGTCCCCACTGCGCGAGTCTGTTTTGACCTGGTACATGGCGCCCCAATCTCATTGCTCATCTCTTTCCCCAGGCGCCTGCCAGGCGGATGTGGTGCCAGCTATCCTTAGTGGGTTATGGCGATTGTTACGGCAATGATTCAAGGTATTCTCAGACGGCTGCCCTGGTGGGAGGCGGGGCCAGCCAACGGGTGTCCTGTCCCCGCAAGGGGCCCGAGTCCCTCCGCCGCAATTGTCTCCAGCAATTTACCCTGGATGACTCTCAGAGGGCCTGAGCATGGTGAGCAGTGACCAACCACACTGCTTCCCACACAGAGAGTTCAGGAACCACAGTATCTCCCGAAGACCGAACAGCTGCCATGCATGTCCGTGCACATCTTGTGTCCACGATTCCATGCAATGCTCAAACGCCGCAAAAGTATCAAAGCGCAGGAAGCATTGATGGACCCACAACATACTGCGCCATTAGCATCGAAACTCGTGTGCCAATGCATTATCAGCAAAATTTGTAATACATCCACAGACAATCAAAATACCCACCACACAGCACATTTCCAATGCAAACTACACAACTACTCAACACATGTTCATAACTCCTCCAGGGGAAGAATGTCTTGTTCGCCATACAAGTAGTGGCTAAGAGTGTCCCGCAAGAGTCACTTTCGAGCACAAAACCAGAAGGCTTTCCATTCGTGTTGCATGAAACAAAGAGTGCATGGGAAAAGCGAGTCAGCTTGGGCTGTCCAATGCAGGCTGGAGCAGGATCCAAGCACAGCATGTAAAGGCATCTTTGACCACAAATTCGCCAATGCCTTGGAGGCAAATGGCACACCGTAGGCGCGATCGAAGCAAGGCTTGTCTGCCCTTGATGGCTCCGAGCGCCAAAGAACGGCTGTGAGATGAGAAGGGGTCTCGGGACCGCTCGAGATCCCAGTTGATTGAGCCCAACCAATTGGAGATGGTGGGGCAACTTGAAATGCTCAGGGCTCAATGATGTGCGCAAGTTGTATGGTGCGGCTGGCGCGTCAGGCAGCAATTTCGACGTTGGGTCACTACACAAGGAATGCATTTGCATTGGGACGCTGTAATGAAGTTTTTCCAGGCAGGCTTGTCTGAGGATGTTTGCCAGTAAAGTATATACCACGGTTCGGTGACCGTACATTGAGGTGACATTGCCCTGGATGTGTGTATTGTAAGTTTGCGAAGCGCAGTTTTGAGGGGACTTCGTCCTGCGCTCCAAGGTCCAAAGAGGGGCAGTTGCAATGAAAATATCATAGATTTGTCCCTTGCTAAACTTGCCGTTGGTCACTGGGCCTCGTCGGCTGAAAAGACGGGCCCAGGACTGACATATGGCAAATGACTGGGCCACCACAGATAGCCAGTCAGAAAGAACTGAAAAATGCTCGCTATGCATGCCATGCATAGCGAGCATTTTTCAGTGTGGAAGACTTTGTTGACTTGTGGCCATTGGCCAAGAAGCGATAAAGGCATGCCGAGAAGATTGTGTTGAAATGCTTGATAAATAAAAAGGCCAATCAGACCGTTCGTGATCATGGCCAGCATAGCATCAATCCATGGAAAAGAAAACAGACGGGAACCGCGTTGGGTTGTTGTCGGAATTCCCAAAGGACTGGCCCGAGCCTCAAGCGAGCGAGCGCAAAAGGTTTTGTTATAGCATGGCAGACATGCATCGCATTAACTGCGCTCAATACTCCAAAACATTGGGGAGATGCTGCCGATTTCTGTAAAAGAGCGAATCAGTCCTCATAGATAGTGTCCAGCGTCAGCATGGTGAACGCGTCAGATACCAGCTGCATGAAAAGACCCCAACCCTTGGGGAAACGCCGCCCAGGTTTCTTCGAAGAACAGCATGAATGCTCAAGAGAGCAACAATCAGTTTGTGGCCCAGGTTCAAGAAAAAACTGCAAGAAAATGCGAGGAAGGTGCTGCCAGTGTTTGGGCACAGCTCAACATACGAATCTGAAATTCGAAACCGTAGAGAAGATGACGATTATCCTTATACACCTATTTGCCATTAGAGAGCAAGGAAATGCGAGAAGATGCTGCCACATTCTTGGCAGGATACAGCAAGTGCAGCTACAGCATGGAATAGATAACAATGGCAAGAAAATATTAGTAATTTTAGTGTGAACCGTCAAAGTAGCCAGAGCAGAGCTGGAAGCTGCCATGGCACCTGGACACAGGTCATGCGCTCACGACCGTTAGAGGGCGACATAACCTGTAATGGCCTTATGGTCCACATGATAACAGGTCCTAAGACGACTGCAGCAAAAGCTGACGGATAGAGAGGTGAAAACACCAGAATATGGGAAAGATACTGTAGAATTATTCCAAGGCTACAGAATTAGGTGTTGGAAGAAAGATGGAAACCATGACTTTCTAGGGAAAGTGCCGCCCAATTCATGACAGCGATATGCCCTCAAAAAGTAGCTGAGCACAATGTACTACATGGCAGGAACATCAGTCATGGAAAGCAGCTCAAAATGGAGAGAAAGGCTGGCAGGATGCTGCCTGTTTCTCCATGAAATCAATAGCCTTGAAAATGGCTGATTATTGCATCAATATATAGCAATTTTCTGCCTAAAAAAGAGCGTTCTGGACTCCATGAATATAGGATATTGCATGCTGGGCATTTCGTGATAAATAGCAATCGTCGTTGATGGGTGGTTGACGTGCCGCTAACATCGCTGTCATGGGCTAGGGGTGTGCCACCAGCACCGCTCATTTAGGAATGGCTGGGGGGGATTTGGTGTAGGTATGTGCACATGAAAGGCCAGTATGGCGTACAAGTGCATTGTGACAAAACATCCCAAATGCAAGCAAAGAGCAATGGCATGCAAGCTGAAGCATGCCGTACACAACACACTGCCCTGGCTGTGTGTCACGTCTGTCATTGACCTGAAAAGTGGCCATGTCGTACGAAGCGCTTTGAGCGGGCACCTGGAGCCCGACCTCTCGCTGCGAGTATGCCCGATGCCCAGAGAGTCGCGTGACCCACCATGGGAACATCCGACTGGGCAAAATTATGTCCCTGGGCAGCGCCTCACTCCGCGGCCGGTTCGAAGGGGAGCCATGGACCAGGGCCAGGCTTACGTACCGCTGGACCTGGTCGTGACCAAGGACGGGCCCTCAGCGACCATGCCGATGTCGTGGTCGCCGCGGCGCGGTAGTACGACGGGCGCGGACGCGGAGCGCCTTGACAGAGCGCGCGACGCGGCGGGCCTTGACGCGGATGACGACACGGAGTACCTCAGCATAGACGGGGGAAGTGACACACGGCATGACCAAACGCAGTGGACGGTGAATGGACGTTCGTACTGAAGCCGGAAGGGTCTGGAATTTGAATGCAAGCCGCAGGACCGTCCTAAAATAAGGCGCCAGTCGTAAGGGCTGACTAAAAATCGTTAGTAGTTCGTTCACCATGCTTAGCAAGAAGTGCTGCGGGTGTTGCCTGCGTAAATATAGCTGGTTCGTGGGGGTTGGGATCAGCAGGATGATATGAACATGTCACGACACAAAATGTGACTGTGTTATAATACTTAATTTAGGTATCAGTGGAATCTGAAGGGAAAATACCCTGATGTGGAGGAATCTAGGCATGTAGGGTGAGGCCGTGCCATTATGATGAGCCGGTTGACCTTAGGACGTGATATATAGTGATTTCATTGATCAATTGGATCTGTGCGGCAAAAAGGTACTGACTCAATTGGGAGTGTGACAGTGAAGAATTCCGGTTGAGAACTGGAAGATGCAAAGTATATTCGTAGAATATTCTACATTAATGTTCGGAATAGGGGGCAGAGCCCCGCGGAAAAGAAATATGGGATCGGCGCCCCTTTTTATGGCCAGCATAGGCGACCGAACGGTGGTACCAAGGAACCAACCAAACAAAATTTGTATAAATCGTTGGTTTGGGTCGAAGACCATATACAAGATGCACCCCGTGGAAGGTTGCCATGTGACTTAAAGTATGTGTGTGCGCGTTTGAGAGTCATACTACCCCATTACGTTAGTGCAAAAATACTGAAAGCTTGTCCAATTGGGAATGTCTGCCGGGCCCCAAGCGCCCCCAAGTTCCATTATTAATAATGTGTCCTATTGAGGAAGCCTGCGGGGGCACAAACGCACTCTAGTACCAACACATAATGTAATAGACTGAAAAATTCTACGTGGCTCTAACAAAGCACCACCATAATCATCCGTATTGTTGTATTGTTAGTGACTAATTTACATAAGCACAAAACACACCAGAGTTGTGCCATTCTCAGCAGCTGGTGTTGTTATGTAGAGTAACATATTTGTGTGGACATTGTAAGGATCTAGAGTGCTGCCCTCTCAGACGACTACGTTTATACCAAGAAAAGGTACTTTGGTGAAAATTAGTGACACACAGACATTCGAAACAGCATGTTGAGCCATTGTTGCGTTTGGTGGAGCGGTTGCCGTTGGGCTGGTGATACAATCGATGTTGAATCCTGCATTGCGAGATAGTCAGAATGGCTAGGAGAAAGTACATAAGTAAGCGCGCACCAAAAAACGTGACGCATCATTCCAGAATATTACTGTGAAGTGTAGCTGTGCCCCTGAAGGGCTGTTCCGCTGGCAGTTGTGAGTTGATCATTGAATGCATTCCTCAAGACCGAACGCAGCCATGGTAGTCGTTACGCAGCCAGGTTGCTTGAGTTCAAACAAGCATCACAAATATTGACACAGTTTGAAACAATGTTTGAGATGTTTGTTTGACCCCATACAACCTGGCTGCATGACGAATACTATGGCTGCTTTCGGTTTTTGATAATCACAGTGTGACTTTGTATCTTGCGAAGCCGCATTAATATTCAGTTCAATCTCCTCATGTCACCCGTCCGAAAATAAAAGGAATCGTCATCCCCGGCGCATGAACGAGGATGAGGAAATTCTAAAGAACTGAACAAGGAAACTAAGGCCCAAACTCCTGTTGCAAGGTTGTGTCATCAGTGTGTCCTCCTGCACCGTCCAAAGGGGACCTATCCGCAAGCACAATGGGACGTCAGAGACTATCCCTGACAAAGGACCAGGCTCACCAACTAAGGAAAAGTTGAAAAGAACTTGCCGACAACACTATCAAGGATGAAAGCACCCTGCAGTACATCAGATGTTTGGCGATCAATTTGGATGTCACCATATATACTGATGACATCCTAGTATCTTTAGCTAGTGCCAGCGGTACTGCAAGCTGGACACAAGATTGGCTGGGAGCTTTTGCGAACATGAACCGCCTTACTTCACTTCAAGCGGCCATTGGTGTGGCCTTTGTGTCACTCATCTGTTGAACGTCATCCTGCTAATTCCTCGTTACTCGATCTGGTGTGCATGATGGATCAGAAAGGTTGTGTTCGATTCCTGGAATCCATGGCTGGCGGACCACCAGCCATCATGGCTGGAAGAATAACTGTATAAGAATAACTACTGGACCCTCTAGTAGTACACAGCAACTGTAGATGGCCACATATCCATGGTCGCAACATCCCACCCCCCGTCGATGGCGCAGCGACCACTCCATATGTCGATGGTCGCCATGAGAACCACGCACAACCCTCTCCCACGCTCATGGGCAGCTGATCCACGTCGACAGCCTCAGATCCACGTTTGAGACTGCGCTGAACGACCAAGAAGATTCCCCCCTGCGCGGACTGGCTCCTCACGAAATGCCGCTTGCCACACTGACGATCGTCAAAAAAATGGCAATGGCAGCAGATGGACGGCCCGAACGGGCAGCAGATGCCCAACCGCCGGCCAACGCATGCAAATGTCTTCGTAGGAGGGCTAGAAGCCGCCGTCTGGAGCACCACAATCAATCGCAGCAGCTCCTCAAGAGTCGGTGAAGTCAAAAACGTCGGTTAGGTCCACGGGTCAGGTCAGTGCCGTCCACAATGCGGCAGCGCACGCCGCCGCAGGCTTCCTCCCGCCTTGCCACGGCTGTGCAGCGATGATGGTTGGCCGATTTTGGCCGGCAGCAAGGCCGTTCTCGAGGTATTGGTCGTGAACGGCAAGAAAGCGGCTCAAGAATGGCCCAGAGTGGCCGCGACCTTCGAAAAGGTCGAGCGCGATTACGCTCAGGCCAAGGCGCACGTGGCGCGCACGGGCAGGGGACAGACAGCCAGGCCGCATGCCTAGACCGCCGCTTGAGGCACAGAGAAAATACACGCAGTCACTGTTACAACTGCCATGCTGAACTCAACAATGCATCGCCCCTCCGGCGTTGCTCAAGCTCTCTGTACTTATATCCCCCAAAGGCGTCCGACACTTCACATTATATCCCCTTTCTGTGAAGGAATCTTTGGATTCCCTGGAATCTTTCTATCACTCCATCGTGTCGCCGCAATTCGGTACGGTACACCCCACTTCCCGCGGTCAGCAGCCACAGAATGCCCCGTGGGTCATATTCCCATCACACAGCCACGTGGCACCTCCACACGCCCGCCTTGGCGCCATCTCATCGTGCTCTGCGTGCAGACCGCGACGGGGGCAGCCCCCCTCCATCACAGACGGGGGGCCCATTCATGAAGTGCACTAGTCGGCCAAATTGTGGCCAAACAACTTTATTTAATGCACTTTCCTGAAAAACGCCTCTTGAAAACTTCTAAATGACATAGCCATGTTGCAGAATTGTCTTACAACTGATTGATACTTTCAAATCCAAATTCAGATCAGCCCTCACCGCTCTAATTTACTGAATGTTTGCACCTCTGCCTGATGATTTTTGGCTCGTCCCACCTTACTATGCACCAATCTGTTGAGTCATGGTCATATTAGTGAAGGTGCTGAGGCTGTCAACACTCGCTCTCCCCACTTCTGGACCTCGCGGGTCGCGCACTGAGTAGTATCATAATGATACTATCATTAAGATATTTTTTTTTTCTGATGAGCCCCATCATTGGCGACCCGAAGAATTATATCATTTGTTAGGAGGTTGATTGTGTCGCTAATGCGTGGTGATTCCATCCAGCTCGCTGCCTTGGCCCGGGAGATGGCTGGCCTGAAAAGCAAGCTCTTGTTTCCTTCGGAACTGTGAGCATATTCGACGTACACAAAACAGGGGTGAGCGGAATCACCAGTAGAAAACAGCCTGTTTGCGATGCCAACTGCGATGCCATTTTGACACAAATTGATGCCGTCACACCCCTTTTATGCCATCGCACTCACTGTGACGGCATCAATTTGTGTCAAAATGGCATCGCAGCTGGCGTCGCAAACATGGCGTTTTCTACCAGTGAACGCAGCAGTTGCCGCTGCACAACCTGCAACAGGGGTGACTGCTGGCCTGCCTGCGGTCCCATTCACTTTCAGCTTGTGTGCACATTTGTAGCAGGACTTTGGGTGGGTTGCATCATATCGTTAGGATCCCTTTGCCTGGGGATCTTGGTTGAGCATTTCTCTTAATTTGCACATAAGTGGCCGTGACTCATCAGCCATAGTTGGCAGCCACACGTAATGGCCATTCAACACCCCAAAAAGTACAGTTTTTGGTATGGCCATCCTTGCCCCTCCTGTCTTGTGAGCACTTCTGGATCAAGCAATTCTGGTCCCCGATTTCTAGACCTTGTTTTTGGGCGTGTGCTTGGGTGACAGACACAATCGTTTGGTCGACCGCTGCCACCTTGTTCAGTGCTAGCCCTTCGTTCGATACGAATTGGATCGTTTTCAGAACAGCTCCATATGTATGGAATATTTTCAAACTTCGATTTCGGTTGAAGCTGTTCTCCCTGGATCTCTTGTTGCCCTCAGGCGATACCTCGCTCCTTGTTACGAGTTGACGAAGGCTTGGTTCCGTTCACAAGTGGAAATAAATCATGCAACCTATCCAAAAATAGAAACTGCTGTGGTTGTCGTTAATTGCGCTGGATTGAGCAGACGGGTGGAGATGGCTGGCGCACACGAACATGCCCCGAACCAGGAGGGTACTGTTCCAGACGTTCCAAACCGCGTCCGCCACACTTCCGGCATGCCAGTGGCGGCCCGACCGAGGATGCAGACCCGTGCTACGACTGTACCGGACCCCAACCTACATCGGCCACCCACCACACATGCACACCTGATCGTATGCCTCAAAACGAGCCATGCCTTCTGTTGGTGCCCCTGTGCGGGGGTGGTTGCCTCTTGCGGGACCCCTGCCCGGTGCCCCACGGCGCGGGTCCGAGAAGCGCGGGGCCCGCCGCGCAGTCCCGGCCGGCTCCTGGTCCCGGTAGCCCGAGGCGCAGACGGGCGATTCGGTGGTCGAGGGGGTACCCAGCCAGGTGGCGGCGTCCCCTGGTGGGTTACGTGCAAGGGCCCTTTCCATCTGCTCGCCCGGTGCAGGGGAGGCAATGGGCGAAAGCTGGCAGGATGAGCACAACCGGCATGGATCGGAGTGCGTTTCGGCGCTGTTTGGAGCTGAGAGGGCGTCACTGATGTTGAGGATGCGGACGGCTTACTCCACATGCCAGAGGCGGGTGAAGGGCGAGGTGAGGCGCCGGCGGCCCGTCGGCGGCGCCTACCCGGGTCTTCGGTGGTGGCCCGCGGTGCGGTGGCGCGCGCGGGGCCTGGGGTGGATGGTCGCAGGCCCCTTCGTCGCGGCGAGTCTGCAACCGAAAAGCCGCCAGGGGGGGGTCCCAGGCGGGGCCCTCAGCCGTCGCGCAGACGCGAGGATCGCACCGGCGGCATGTCGCCCCGGGGGGCGGACCGGCGTGGGAATTGGGGCGGCGCCGTTGGCCTGCGCGCTGACGATCAACGCCATGCCGTCGACGGTGCCCCGCTTCTCGCCGTCCGGGGCTGCTGTGTGTGAAGCGGCACCCTCCCAACGGAGTCGTAATTTTCCCCAGAGCAACTCGATCTTATTCCAGCCCCTCACCCCCCGCTTGCCGATGCGGCAGGAGCGGGTCGTGGCGTAGGTTTCGCTGACCCCTTCGGCTGCTCCCCGCTCGCAGGACGTCGCGCTGGCGCGAGAGGGGTTGACGAAAGAGGCCGGCGGTCCGACGTGGTCGCTGTATGGCATATGCGACGGCCACGGCGGCGCCGTGGCCGCGAACTACGTCACGGGCAACATGTGGAGGGCCCTGCGGCCTCGGCTGCCTGCCGCGCCCCCCAATCACGCCAGTGCCGAAGGTACCGTGGCAGCGGCTTCGACGACATATGTGCGACCCACATTCGCGAGAGCGAGGACCAGTTGTGACATTTGACTTGTGACCCTTGACTTTGACGTCTGCCGATGACAAGCGGATGGCCGCGGTGCTGATCGCGATGATGCTGGGGATAAGGGTGGGGCTAAGCCGCGGCCCGCGCTCGCCCCCCAGACGGGCGAACGCCGCGACGATTCTTCAGAATCTCGAACGCGGGCGGTCCGGCGTCCTTGCGTTAACTTTGGCCAGAGCTCGGGGGCGTAAATGCGGTGCCTGCGTTGTTCTAGACGCCTGGCGCGGAGCGGCGCGCCGGTGGTCACCATGGGCGTTCCAACACGAGGGCGCCCAGGGGAGGCTGGAGCGCAGGCGCTGGCATCCAGCCAAGCGGCGGGCCGCGCAGCGGCCGCCTCCCGTGGGGTTCTGCGCTGTGCAAGCAAAACTGGGGCCAGCCAACCGACGCTTGCTCACCCAGGAAGCGGATCTGCTCGCCAGCGGTGTGTGTGTTTGTTCGCGACTGCAGCTGGAGGCGACGGCTGGCCCGACGACTTTCGCGCCACCAAAATGCGCTTCGCTCTCCAGTTGCGCTCAAGGCCACTGACTAGTCATATGCAGCGTGGATAGGAGTCTCGGAAGGGCGACTGCGCGGAATGGGGCGGGGCAACAGTGTGGCACGGGCCCTTTTCGTTGACGTTGGGACCTTTGCTGCTGCTGCTGCAGATTTCGACGCCTTTGGGCGCCAGGTGAGGGCGGCCGTGGTGGCGGCGTTCACAAGCATTGGAGCCCAGTTCGAGCGTGACGTCGCAGCCGACACATCTGGTGAGTCGCCGCGCGAGGTGGCCTGTCGGTCAGTTGACACGTTTGCAACGGCTTCCGTGACGGCGCCGCAACTGTGCTGATCCTTTGGCCTTGTTTCGTGTCTTTTGTTTTTTGTCCTTTGTTCTGTCCCTTTGTGGAACCGGGGCGCGCCCGGTGCCTTGGTGCCTGATCGTACGACGCGATGTGCTGAGCCGGAAGGACTGGTCGAGGGACGGGGAGGAAGACCGGAAGAAAGGGTGGAAACAAAGACCAGGAGAAGGACTGTTATGATAAAGTCCAGAAAACAGACTGTGAAGGGCTGTGAAGAAAGTCCCACCGGGCGCTGATTCTTTGCTTCGGGCCTTGTGTCGCAGGGACGTCCGTGACGCTGGCCGTCCTGTGCGGAAGGCTGCTGACCGTGGCGAACTTGGGCGACAGCGACGCCGTGCTTGACACCGGCTCCGACGCGATCTTGGCCACCGTCGGGCGAAGGTCCGAGGACGTGGTGGACGAGCCAAGCGGGGCGGTCGACCTTGCGAAGGCAACCGGGTTGGCTGAGCAGTCCGATGTTGGGCAGCGGGGTCTGAAGGGGCAGCTTAGGAGCCGGGGGCCATTCAGGTCCATCGGAGACTTGTACGCCAGCAAACCTGTCTGCCACAGCCCCCACGTCTTCCAGGTGCGGCGAACGTGTTATCACAGAGTTCCATGTGGCTGGGGCCCAATGTATGTGGCTGTGCGGGTAGTCCAAGGGCCTGGCATGCCGTTCGCATGGTTCCATGCTGCAGGCTCCAAAGCTGTGTAACGTCTTTCCACACTGTGCATGCAATCCAACGACACGGTGCTGGGAGGGCTGTAGTGTAATGAAATGCTGGATAGTGTGCACTGCTTGCAGGGTTGGACGTCTCTGTTTTGAAGGTGTTTACCTGCTGTATGACAACTTTCCTTGATGTTAGGAAAGGGCGACATCTGGCTTATTGCACTTCTGTCAGTTGTTGCACGCCCTGTATTGCAATGCAGTCAGGCCATTGTTAGCAACGAAGCTTTGTTGAGTTTGTGACAGGGCTACTTAGCAATCCGAATAGCATTCATTCTTGGAAGCCAACTGCTCAGGTTTACAGAAGTGGGGGCCATTTGTACATTGTTGTCGTTGTTGCTTCCAGTCAAATTGTAAATGACATCAGCACTGGGAAGTGTTGTTTATTTTTCCCTTCGTGAAGCTGCTTGAAAGATGTCCAAACGTTCAATCTCCTGGCCAGAATAGGCCATGGCGTTGTCAACCCATCCACAAGAAAGAATGAAAGAAGAAAGTAGATGCCACTTTCGGAGAGTAGATATTGTCACAAAGACCATGCCAAGGTTGTAGCATCTTCGTCCAAGAAGCAATTGTGGCAACCAAGGAGATGGTACTGAGTGAGAGATCATATATTTGGCCACTAATCCCCACAGTTGTTAAGGCTGCAAGGATGGGGATGTGATTCAATATTTTGATCAAAGCAGAGTGTGGGGTTGTGGGCGATTGGGTGGGGTAAGGGGTGCAGAGCCGTGTGCCGGTCATTTCTGACAAGGTGGCACTGATGTTGACTAACTTTTGGCGTTGTTGGTCAGGCATGGGTGCCCATGAACGGCGTGCGGATGACGATAGGATCTGCTGGCCTGTGGGATTTGACTCACTGGAAGCAGGCTGCAAGGACGACGAGCCGGACACCCATCACCACCTGTGCAGCCAAAGTGGTTGCTGATGCTGAAACGCAACATCGAAGGCCAATCGCCAATGACGTTACTGCCCTCGTTGTGGACATGCTGCCTGAGCAGACCAGTAGCTACACCATGAAAAGGAATGGCAGCAAATTCGGGTTGCATCTCAATCACTGGATAGCATGCCTCATCCACAGCTGCCTGACAAGGCCGGAGGGAGTCGGAGGTGTCCTGGCAGACAGGAGACTCAGAGTCATTGCGAGGGTAGACGGCCGAGACATTGTGCAGGAATCCCAGGGTGCCTGCATGGAGTCAGCAGTGGGTCAGGAATTCGCGCTCCGTACGCCTACAATATCACCACCAAGGGACCTTGCCTTCATGCTGGCACATGAGATCTCACTCTGTAGGCCACTTAGACCTTTCCGCACATCGATGCAGGAGGATATGCTGAGCGTGCGGTCATCATTTGAGGTGACAGACAGACCTGTTGCAGCACCATGTGGGCCACATGAACATAGGAGGTGGTCGAACGATATGCCAAGGAAGTCTCAGTATGCACCAAGAGGGTCAGAGTATTTGCCAAGTTGGTCTGGAAGTCGTCCTGGTGAACTCTCTGCAAATTCTATGAGAGGGGGTGCAGCACATGCGCATGCTGCATCGTGCGACGACCCCTGTTTACAGAGCCTTGGCTGTTCTCGACCTCGGTGGTCGAGCGATCAGGACAGTTGGTCTTGCGGAGCAGACATGGCTGCTGTGTCTTGTCAGATACACACTGATAGGGAAATGCTGTGCAAGGCTGCAGCCGCTTACAACTCTTCTGCCTTGTCCATCAGGACGACACTTGCTCAGGGGCAAACTTACGGATGTGGCGTGTATGAAGATGCACGAGGTGGATATATGGACGAGACAGATGTATCAAGGCGGAGATCTGTTCACAAGAGGCGATTGCCATCCGACCAGGGCATTCCCAGCCTGAAAGAGCTATTGACTGACTCTACGATTCTGCCCAGGACCGTGCCTGACCAACCAAGAGCGCCTTTCAGGGCAAGTCTTGACGACAGGCTAGAGACGCTGAGGGAACAATGGTGGCGGGGTGAACTACTCGGCAGCCGCAACCTGACGTCCAAAGCCTTATTGCCTTTGGCCTCTTCCCGCAATTCATGGGCAGCCTGCACAGCCACAATGGGGCCCCATCCTGATCGCGAGCTGCTGGAGAATATGTATGGAAGCAGGTCAGATGATGAGGCTTCCTTTTCAGGTTGGACTCCTGCAGACCCAGAAAATTTCCACAGTGAAGGGGAAGCAGACAGCACTGCACTTCCACGTGTGGAAAGTCTGGCTTCAGGTGGAAGAGATGTGGGGTGTCAATGACCATGCCACAACGTTGCATAGGGATGAAACAGGAGTGGGCTTGTGCAGGGCCCCCAATATGGCCTTCTCTCTGGTGTTCCACCGTCCTGTGGATCAGCTGGAGTTTTGGCATTCGAATAAGTGAAGCAAGGTTTGGAAGGCGCTGCTTGTGTTTGGTTGTTGGTATTGTAGCTATTGGTGATGGTGCTGCTTGTTATTCAGTATTTCGGGGCTCGTCTGGTTGCACCTCTGCTGTAATTGTTTGTAGACATCAAGCATGGGTTGGCACACCCCTGCTGGTTGAGGTCTTAGTAAATTAGAACGCGTGGTCTTGACTGTGGCTATTTTCTGTGGAGAGCGCTGGGTTGTCGTTAGGGCTGTGCAGGTCGCAGCTGCGTCTGTGGCTATAGCTGATAGTGTCCATGGATGCCTCACTTGCGTAGATCGACATAATTGGGTTGACTTGGTTGAAATTGCGATGGCAAAGTAATATAGACTGAGTTGCACATATAGGGCTGTGCGTAGAAGGGCTGTCTGTACTCTGTTTTGTGGCAAAGCCGACATGGCAGGCTGCCGAGCAGGTGTGTGCCCCCGGACGATTTCATCGTCCTTGAATTGGAAGAACTTAAATCAGCCTATCGCACACCAAATGGGCGATGGCTCATAAAGCGGTAGCAAAGGTTGCAATTGTCAATCTGCAGTGGATATCAATTATTGGTCATGGGGCGAACCCCTGTGCTCTCAATTCATTGATCGAGTCGGATCTCATGATATGCTGTTTGTTGATGGAGACGGTGCTGCTGGCCTGTGCGAGCACGTTGTGCCAGCCCCATGAGGCAGTGTCCGCCCCGAGACAGGCATTCCGAGTTGCCATTCGAATCATAGAATCGCCTACGCGCGAGTGCAAATAAACCTGCATAGGTGTACATTGGGAGCAGGTGCGCTTCTGTGGCAGTGCATGATCGCGACTGTGTTTGCTGGAGTTGTGCGCACGGACTGGTTGGCGGGGATGGCTGGACGGCACACGTTTAAGACAGTTGTCCTTTAGATCACGGACACAGACTGTGTGTGAGTTCGTACAGTCATTGTGCCTACCGTTAGTGGGACACTCAGGTTGCGAAGTTCTGTCCCTCTGCCTGTCAATTGTCCACATGCTGGCCATAGAACGCTCCGCGAATCTGGTGACATTGCAGTTGAATTTGGGTTGTATCCATAGCTGTTGAACTGATGAACTCAACCGAATGTAATGAATGGCTTGTGTGCTTCGGAGTTGAGCATGTATTCAGCATGTCCAGCGTTATGTTTGTGTGGGTGTGTTTGTGGACCCTTCGGTATTGGGCCAGAAAATGCAGATGCGTGTCTATGTCCATCATCTGCAATGCGTCCGCCCCTGGCGCGGGCCTTTTACCGATGGTGCCGTTTCAAGTGCTCGGTGGAAGTTTCTTGCAGAAATTGTGTGCCCACTTCACCCAGGCGCTGATCTGGACTGTGCATTGCACAACTCCAATGCCATAGGCCCCACGCGCTCATCAGCGTTCGTGGTTGGCAACAGCGTGGGATGGTGTCGAAGAGTGCACTCCAGCTTGTGCATTGCAGACTCCTGTAGATTAGGTGCTGACATTTAGCAAATTGGTTTGGCATACGCTTGGTCCGTTTGCAATTCCCAGCGATTGTGCAGCCTTGGAAAAATGTTGCATATCCTGGGTATGGAATAGGATGCGGGGGAGGCCCATATCCAGGATATCGAATACGATATGGGCGCCATATCCCACAAGCATTGGGAATCGCGTGACCCGACGAGGGAGATATCGCTGGACGTGACGTCGTAGGTTGGGGGTTCAGGGGAATCCACATGACGGGGGAAGGCGTCAATATGCGACCGAACATAACCTGGGCTATGTTTATGTTGTGTAAATTTTCTTTTGGAGTGTAGCCGTGCGTTGGTCGTGTTGTTCAAGAGGTAGCCCACACTTTCATGGTTGTGAAAATGCAAATATTGTGCAATTCCGTTTGTTACATTGTCAAACCCCGTACAAAACAAGACAGTTGCGCCTGAACGGATGATGATAGGCAAGGCCCCACCCAAGGGTGTTTGTTCGCATTCGGTCCAGGCGCAGAGCCAGAGCAGGCCGATTTGCGCCAAGCGAAAGACGGCAGCCAAAAAATCAGTCACGCCTTGCAGCGTTGATGCTCATACTCTGCCCTGGGTCACGTCAGGGTGCGACCAACATCCGTGCACGTCAGTTTACCCCTGAGCTTCACAAGGGCATGAAATTAGTCGCTGTGGCCTTTCCGTGAAGAAAGAGGAAGAAGGGATCTTTATGGAAAGGACAGAGGTACTAGCAGCAGTATTCTCCTTCAAAAGCTGGCCATTGCTCTTCACCAACCCCGTCCCCCACGACATACACGCCCTGATCCTCCAGAGTGATATGTTAGTTCGGGCCCCGACCCTCCTAGCCGTGAGCCAGGGATCGTCACAGCTGACTCAGACCACACGCGCACACAGGACACATCCCGCGCCTCCCCACAAGTCGCCCCTTGCGCCATACAGTACGGCGCACCCCCGCCGTGCATCAGTGCGGGCGTGCGACATGCGCACCGCGGCGGTCGCCCTCTTGATCCAGGGGCACTGACCGACCGACCCGTCGGCCTTGAAGTGTACCATCCGCGTTGCGGATAGAGATACAGGCCCGGAGGGCGCCGCAGGTCACGCCGTGTTGGCCCGGCCGCCCAGCGCGCTGCCCACAGCACCCCGCGCGTGCCGCGGCGCCCCCCCGCGGCGCCTGCACCGGCCGCCGGGCGCACACGCCAACCGCCACCCCCCTCCCGGCGACCAGGCTGCGCCCTTGGGGCCAGCCTGCACGCGGAGGTGGGCATGCACCCATCCCATCACTCACCCCCTTCACGCGATCCCGGGGATTGCTTTGTTCTCTCCGTTTTGTCCCACCCCTGTGTTCTTACTCGGGGGCGCCCCGCGCCCGGTCGCCGGTCCGGGTGCTGATCGGGTGGCTGAGCGATGATCTACGTTGTGCGCACCAGGTGGCGCCATGTCTATGGCGGGCGGCGCCGTGGCGGACGACGGGGTGCGCGGCGAGGAGGGCCGGCCCGCCGGCGGGGACCCGCCGGCGGTGGAGTCGGGCCCGGAGCCGGAGGGCCCCTGCGCCAGGCACTCCAGGTGCCAGAGGCGGGTGAACGACGAGGTGGGCGCCATTTCACCCCGGGGCACCCGCGCCGGACGCGAGCTCCGCGGCTCCGCCCTCCTGCGCAGCGCGGTTCAGATCCCTTGCCGCGGCGCTCCGGGGCTGCCGCCGCCCCTTCCGCGCTGTTTCCCCGGCTGCTTACCGCTTACCGTTTACCGTTCAGCAGCCGCCCGTTTATGGTGTCCACAGATCCTGTCTTGGGGCCCTTCCCGCCAGCGGCAGCGGATAGAACACCTCGTGTTGGCCTCTCCGGACCCGCCTTCCGAGCCAAATCTTGGACCCAGCCGTCCCGGTCGGAGTGCCTCCGCCCTGCGCCCACCCCCGGGCCTTAGATCACATTCACTGTCGCCCCTGCGGGCCCCACCCGCACCCCCCAAAAAGCACCGAGGCTGCGAACCCATGCATCGCCGATGCGCTGCGATCTCCCGGCGTTGAGACTTTTGTCCGTGCACGCAGGATGTGCTGTTCGTGCGGGAGGGGCTGGCGCGGTCTGCCGGCGGCCAGCCGTGGTCGCTGTACGCCGTGTGCGACGGCCACGGGGGCGCCATGGCTGCGAACTACGTCATGGGCCACCTGTGGAGGGTGCTGGGGCCCCTGCTGCCAGCGTCGGGCCTGCCGCACCGGCAGTCGCCAGGTGACCACCGCGGGGACGGGCCCCGTGCGCCCCAGTACGTTTAAAGTGGGGGCGGAGGCGCCGGACCGCATGTTTGGGCCGCAGGACATTTCCGCCTTTTGGCGGTGTGTGGCTTGCAGTGACAAGAGGGATGATGACAAAGGGCGGTACCTGTACAGTCTGCACCCTTTGCTCCGTACTTGAGTGAGGAACTGACTTTGCACGTACTGGAATGGCCGAAATGAAGGGCACAGCTCTGTGGCCCCTCCGCGGGACACCTCCGCGGGAGTAGGGGCATCCCGACATCCGTATGGTACTCTGGTCTGCTGACAGCCAGGTCTCTGCTGTAAGCAGTAAGACCCTTGGTGCTTGGTGTGCCCGAACCCAAATCAATGCTGAAGAGCTTGCAGTTTCAGCAAAGAACCTGCGACCAGCATTGATGTAAGGGTGCGAATGCAGTTTCCTGTGATTGCAGTTTGTCAACGTCACACGGCTATTCCGTGGTGCCGTAGCTTGCTGCAGGAAGTTTGTTCCTTCCCCCACCATCACACTTGGGCTGGCCGCTTGTGCTGAAAGGCTGCACGCACGCATTCCATGCAGAACAGTTGCTGCAAACAGCGCACCTGAAAGGCGATGGTGGGTGTAACAACAAGTAGCTTTTGTTTTTGTGTGGTATTAATGAGCACATGAATGTTGCAACAACAAGCCGAATTTGAGTGTTATGGGTTTCAAAACGAGAAGCAATTTGATGAGTTTGGGAGATCCTACTTCAATTGTCCTTTAGGGTGATATGGGCAAAGAGACCCCGGACCTTGTGGTGTCCTGCGAATATAGACTTGTTTCATACAAGGGGGGCGCAGTGGCGGTGGTGCACGTAGTTGAGATATAGCTGTGCTCTGTTTGCGTTTTGGGTTGCGTCTAGGGTCCATTGCATCCTGGTTTGCTGGCAATTGCGGCTTTGACACAAGTCCCTGTTGATGCATTTATCCACTTCCATTTCCTTTTCATTTCTGCGTGCCTGGGCTTTGTGCTTCTGGGGCTGCTTGGGCCCATAGCTATTGCTTGTGTGCATGATTGTGCAGCAGTTGACCATTCTTGATGTGTCTGTTGCAGCTTTTGACCATTTTGCTTCCGAAGTGAGAACTGCCGTGGCCACTGCTTTTGTGAAGATAGGGCAGCAATTCGCAATTGATGTTTCGGCTGACAAGTCAGGTGAGTTGGTTGTACAAAGACAGACTGGCATATTTGCATACTTTGTATATGTACAAGCATTTCAGACCTGCTGGGGACGCTGGTCAAAGATTACAGTGCTTCCCAAGAATTGCCCCAAAATTGGAGTACACCATGCAGATCCTGCCCCCCCCCTTCTCCCCAACCCCATGCCTGTCACCCATGGCCATCGATCACTATGGGATCGATAGGTCAATGACTCGACCGATATGCAGTCAACAGCAGCGCAGCACGGTTCGTGGCACCTGTACAATTGTGAGGGAGCATGATGCGCAGACTCAGAAGACTTCTTGCCTCCAGGGAACGAGCCCCTTTCTAAACAGCAAGACATTCCAGCACACCTTCCAGGGTGGAAGAGTAGCATTGCTCAGTGTTGCTTGTCAAGCAAGTCTCACAGTGTGTTTGGTCCATTCGGGATGCTTGTGGATTTCCTCAAGTTGCAGTTACCTACACAGGGCAAAATAAGGACCCAAACACATGTTCACATTTGTGGACAACCAAGAATGGCGGTATAGAGCAACAGAAGGTGCATTTTTAGAATGTACATATCCTCAGCCAACATCAAAGCAGGATGATTTATTGAGCATTCAGTGAATTCTATTCTGCAGGGTGCAGTGTTCCACAAGCCGCAATACCAAATTGAGTCATGCATTGCAGCATGGCCTCTGAAACTGTGATACAGAGCAAACACCACAAGTGAGCGTCTGGCTATATGACTTCCTGCAACCCCAAACCCCACTGTGAGGTAATTGCTGGTTGTGACCATGGCCATCCACAGGTACTTCAGTGACTTTGGCCCTCCTGTGTGGCCGACTATTGACGGTGGCCAACGTGGGCGACGCTGACGCTGTGCTGGACACGGGCATGGAGAAGATCTTGGCAACGGTCAGCGACAGGATAGAGGCCAACGATGCTGAGCGGGTGCGCTTGGCAGACGCAGGGGTGCTGGTGTGTCGGATGTCGGACACCCAAAAGGGACCCGCGGCTGCTGGGGAAGAGGGTCAGGGGCCACTGAGGTGCTGGCCCGGAGGACTACAGGTTGCAAGATCCATAGGCGACATAAAGTCCAGCAGCCGTGTGTTTTCTTGTCCCCACATCTTTCAGGTACGCTGCCCCAACCCTGACTAGAGAACAGTTTGGGTACAAAGTGTGAACGTGGCCAGCAGCCATTGTGTCCATCCCATTCACGCTGGCCGAGTGCAGATCCCAAACATGTTTGCCCTGTTAGCTCGAGCCTTGTCCCAATCTGGGCCATAGACAAATCTGTGCAGCAATCACAATGGGGGCTCTGCTGGTTCACAGTAAAGGATCGGCCTGTCCACAGTTCACCTGATGAAGGGATTGGGAACTGGCTCACACTAAAGTATCGGCCTGTCCACAGTGCACCTGATGAAGGGATTGGGAAGGACCTTGGTGATTGAACAGAGTTATTGTAGAAATGTAATGGCACAGGTGTGCCTGCATCTCGTTGAAGCTGTGTGTGCATCGCCCTGGTGATTGATTGGGCTGTGGTGTCTCTTTTTGGAACCATGGTTGTGAACAAAGAGATCAACATCACTGGTGGTGATGCTGATGGATGAAAATCGTGATCGGTCCTCCATGAGCGATATGTTGAAGATGGTGCTCTGTCCTTGTGGTGGACGCCAAACGGTGCCCAAGAACAAAAAGCTTCGGTTTTCCTTCACAGACTGGCTGCTTGATGGCTGTCGATCAGCTTTGACAGAGTGCCAACACTAGAAGTGTTGTCTCCCCCTGTTACTCCTGATAGCCCACGACTGAGAACCCATCCCTTGACAGAGACCACTTGGACAATCCGACGTCCCAAGCAAGTCTCTGTTCCGCATTGGCAAATCCCCAATGGCCCCCAACTACCGCCAAACCCACCGAACTCAACATTTGGCTGTCCCGGGGAGGTCCTCTTACCAACTGCCAGCCTGCCAACCGCCATACCCATCCCCCTGGATCCGGCCAGCCCCGTCTCCCTGACCGACCTCCCGACGCTGCCGCAGGTGTGCGTACCGGACGCCGGCACCCGGCTCATCATGGCCTCCGCCTGCCTGTGGGGCCGCCTGCATTGGGAGGAGGCCGCCCAGGCCACCCGGCGCTGCCCGGTGGCCGGCGCCGCGCGGCGCCTTGTGGCCGCCGCGGCGTCCAACGGACCCGCGCCCCCCGCCGAGGACATCAGCGCCCTGGTGCTCGACATGCTCCCCAAAAAGGGGGGCACCTTCCCGAGGCTGGTGCGAAATAGGGCCAAGGCGGCCGGCGCGGGCCCCAGGGGCCGGCGCCCGAGGCTGTCGGCCTACCTGCGCCGGTGCCTTGGGGCCCGGCCCAGCGGGGACCCGCCACTTGGGAGCGAGGTGCTGAGGACCGTGGCCATGGTGGACGGGTGGGAGCTGGTGCGCGGCTGCGTGGGCCCCGGGGGCCCGGAGGGCCTGGCGTGCGGGGCCCAGGGGGGGTCCGGCCGCCGCGAGGCACTGAGGTACCCGTCCGCCCGGTGGGGGTCGCCTGAGGCGGCGGGCGACCGCAAGAGGGCGGAGAAAGCAAAGGAAGCGGGGGTGGGGAATGGAGAGCCGGAGCTAGAGCCCGCGATGGTGAGGGGGAACAGGAGGCCGGGCGAGGTCGGCGCCCTCAGGACCAGGCCTCGGGGAGAGAACGAAGAGGACACTGGGAGCGGCAGGCGGCGGTCCGCTCGATTCAGCAAGGCCAGCGCCGCCGGCGCCTTGTCGCCCGCCGAGCCCGCCCGCCCGCAGGCAGGCGAGGCCACGGCGATCGGACAGGCCGCCCGCGCGGGGAAGGAGGGGTGGCCGCCGTGGTCGGCGAAGCCCTCCCGGGAGGGGACTGGGGGCGAAATCTCCGCCGGGGCTGCTCGAAGGATCTCCGGGGTGGAGGATGACTGGGCTGACAGGGATGCCACGCCGCGCGGGGTGGCGGCGTATGCGCAGAACAGGCCGCCGATCGGGCCCAGGGGCGGCGGGGGCCAAAGGAAGGGATCGTTCTCGGTGCGCCCTGCCATCGACCTGGAGGCGGTAAGGAAGCGCGTGGCGGCGGGCGATGGCGTGGGGTCGGTCATGCTGGCGCTGGAGGACCACCCCGGCGGGCAGCCCTGCTGGTACTTCGCGCCACCGGGGGCGGGCGCCGGGCTGGAGCCGCTGTGCGTGGGCTGGGACGGTAACTCGGAGGAGGAGGTGTCCCTGTCGGCCTGGGGCCTTCGGGCCCAGTCGCAGGTGCGCGAATGAGGGGTGTCGATGATGCGCCAACATGGGTGTTCATGGCTGAACCGTGATGAATGGACGTGGATGATCATGGATGTTCGTGATTGGGGGACTTCGATGACACGCGGTGGCCGATTGGCGGATGTGGCATGGGCCTTGAGTCGTAGGATCAACGGCTGCGTGAGCGTCCGGGGCTGATCGGAGGGCCGGCCTGAGTTCGCACGGGTTTGGGATTCAGTAGGTGGCTGCCAGAGCTGTGTTTGTCCAGGGCACTGGTGTGCAATTGCAGATTACGATTTCGGGATTGGCTCGCAACAAGTGGTTCAGGCGACATGAATGTGGCTGCTTTTTCCAGCGGTGCTCTCCACCAGGGTGGAGCCATGTGCGCATTGAGCTGGAACAACAAAATGTGTTTTGGTCGCAGCAGCATAGGCTCTGTGGCATGACTTTTGGCATTGTTTGCAGGCAAGGCTAGGAGCCCAGGCTGCATCTGGTTGGGGTCTTAGTAAATTATGAAAATTATGACTTACGATGAGTAGTCGAGTGACAAGCTTTGAACGACGAGCTTGAACGAAAGAGATGCGCTCTTTTACAGAAAAGCAAGGTTTTGTCTGGTGAGCTTTTGGGATGGATGCTGCAGTGTGGTGGGAGCACCACTGCACCTTCCATGCCTGTTCGGTGCCGTCGACTTGTGCACTACAAGGAAACAAACAACACCATATGTGTTGGGGGTAAAAAAGAACGGGGGCTTGTCTAGGAGGCTGGTTTGGTTGATGGGACTTTGCTGCAGGTGGCAGGAACTTGGAACTTGGGAACTGATGTGAACTCAACTCGGTGCCTGCTTGTATGGGTGCCGTAATTTGGATATGAAACCAAATGCGATAGATGCAATCTGGCTTTTATTAGGGTCAGTATGGTTCATTTGGGAAGAATTGCAAGTTTGCCATAGAATTGTTCATTTCTTGGATATAGGGGGGGGGGGCTTGTTTGCTTTGGTGAGATGTGTTGGGGCCTTTGGCGACTGTGGAATTGGTTTGAGGTGTAGAGCGTTGATACTTGGTTGATTCTGTTACTTGGTCTGGATCTGTGGTCTTAGTTCAATGTGTATTTCTAGCAAAATGCTGTGGCCGTGTCCATGCCTGGTGGTGGCGTAAGCGGATTTGTGGTGCCTTTCTCCTGATTTGGCAGGGCATCTTGTTGGTGTCACATCCACCACCACACAGCAAGGATGTTTCATTTGATTGTGGTGAGGAGTTGGAGACAGCCAACTAGTTGGCAACGTTGTGACTGATGGCTCTTATCTACGTTGTCAGTGGAACGATGGGGTTCTGCAGAAAGTGGGCATTTAAGAATTGGAGCATCTCGCCCAGAGTCGGGTGACTATTGTCAGACGCGAACAGAATGAGCGTGGCTGGCTTAGGAGGTATGGAAAGATGGCGTAGCTGGCAGTGAGTTTCTTCTTGTGAATGCATGTGGATGGTGCATAGCGTTCTGCGTTCAGATCTTCTGTAAGATATCGTCTTGCGGTGGGGTAAGGGTGGGATCTGTCGAGATCAGAACTTTCAATGAGACTGCGGGGTATCAGACCCCCACTGCAGTCAACCAGCATTTGTGTGAGCTCTGTGATGATAGTTATCCGGCATGGTGACTAAAGCTGGGTGCATGTTAGGAGATGGAGGTGTCTGGTTTGCTGGTACTGGACCACCAACTGGACTCCGTCAAGTAACGATGCCAGCAAATATGAAGCCACATAGCAACTGCAGAGATGCCATCTGCTATCAGAAAATAGAAAGAAAGACAGAAGACAGAGATGGAGACGGAAAGTCGGAAGGATAGAAAGAAAGGTGTGGAGAAAGAAGCGAGGGGTAAAGAAACTCGAAATGAAAGTGCAATTTATCCATGGCCGAATGACTCTTGAAATAGCTATTGTTAAATTCGCCATTAGTCATGAAGCCATGTCACCCAATGACTGGCTCATGACTAGCACGTGGCGACTGACTGGGTGTCACAACACCATAGACCAGTCAGCATTGACATGGACAGCCGCACAGCGTTGCTAGAAAGCGAGGAAAGCACGCTGATAGACCTGCTTCGGTCTAAGAAAGTGGCAAGGCATGTAGGAGGCGTCATACAAAAAAACAGAATGCAAGACACATTTCTAAGGGTTGGAAAATGCAGCTATAGTTCAAGGCACTGGCCAAATCAATTTGCAAGCGAGATATTGAGGCAGAAACAGGGTTTGCACCACTTGCCCGATTAAGTGGGGCATTTACAAAACCGCCAAAGTTGTGAAAACCCGAAAAGTGGGGGAAACGCTGCCAAAATTTGGCCAGAAAATAGCATGCTTTGCTGCAGAAGTGGCGGACAGTCAGGACATAGTTTTAGGTATAAAGCTGGCTGGGAATATGGGCGTAATGCTGTCAAAATCCTGTCAGCATGTGCAGCTAATCAATAAGAGTTTAATGAAAAAAACGGGGACTGATTTGGATAAGAATTGGGGAAGTTATGGGCCGGAATATGGCTGTGACGCTGGCTGCCTTGTCATTGAATTAGATGTCATTTTGGGGACGCCGCTGGCTGGTGATTGATGGTAAGAAGTTTTTATGTATTTGGTGGTATGAATAGCGGACCTGCCACTGTTGAATAGGGGTAAACGTGTGAAGGGGTCGGCAGGCCGTCAAGGAGCATTCCTTGGCTTGTTTGGGCAGTGTTGTTCAAAGTGTGAGGTGTATTGGGAGGCATGTTGAGCGGGATTGTATCCAGAACACGGCACCTTTTCATGTCAGTTGGGGCCGTTGATACTATACATTTTAGCGTATCTGAGCATCAAAAAGGGGCAGCAGTTCATCAGGACGTTGGCCTCAAAAAGTCCATGGTCTCCTTGGATCTTGGATTGGGAAAATTCACAATCAACTGAAAAAAAACATGTTGGGAACATGTACAGATTCAAGGGGCAGTGCGTCCCCATCGTGGGAAGTGGGATTGGACGGAAGGGTAGTCAACAAACACCATGTCAGATATATTTTTACATGGGAAGTGAAAGATACAATCAGTAGTGGAGATCTACCGTACGTCGGATAATTTCTAGGTCGGGTGTGACCTGGGAATTCACCAAATGCCTCCGTACGGGCATTGGAGGCCTGGCCCCTAGGGCCCGCGAGGGGTGGCCGTTCCGCCCGGCCGAGTCGAGAGCAACACGGCGTTCGGAGCATTCTGTCAGTGCAGGGCCAACCAGGAGGTCCGCACCAAGCTTGCGGAACGCTCGGACCGACCTCGCCGAAAAATGGATGCGTCCATCCATCCATGCGCGGAGGCGGGAGGCTCCTCTTCGGCCCCGTCGCGACCTGAATTGGAGCCGCGACCGGGAGGCTGGTCGAAGGAGAAACAGCGCGCTTTGAGAGTGGCTATGGCGGGCGACATTGGCGCCCCGTTTCCATGGACTCGAGCGAGCGGGGATGGGCTTCCTGAGCCTTGGATGGAGATGGCATGGCCGGCCTGCACCAAGTGGCGCCTCACCCGCACGGGGGGGCCGCTGCGCCTCCACCTTCGAATGTTTTTTGTCGCCGTGGTGCCCACCCGGAGGTGGGCATTCGCCCTCGATCAGGCCATTCGTGAGCGAGTTCTGGATGACCCGTTTTTGTGGACAAGGGAGCGGGAGTCGGCATGGCGCGCGGCGGAGGCGGACGGGGACCATGCTCCGCCCCGCCCATTTGTTTGGCTCCGCGAAGGGAACTCGATCCCCCCTGCTGAAGGTGAAGGGGGCCTACCTGTGGACTTCCTCCGCCGCTCCATCTGCACCCGATGGGAAGCCCTCGCCGTTTCCCGCTCGAAGTTATGGATGCAAGTCCGAGCATCCCTCCCCCTCCGCGACTACATTGAGGGGTCTTGGCTGTCATCGGCGTTGAGCTTCCGGGCGGAACGAGAGGACACAAGGCAGCAGATTGAAGCCCCCGAGAAAGAGGGGCCGGCGGGGTGGATTCCCTGCTACCACGACCGGGTGACGGCCCGGATGAAGCGGGGCCACTCGGAGCTGGAGGCCCATGCCTTGACGGCATGGGAGGAGGGCGCCTGGTGGCGGAGGCAGCCCGGGGATTGCAATGACTACGGCACCAAGGGGTGCCGGGCGTGCATGCGCGACGAGCGCTACCGCCTTTGTGAATACGCGGCGGGGAAGAAGACTACCGCGAGGGCCATGCTCGACACCGGTCCCGAGTGAATGGAGCGGGAGACAAAGAGAGAGATAGGGTGGGACGATCGAGGGATTGAGCTCTGCCAGATGGTCCGGGCGGGGCTCCTCGACACGGCGCGCGACCCCGAATGGCGAAGGGAGGTGAGCCGGAGCGAGCGGGTGAACACGCGGGAGGCGGAGGAAGCGGAAGAGGCGTGGAGCGCGGGGAGCAATGCAAGGAATGACGAGGGGGAGGCTGCCGAGTCCGACATGGAGGAAGATGAAGATGAATACATCTCCATTGGCGAAATCAAGGCAGAAGCTGCTGAGGATGGAGGAGAGGACAGGGAGTCTGATGGCTAGGAGATGGTGAGTCGTAAGTAAGGCATAGGGACAATCATTGGGAGTGAATAGAGGTGATTCAGCTGGCCATTAATTAATAGAGGCCAAAGCTTGGAAATGGAAGTGAACGTCTTGGGAATGAATCAATCAAATGGGTGGTTCTGGACTGGAGATGAATAGAAACGAGTGTTGTTATACTCGTGCGATGTACTTGGATATGTTTTGAAGCAAAAGGATGTCATTTGAATCGATTGGGAAGGTACTTGGTTAGCAACTGCGAAATTGAGCCAATGAAAGGTAACGGCTTGGTCAATTTTCGGGATTAGCAATTGGGATGCGTGTGAAAATGTACTGGGGATGTTTCATAAAGAATTTGGGTCTCTAAGATGGAGTATGATATAATTTGGTGCTGAGTGCGCACAGTTGATGATGAAATCATAGTTTGTGTTGGCTGGACACAATAATGTGTTTAATTGGCTGGAATTTGCTTTGTTTGGAAATGGTCATTTAACTG